GTCCCGAGATCTTCATCTTCCTCCTGTCCACTCGTGCCGGTGGTCTCGGTATCAACCTCACATCCGCCGATACCGTCATCTTCTACGACTCGGATTGGAACCCGACCATCGACTCACAGGCCATGGACCGAGCCCATCGACTGGGTCAGACCAGGCAGGTTACGGTGTACCGTCTCATTACTCGCGGTACCATCGAGGAGCGTATCCGAAAGCGTGCTCTGCAGAAGGAGGAAGTCCAGCGCGTCGTTATCCAAGGTGGCGGTGCCAGCGTCGACTTCTCTGGTCGTCGTGCTCCTGAGAACCGCAACCGCGACATTGCCATGTGGCTGGCGGATGACGAGCAGGCAGAGATGATTGAACGCCGCGAAAAGGAACTCCTCGAGTCGGGCGAGTTGGAGAAGCAACAGAAGAAGAAGGGAGGCAAGCGACGCAAGGCAGAGAATTCTGCCAGCTTGGATGAGATGTATCATGAAGGTGAGCGAGTTCTTTTCCCACAAGATGACACAAGCTAACAAGTTCTAGGCGAGGGTCACTTTGATGACGGTTCCAAGGGTCTTTCTGGAACGGCAACACCGAACACACCCGCCCCTGCTGAGAGCGACACCAAGGGCAAGAAGGGCAGGGCGAAGGGATCTAAACGAGCTAAGACGGCTAAGCAAAGGCTTGCTATCGCTGATGGCATGGTTTAGTGGGCGGATATGGATTGCACAATGTTGAGTTGAGATGGGTGTTTGATAACGGATGATTGGAGCCTCGGATGGCTCAAGGTTGGGAGATGAAGGGAGTTATTGTACCAGCTTTTGTTGATATTTGATCATGGTGAAGGTTTTTGATGAAGGAAGGGTTAGAGGGGGAACCAAAAGCCAAAAGAAGGACGACAGAGCCACTCTAGGAGGTGGCAGTCGCCGAGGTGGACACTGTACTATTATTACGTAGGCATAGACGGACGGAAACAGTGCGTACTTGTTCACTCGGTCTGCGAGTGATGTAGATGTATCTGATGGTGTTGAGGGTGTGGGGTGTTGGCCGTTGCCTTTGCCTTGTAGGGCTGCCCCTTGCTGCAGGCTTCTGACGCCCAATCTGAGTCCCGACGTTCATCAACAGCCATATCCGGTATGGTGTAGTGGCTAACATTTCGCGCTCTCATAACCTGAGGGAATAGCACCGCGGAGCCCAGGGTTCGATTCCCTGTACCGGAGTTTCTTTTTGCCCTTGGCTGCGATGATTGAGAGAGACCCTGAGCCCCTGGAAGTCAGCAGTTGCGTCTCTTTTTGCTACAGAGAGGTTTGTTAAATAAGGGATTTTACTTTATTGGAATGCTACCTGGGTTTAAAAGAGGGATATATCTCCACAAGTCAGACAGGGAGGCGGCTCTCTACCCTTGAAGTTGATGAGAGCAGCAAAAAGAAGGCATCCCTGGCAAAAGAATTATATCTCCGGTACAGGGAATCGAACCCTGGGCTCCGCGGATCAGATGATCTCTCAACTTGTTGATGAGAGCGCGAAATGTTAGCCACTACACCATACCGGATGTGATGTGATTGGTTGAGATCTGAGGCCTCAGGCAGCTGCTATCACCAAGCAGCACCGGATGGCTCGTGATTGCGATGCAGTTCAACCTGGTGATTCACTGATTGATGGTTGTTTGTACTTGAAGACTATATGAATTTGTTGAAGCGGTTATAATCTTCGTTTTGGAGCTAGTTAAACAGGTCAAACTGTCTTGCCTTTACTCCTTGCTCTGTTCGATGCAAGATGCCTTCTCACATCTTCGAACGTACGTCGACATGACATTAATGAGTACATTATTGGAGTTTTCCTCTGCCTTGGAAATGCTTTTTTTTGGTATTTCCCTTATACTTGGTCAGTTTCTGAATAGTGTGGTCATCTTTGGTGGTTTGTAGTTGTGCTGTTGTATCACCAAGGCTGCTGGTTAATAAGCCATGGTGATCAGTTGAACTTGCATGTGAGTGAGATAGACAGCTTCAAACTTGGAACCTTCAACCACCATCGACAACTCAACCTTTTCCCTCTGACAACGAAACTTGAACATGGCAACATCTGAGAATGCAACATCAGCCTTTTACGGCACCGTCATTCACTCAACATCCCCCACCACAATCACAATCCTCCAAAACACCCTCCTCACCATCTCATCAGGCCGCATCGTCTCCCTACAGCCAGAAACACCCCCCGATAAGCTTCCCTCTCTCAATATCCCCCTCACAAAGCTCGCACCTCATCAATTTCTCATCCCCGGTTTTGTCGATACGCACAATCATGCCCCGCAGTGGATGCAACGCGGTCTGGGACAGGGCATGCATATCCTTGACTGGCTTGAGGGCGTGACGTTTCCCAACGAGGCGCGCTTTCGGGATGTTGAGTATGCGAAGCGTGTTTATGCTTCTCTGGTTGATGGTATGCTTAGGCAGGGTGTTACTACTGCGAGTTATTATGGCTCGCTGCATGGAGATGCCACGTGTGTCCTCGCTGATACGTGTCTTGCAAAGGGTCAGAGGGCGTTTGTGGGCAAGTGCAACATGAATAGGAACTCACCTGATTTCTACCGAGATGCTAGCACGGAAGAATCTCTGGCTGAGACGAAGCGGTGTATCCAGCACGTTCGGTCTATCGATCCTGACGGCCATCTTGTTAGATACGTCATTACGCCTCGCTTCGCTATATCTTGTGAGCCAGACCTCCTAGAGGGTCTGGGAGTTATCGCATCGGAGAATACGGATTTGCCGATACAGACGCATTTCAACGAGGCGCAGCAGGAGATTGATGCTACGCTCTCCTTGTTTCCGCAGTTTGACAACGAGGTTGATTTGTATGCGCACTACAACCTGCTGAATCAACGATCTGTCCTTGCGCACTGCACCATCATGACGCCTGGAGAGACGGACAAGCTAGAGGCCCATGGCTGTGGTGTAGCACACTGTCCGACGGCCAACATGACGGTTGGAGGAGGTTTCATGGCTGCTCCTGTACGGGACTTTATGAGGCGAGGCATCAAGGTCGGGTTGGGCACTGATTCCGGCGGTGGATTCTCCTCGTCCATTCTTGACTCTATGCGTCACGCACTGATTGCCTCATTCTCAAAAGAAGCAGAAACAAAAGGTGCCGACAAAGGGCTGAGTCTAGATGAAGTGTTTTACCTTGGCACTGTAGGAGGTGCGAGGGTCATGGGCGTGGGGGATGAGATTGGAAACTTTGAGGTTGGGAAGCAGTTTGATGCTATTGTCGTGGACATGGATTCTTCGAGACGAGGTGTGAATGCCCCTGTTGAGGAGGAGGATTCGATGAGGAGGGTGTATGACAAGTTTCTCATGACGGGGGATGATAGAAATATTGTCGAGGTGTATGTAAGGGGTCGAAAGGTTTATTCCATCGAGTAAAGCTACTCGAAATTACTATTATTCTACCCAACAGTTCTATTACACTGCTTCGTCTCCAATAGGCGCCCGTCGCTTCCTTCTAGCAGCATCCAGACTCTCTATCTGCTGGCCGCTACTCGTCTGGCGTGGAGTTTCATCGCCGTCGTCTGGTGTGTCAGGTAACCTAACCCTCTTGCCTCCCCAACCAGCACTCATGCTCAGCGTCTGTGCCGCGTAATCAAGATCTCCATCAAACCCGTATCTAAACGCCTCCCTCTCTTGAAGCGGTAGGTGATTAAACCGCCAATCCCACACGGCGGCGTACGTAGACCTGTACGAGGCAAACGCCATTATCGAGCCAATTACTCCACCTCCAACAATATCATACCAATTATGCGCAGCATCTATCGTCAAAGATCCAGCAATGAGCACCGCAGCCAACAACGGCGCAAACGTAAGACACAGCTTCCAAAACGCGGGCTTGTGATCCGCCCAGACTTTAAGCTTTGCATTCAGCCAGAGGAAGAGGAAACCAAATCCAGCAAAGGCGGCTGTTGTGTGACCGCTTGGAAACGAGGTTATGGCGTTTTGTATCTTAAACTTGTCGGGCTGCGTGCAAATCTCTGTCGTGTACATGACCTTGTGAAACCCAACGCCATTGAGACCAGATGCGTTCCTCTCAGACGCGAGTGAAATATCGGGCATGCATACGTCTAGAAAGTATGGCCTGAAGCCTCCGACGAGTTGCTTGAGCGTTACCTGGAAGAGAGATGCCAATATGACAGACCAGGTGGTTCCCATTATGGCGTTGCTGGCGTCCCATATTGATCTGATTTGTATCTGCGCGAGGATGTAGACGCTAAACGGTCCGGCAATGGAGATTACTCCTGAGAGCCAGGAGGGGATTATCCAGCCTCGGTCGGGGTACGCCCATTCTGGGTATATGATGTCGCCCGAGGTTGCGTCAAAGGTTATGGGAAAGGTTCGGGTGATGATGACGGGGGTGTGGTATAGCTATACAACAAAGTTAGCAGAGTTGAGATGAAGGAGAGAGGAAGCGTACTCCGAATGCAAGACCGCCGATAACACCCATACAAAGAAGATCAACCCAGTTGATCAGAAACCATTGTCGCAGAAACAGCTGGATTCTTTGTGACTTGGACTCTGAAGATGGCGGCATGCTGGGCCAAAGAGATCCAGCGACTAATGGACTAATTCGTGTATGGAGAAGAAGAAGAGAAGGAAGAAAGGATCAACAGGAACGAGAAACAAAGTGGTGTTGCTTGATCACGAGGAATGGAATTGAGAGTTGGCTGTCGCGTGCTCCCTCTTGTCTGACGTCATGATGCACCGAATCCGATCGCGGCGTAAACGTCGATGCAGAGATTGGTTGGACAACATCTTGATTGCCCTGCCCGTTTTAGTACCTGTCACAAAGAAAAGAGTCACTGCAATCACCAGAGATATTAGAGAATATGAAGCTTAAGTAAGTTCTATTCTAAACACCAAGGTATAACGTATATGTATGGTATCAATCATGCAAAAAACGCCGTTCCATGCAAATATAATCATCAAATGCCCTCCATATATCCAATCCAATATCTACATATATCATATACGACATTACTTCTTCAGAGATCCAGGACCCTGTACACCACGAGCACGGCTTCGCACCCGGACGTCATACTTGAGCGCCTTGTCACCAATGGTACCGTCGCTGTTGACGGTAGATCCAGAGACACAAGATGCACCGCTCCATCCCACAGCCGAAACGTGTTTCCATGTCTCGGAGGGGTCAGCTAGCATGCGCTGTGTGTAGAATAGTCGGCAGTTGGCGGCTTCGTAGCGGAAGTGTACGGGGTATCCATCGACGTCGTCCTCGGTGTAACCGCTCAGCGCGTTGACCTTGCCAGCGTTGGCGCCGTCTGTAAGGGGCAGCAGGGGAGGATCGTCAAGGCTGGGGAATGCATCCTCGTGGACTTGAAGAATCTTGAGAGCCTTCTTGTCATTCTTGACACCTGAGAGGAAAGATGCAGTCGCAGAGATAAAGTCGGAGTGGAACGAGAGCAGAGTACCCTTGACACCACCCATAGCCTGCATGGCGAGGTGGAGGGGACGTCCACCGAGGGCTACTGTACGGATACCGTAGTTGCGGGTTAACCAACCGGTCAGGACGGTGCAGGCGGAAGCGCAAGTGCCGTCGGTCACGATGAGAATGTTCTCAGGCTTCCAGGGAGGCTCGACCTTGGGGGTCTTTTTACCAGAGTCTTCGTCATCTTCGAAGCGGCCAAGATTGCTCTGGAACGCTGCAGTCATGTTCTGGCCGCCCTTGATAGTGTAAGGACCAAACCACTTCTCACCCTCCTCGATAGCGTTGCCCTTGGTGTCGAGGGGCCACTCGTTACTCTTGGTGATGAGGACATCGAGGAGTGTCTCGTAGTCGGCTTCGGTAGCGGCGGCGAGGGACTCTGTGGCGCGGTATCGACCAAAGGTGGTGAACTCGCCATCAGGGAACAGCACACGGTAGATGGACTGGGCCAAGGCGAGAGAACCACCACCGTTGGCCGAGACGTCAATGATGAGCTTGTCGCGGCCGGCCTTCTTGGCCTTTTTGATGAACTCGCCAAGCACTTCTTCACCCTCGGCAACGTATTCAGTAAAGTTGAAATCGCCGAGGGTGGCAAAGTCGAAGCCGATGGGAAGGAAGCTCAGGATGGAAATGACAGCCGTCTTTTCGTTTCCCTCGCCCTCGAGAAAGTAACAAGTTATCGAATTCTTGGAGTGCTTGACAACAGGCTTGGGATATCCATTAAGATTGGCGCTCTCCTCTGTGGCGGCGCGACGCTCATTGCCCGATGGCTTCTTGCTGGTCTTGTTGTGAGGAATCTCAAAGTACTCGTGGAAATCCTCGCCAGACTCGATGCCTGAAAAGTCGACGGTGTTGGGGATGGCGATCTCGTTTACAACCTCTAGCGTGCTGCCGTTGTAGAACTTGATGGTGTACTTGTCGGGAATCTCAAACTGCGTGATGAGCGTCGTGCCAGCCATGCCCACGGCGGAACGGGGAAGGTTCGAGAAGAGGTTGTTCCACTGGGCGTCGGGATCGTTCATGTTGTTGGTGTTGCGGGTAGCGTCCTCCTCGAGCCACTTGTCGATGGGGGTGCCATCGATACTCTTGATGGCTGAGGGGTAGTAGGTAAGACTACCTTCGTTACCACGGACGACATCAATGCTGTGGAAGATCTGAGGAAGGCTGAGACCATCCGAAGAGATTGACTTGAAGTCGATGCCTCGTCGGACATAGAGGAAGGTGTTGAGAAGAGCTGGGGGGTAGTCAAAGTGGAGATCGTTGGCGGCAGCGAACTAACATGGTGAGCAATGTTTCAGTAGGTAGATGTAGATGTCTTACAAGGCTGCGCAGATCAGTCATGACCTCGTACTGGCCCTTGTACTTGTTCTTGTTCAAGTTGTCACGGATAGTATCCAATCCACCCAAGACATTGACACCAGGGAAGAGGTATCCCTCTGGAGGATCAGCCAGAACCTCAAGCGTGCTCTGAAACTCGATCAAAGGCTGAAGATAGTCCAGAAGCGCAAGGTCACGCTCCTTGTCGACGGGAACCGACTTGAGACAAGCAATACCCACAGACACAGGAACTGTAAGAAAAGCAGCCTTGCCCTTTGGGGTCTTTGACTCTTCATACACCTGGCTGAGTATCTTGCAAGGCTCGGCATCGCTATTGGTGTAATCCCTAGCAGAGATGAAAGAAGGCTCATTCCTACCTTCGTGCATGATCTGCCGGGGTTCGAGAGCGGCGGCAAGGCCCACGAGGGCCAGGACACCAAGGGCAATCATGACGAACAAAGAAAAAACCGACTTGGGATGATGGAAAACTGGAGTGATGGAGATGACCTCTCTGGGCGCCTACAAACCCTTATATGCCGCGTGCATCCTTCACGAGTCAACACCATGGATCCATCCTCAAGCGTTTCAACTGCAAAGCCTCAGCCGCCCCGTCTCATCCCAGCTCCTGAGGCTGGTTCTGCCCTGTGAACGGGGCTCGAGTGGCCACTAGCGGGTGGGACATGGAGCCCGGCGATGACCTCCGGTTGGCTGTGGACGGTCATTGTCAGGAACCTGGCTTGTTTTAGACGCGGGCTGTGTTGGGATCTCCGCCAGACGCTAGACGTTCGTCCAGAGTAGCGGGTCCTCCATTGCTGATTTTTGCAGGGGGAGGGGGATCTCGAGTAAGCACCAAGTTGTAAAGGGAAGATTTGATCAATGCGGTGAGTTGGAGTTTCTTGATCGAAAGGTCTTTCTCGGGTACAGAAGCCGTGAAGGACTTGGCTGAGTTGTTGATTGCTCCATCAGGCTGTAAGAATCTGTCGAGTCTTACCTGTTCCACAAAGAGAAAACATGGCGCCCAGCCAAGATAACCTTTTCCCCTCAGCTTTTTGACCCCCTTGTCGATCTGCCTAACAGCTATTTTTATAGTCGACAAGGCTGCCTTTTTGCCCGTCAGCTTTTGAGACCTGAAGCTAGACCACGAGAGGCGGGCTTAGCCTAAGCCCAGCCAAAGTAGCGCAGAGACCCCAAGCGTGAAGCCATCGTGACCCGCGCCCCGTCTCCTCTCAAGAGGGGACTTTGGTGGTCCAGAATAGGATGTTTAAACGAGTCGTGGAGAAGAGAATCCTTACGTTGCAACGCTGACAATGCACGTTTTTGTTGTTCAAGATCCGCAACCGATATTTCCGAAACGGACATAAGAATCATGGGCAAGGCCATGATTTCCTGCCCTTGACCAAGCTTTCCTGCCTCCACGTTTTTTCCTTAGTGCAATCAAGCTGAAATAGATGGCGTTGAGGCGGGTGATGAGTGATCAAGCCCGGTCAAGGCGCAGCCATCGACCAAGGTCATACCCCTCAGCTTGCTTACAATCGGGGGCCGGGATTTTGCTGACGGTCAGGAACTCGATTTCGATGCGACCTTGTCATTTGAGGGAATCTTGATTCCGTCTTTGAGGTCGCGTAGGATGTTGTCATGGGGAGGTTGGTGACTGGGGAGCCATGACTTTTGTTTTCTGTGCGGAAGGGATCGGAGAGGAATGCCTCTGAAAAGAAAGCAGTGTATTATGTCACCCTCCGTGGCCTGTGGTTGTTATGATACATTTTCGCATCTTAAGACCCCTATAGATTACCATTCCTAAGGAAACAGGGAATATTTAGAAGAATTCAAGTTACACACTTATATCTCATGCACTTTCTTCACATCCTTTATGGCGATCCACGAAAAACTCCTCCTCAGTCATCAAGTGTCTTACTTAGCTGCCTGAGTGATCAGATGAGGCCTTGGGGGTCATGTTGAGTCGCCCGAGTCAGCCCCCTATGTGACGATTAGAGTGGAAATATAATATATCCGTTGGAACTTCATGATGACTTTATGACTTTTGAGGCCATGTACGTGGTTTGCTGCACTGACGGGTTTGGTGGTGTTGCTCGCTGTTGAGGCTGACGATGTGTGCGGGAAAGTAACGACGGAACGATGGTCCGGTTCTCGGCAGACGATGACGAAAGGAGAAGAACCAGCCAAATTAGAGATAATACAATGTAGATTAAATTTTGCTATTTCTGGATAGATCTGCTGGCAGCGTTGTCCAATCTGACGTAGTTCCTCCACAAGGGAGGCCTTCTTAAACAGCCTGAACTCCGCAACTCTTAGGCGTTGGACCTGTTCTTCAATTCCAATGCTCATCGGGGCTTGATCAAATGCTCCGACTGGCTGGGTTTCCGTCTTCTGAGCCCGAAAAGCCGGCCTGGCGCTGGCATACTCAAGCAGATACCACGTCTGACACTGGTGCCTAACACTGGAAGACTGACCCCCCTACTTCGACACCCGAGTTGAAAGCTGTAGGTGACTTCGTGTTATAAGATCGCGATATTATCAATGCTCTGGAGAGGATGATCAAGGAACCTGCTGCCCAGGCGCGTGTCGAGATCCTAGAGCCCTTCCGAACGATGGAAGATCGGATCAGATACAGATACAAGGATTTCCTAGTCCTTTAGATTGAGGGATGAATATTTTTACGACGTCATGTCATGATGGATCTTCAGTCGACCAACTGATGTCCCTGTACGCTGGTCGTGGGGGAAGTAGTGGGCTACCTCCCTCTGGTCATCAACTCGAAGCTTGCCGCTGCATAGCTTTAACAAGGTTCTCAGAGCCCATCTACCAAAGTCCCTTTGTTTACAATTGGCAAGACCTAGGTTGGACTGTACTCCAGGCAGAATTCCATTAATGGTATCTTGATTCACAACCATCCTCGCCAACTTCATTCCTGCGTAGCCATGAACGGCGACGCTCCAAACACTCAAGTTTGCCCCGTCTGTCCCTTTTTCTTCCCATACGTCCAACAGTCCCGATATCGCCTGGGGCAATCGAGAGCATGGCCTCCCACATGTCCACAGCGCGGACATTTGCTGCCCTGCATCTGCCCCTGTGACTCCTACACAAACTCTTGTCAGTGTTATCTTCCATGGAAGAAATCCGGGTTCAAGTTACCTTTTTGTCCCCTTCCTTTGTCTGTTCACTCATCTTCTCTGTTTTTGCTGTTGTTTCCGGTTGTTTGTTGGTATGGTTGGAAGCGCTCATGGATAAGTGCCGTGGGTAGGGTGCGAGGTTGCGCAACCGGCTCAGAGGAACTCGTGAGTTTTTCGGTACAATACTGCGATGGAGATGCATTCGATTCTTGGTGATGAGGTGTGGTAAGGAAGTTGAGATGAGCAACGAGAGATATGGTTCAAATGATAAAGTCAGTCGTGAAATAAACTTAGTTGTGAATAAAGTCAGTTTGCACGTGTTTGTTCGCCTGCAACACTTGTACGTGCAGATACAAGGCAGCACCCAACCTTCAGATAGACTGCTCCTCGAAATTAACTTCAAAGAGGTAGGTTCGAGTCGAGACATCATCGGTCTAGACGATCTGCCCCTTGATGGCGTCCCTCGCAACTTCCGGTTGTGTGATGGCGGCGATGGTTAGGTCTTCCTGCCTCTCAACCCATCCGCCATACGTTCTTTTCTTTTCGTCCGGTTCGGTTTCTCTTCCTTTTCTCTTCAATCCATCATATTTTGTAGACATCATGTCTTCTCCCGAGCCTTCGCGTCGACGCACCCGTTCAACTTCCGCACCACCCCGCTTCAAAACGTTTCAAGTTATCAAGCCGTTCACGATAGACGATTACTGCTATCTCAAAGAGCCGGGCATCGTGGCCCTGAAAGTCGGCTACCATGGAATCATTGCCCAGTCGGCTGCCGACGGATCGAAGAGATATCCCCCTGTGAGATTACTTCGCACGACAAAGACACCACAAGGCCTCGAGACTTATTCAGCCCTCCATAAGAGGGGCGAGGAGTTCAATGTCCCCCGTGATCGCATCAAGATTGGGAGCTTTGTCCCGGAAGATGTCCCAGAAAATGTCCCGGATGATCAACGGCATCTCTTTGAGATCATACCCAAAGACAGGAAGCTGAACCCCAGAAGAATTAAAACACGCCCCGGACGTGAAGAACATACGTGGATTCGAACAACACAGCCGGCCAAGCCTGGCATGCCAGAGTGTTGGGTCTTTCGTACTGCTCCTCGACGAATCTCATCACGCAATGTTGCCTTCCAATTCGTAAATGGGAATGGCGAGTCTCGAAACGTCTGTCGAATTGAAATCTCGCCAAAAACCTGGAACTCGTTAAATCTAAACTCGGCCTCCCTGGTCAATCGTGTGGTCGAGATCACGGTCGACGGGCAAAGGCATCCGTTCCATTGGCGGAATATCCCGGCTATTGGGCCTTTCGACTGCTGGGCCGAGGCATTGCGTGTGGCCGTTTGCATTGAATACATGGATGCTGATGGTCATTGGAAGAAGCAATATTTCCAATCGACAAACTTCAAGCGATTCTCCACAACTCCCATCTGCCGTCGTTTGCATGAAAGGGGAATAGAGGTGGATCATCTCGAAGCGGGCTGGCTTGACTGCATCAAGATCATGGCTGCCCTATTGAATTGGAGGTGGGAGGCTTGCGACGGATACACTGCTGAGCTCTAGGAGCCCTTCAAAGCCGTGGTCCGCATCGTGGAATTCAACTTCCTAGACCAACGCTTTGTCGCTTCCAACCCCTCGGAGATATCGCGGCCCTGCCCTCGGCTTCTATCTTTGGAAGAGACGGAGAAGTTGATCAGGCGGAAGCTTGGTACGAGACTTCCCTTAGCATGGAAAAGTCTCGCAGATCGACCCAGAAGACGATGTGATCTTTGCATTGTAAGTGAACCGATCAGGAGGAAGCATTTTTCTGACTTGCGAATGCCTATCCAGACAGGAACCGACGAGTTGGGTTGCAATACCTCCCGATCAACTACCGTCACACCGGGTGGCCAAATTCTCATCCAATGTAAACTCGCCAAGTTGATGATGCGGTACTGCACCTTCAACGCGGATATTGGCCAAGCCAGTGAACTCCAGGACCTTGCATTCATTCGTCGGGATGCGTTTGTCCCACAGTCTGCGCTATGCCCACCAAATGAGAAACAGCACCTCGCCATGTTGGAGAATTTTAAAGACTAGGAGGCCTCACAACAGGACGAGAGTGAAGAATGAGTTCAGTATAGCAATAAACTACTTATTACAGCAGAATATCTGCTCGGGTGAACGGGGTCCAAGGCAGTGTGACATTTGACTTTCTTCGCATTATTAGAGTACAGATATCCTAGATTGAGGATGAAAATTAACACAATAACGTACAATCTTATACCCCAATTTTAACATAATTGTAGGTCACCATGAAGGTCTTGATTGCGGCATCAATGAACCAGCCGGTCCATCGGCCCATTTGTTGACCTCGAGTCTCAATTAGTTACTCCGGTCTTGAAAACATGTTGATGCGATTATCTGATACTGTTGTTCATTCTATATCCAGCCCAAGGTGAGGTCCAGCCAAAAACTCCTATCCCAGCGAACAAAGGAAACACTATACTATGCAGACATGACCCAAAGACTTAGTAACCAGACTTGGCCAGCTTTTCCTTCTCACTCATGGCAGTATCCTCCTCTTCCTCCTTCACATCAGGCTTCACGTCCGTATAGCTGGGGAGCTCCTCCTTGGCCTCTTCGGTTTGTTCTCGGGTCTGCTGAGCGGGCAGCTCGGGCTCATCGGTGTACCTCTCCTGTTTCTCGGACAGGATGGCGTCGCCAGGGGTAGGAACGCTTCCAACTTCTTGGACAATAGTTCGGTCGAAGTCGGGTCGACCCTCAATGGCTCGGAGCACCTCGAATAGGGGTTTGGCACTCATCGGCCAGGCGACGTCCTCGGTCAAAATCTTGCGGGCCGTGATGCCGCTCTCATTGTAGAAGGCAGAGTTGGCATCTCCTCGGCTGACAATGATGGTACCATCAATCTGAACGCCCGCCCACAGTCCCCGGCTCTTCATGTAGCTCCACACCGGTCGTGCGGTCTTGGTGACGGTAGCCTCGACACTTCCACCAGTACCAAGAGGTCCAACGGCGATGGAACCCTCAGCACCGAGGGATAAGCGGGGCTTTGTGAAGGCGGCGACCTGCTCGGGAGTGTTGAGGACGCAAACGCAATCGTAGACATCGAGACCGAAGACGAAGCCGGCACCAAGGGTGCTCACGATGAAGGACGAGGGAGGAGACCAAGTACCGTCGGGGCGGCGGGCGACGACAACACCAGAACCGCCAGCGAGGGAGCCGTGGCAGGCACCGGCGCGGAGGACGTTGAAGATGGCGAGACCGGCGGCACGGTGGAGGACGTGAGGGGGGATCTTGACCATGGACTTGCGGGTGAGGCCAGTGGGATGCATGGGACCACTGGTCTTGGGAGGGGCAGAAGCGCTGAGGTCTGTATATGGGTCAGTATAGTTGATGATTATTGTTGCTGGGCACTCACTGGTGAAGCTATGAAGGATGCGAGCAGCCTTGTTGCACTCCTTATCCATAGTGGTAGGCCACCATCCCTCAGCACCGATCAAGTTGGCCGCCTTGTTCAGTGGCCAGCCAGCCTTGGAGCTGATTTTGTGAAAGTGGTGACCCTTGGCACGATTGCTGGAGACATCTTGAGGTTGTTGCTCCGACGGGGTAGACTCCTGGTGGTCCGACTCGACCGTGTAAGTGGGAGGGGCCTGGCCAGACTGCTTGAGAGGGTCGACGGGCTCGTTGGTGGAGTAGACGACAGTCATTTTGCTTGATGGAATGAAACGATGTAAAAATTGGGTATTATGTAGAGTAGATGTAAGGATTAAAGGTTATTGTGTGTATTGCTTGATCTGATCATTCTAAATCGACGGGATTCATCGCAGCCTTATATCCCACCCCTCGCCTCCCTCGCACTCTCTTTCGCGCCGCGGCTACGCAATCCATAACTAATCAACAATAGACTATTTCGGTGGGCGCAAGGCACCAGCGGATCAAGATTGGTAGCCGCTGACCGCAGAGATGGGTGCGCGTTGCGTGGGAGCGTCGTGGACGAGCGTGGCGCAGCATCGAGTTTTGGGGAGAGCGAGCTATGCGAGAGGGCGATTTTGGTGACGCGAGAGGGGCGATAGAGCGGGATTAGGCGAGTACTCGCGAGGCGGTGGTGGAGCGGTGGCGCGCTGGGTAGCTCGATAACAAGCCTCGCTGCTCGCTCTATGGGTACGAGAATCTTTGTCTTCCTCTTGGATCTAATTAGATCGATTGACTTCAACAATTAGAAACAGTCGGTGTGGCTCAGTTGGTTAGAGCGTTGGTCTCATAGCATGACTTGGCCAAAGGTCAGGGACATCCAAAGGTCGAGAGTTCGAGCCTCTCCACCGACAGTTCTTTTTGCGGTTTACAGCGAATCTTGTCTTTTTGTTCCCCTACCTAGTTGGGAATCTTTCTTTATAGTTTATCCACTCACCTATATGTATTACTGTCTGCCATGGCTATTTTTGTCTCAAGTGGCTTGCAGATGCCGTCCCTCTGAATGTCTCTCATTTCACTGCAATAAATAAATAATATGTGTAACCTGTCACCTCTCGTCCGTAACTGATCTCGCGGAAACGATTCCCCGGTACCTTTGTGTCTTAGACAATATTCCTTGAACAAAGATGATCTCGTAGTGATTGCCTCTATGCCTTCTCAAGAGCGGCCGATAGCTGTACCTCATCAAGATCAACAAATATAACCGACAATTGCTATGACGGATTGCTCTGACGAACGGGCTCAGCCCTAATAGATGCTCGTCCCTCAAACGCCACAGATGACAGCACTGCGCACCCTGGATTGTGATAGGACCATGCGTGGTTGTTGACTCGGTTGTCATGTCGTACAAGCAAGGGTGTAGGAAATATCAAGGCACCCGGAGGTGGGCGAACCACAAAGAACCTGCACAAGTTCGCCTCAGCCTTTTCCCAACTAATCCGCACTCAGAGATACTCTGTGAGATGTTGCACCAACCAAAGCCAAGGCCCCCGGTCCACCCTCCTCAACAAGCCCATCATGGCTTCCAAGAAACTTTGGACCTCCTCGTCGACCAGTCAGTTGCCATCTGCCGTCGCCTAACAGCCCAGAAGGAGGCTGCAGCATCCCCAGATTCCCCAGTTAGCACCCTCCTCCGCGAGCAAACAAAGGCTCTGCAAGAGTCTGTGTACTGTCTCCCGACGAGGCTCCTCCACGCCAACCTGACCCCGGGAGCTGACGTGCCGCCCGACATCAAAGCGCAACTGCGTACAGTTCAGCAAGACGTCTTTAAGTTTCTCAGCTTAGATGGGTTTTACGCTCGCAATCCGGAGAATGGTCGAGTCGGCGGCTTGAATGCCCTGTTTGCGTCCAAGTTCATCCTCGAGAATCACGGAGCCACTGGCTTGACGTGCCCTTCCCTGGGACCCGATGGTGCTCAGCAAATTCTGACGCGGTTGCAAAAGATTATGGAGGCCATAGGACCTGACTTATCCCAAAGCACCTCCAACGATCAAGTTATCCATGTCTTCGAGAAGCACCAGTGAGTACTTGCAATCATTTCCGGCCCCCAGAGAGCTAATTGTGCGAGAGGGATGATATCCAGGCTTTCTTCTCCGATGTTAGCGCCCGACTCGATCCACGCTACGTCCAAACGTACCAGAGAATGGAAGACACCCTCTACAACCAGAACGTGGCGTCCAGCATGTCAAAAGGCAGCTTTGCCTTTGTTCGAAAGGTCCAGCACAAGCGCACCGGCGAGGACTTGGCCATGAAGACCTTTTTCAACGGGAGCGACATGTCCCAGATCCTCCACGAGATCGGGGTCCTCGAGGTGTGCAACCACCCAAACATACTGAAGCTAGTCGAGGCCTTTACCGTGGTAACCGATGACGATGACGAGACGATCAATATTGTAATGAGCCCTTGGGCTCCGTTTACACTTCAGAAGTTTCTGAGTTCATCCGAAGAAGAGAGGAGGAAAAAGTGTCCCTGGTTCCAGCCAGGTTCGCCCCGATCCGAGCTATGCATCTACGGCATTATGCGCCAACTCGCAGATGCCGTTGCCTACCTGCACCGTAAGTCCATCAAGCACAAGGATATTAAGCCCGAGAATATCCTCCTCCATGAGCCAGGGTCTATCCCACCCCGTGCCATTGTCGCCGATGTTGGTGTCAGCAAGGTCTTGGTCCACGGAGGATCTACCAAGTATGACGACTGCTCGTATCCTTACCTGGCCCCAGAGCAGGTCAAAAAGAGAGAGAGCAGCCTGCGTGCAGATGTGTGGCAGCTGGGATGCTGCTTCGCGATGCTTCTAGCCGTGTCCAAGGCTGGGACGTTGGGGCACAAAAAGCTCTGGGACAGCTTCTGTCTGACAAAAGACAACCGATCATGCCAGATTGCGAGTGAGCTTGATCATTTCATGAGAACATTGAGAGACATCTGCCTCCCAGGGTCTCGAGCAGATCGGGCAGCGTACTCGCTCGTGGCCAGCATGTTGGACCCAGCTCACGAGTCCCGAATTGGCATTGAGGGAGTCCTTATCTCAGTCGGGGTCCTGATCAGACTGGAACGCAGGAATGAAGCCGATGACAGAGTTATGACTAATTGAAAGGAGTTTGGGGGAGAAGCATTTAGAAGGATACATACTTGGGAGGGGACTTGGTTGGGTAAGCGTCTGTTTTTACTTGGGAGGATCATCTGGCATAGCACTTAGTACACCTCATTTGGCCAATTTCCTCGTGTGGGCATTGGACCAGTGTCTCGGGAGGCACTAGAAGAAGTTTTTTCTTCCTTCAACTATTTTCTCGTTCTATAAGATTGTTATACATTGACAACAAAGATACTACTACTGATACGAACCATGGCCTTTCATGATGTGCAAAACATCCACAATACTACACAAAACATTCACTCACCTCATTTGCTGCATTCTGAAATAGAACTAGCCATTTGCTCGTTCAGATATAATCATGCGAGTTTATACAAGAGGCAACCAAGAACAAAAGTGCCGATTATGCACACCCATTAGATTATCCCCAATATACACGCTCCATACACATCTTATACACTAATCGGTCGGCTCTACAAGCTGGACCATGCTAGCCTCATCAACCAAGAAAGAAACACTCTCACAATGGGATATTATGGCGACGCCAGGCTCAGTGTTGATCATCCATTGCTGATTGTACCGGAACACGGCCCGGACCTCGTACCAGTTGTTCACGGCGCCGCCCACGTTTATGGGCGAGGAGCCCTGGCCATCCAACCGCCGCCGCCAGTCGAGGGCGCCAACGTGATGTCGGTGCAAGAGTTGTCGGGCACGCGGATGCGGACGCTGACGATGTACCTCCCACCGAGGACGAGGCGGGTGTTGTCGAGGGGCTGGTAGATGCCCCAGTCCTCGTCCAGGTTGTTTTCGCTGTGTGAATAGGTGCCTGACTGTTGACCGACGTAGACCTGCTCAGTAGAGATGCCTAAGCTACCCGGGTTTCTGCTGTTGAAAAGTCTCCAAGGCTTGATTCGGTGCTGCTCTCAGTAGAAGCCGCTGACAACGTCTCCGAGGAAGAAGTAGTGATACCACTCAGAGACGAAGTAGTCAAAGGCGGCAAGCATGGTGAAGCCAATACTCCATGGGTCAAAGCCAACAGTGGAAGAGCACATATCTCGGACCTCATGGTGAAAAAGCCAACACACAAAAAGATTGCTTCAAGAGAAAAGGAACGAGTGGCAATGAAAACTTACAAGGGCTAGAACAAAAAAGAAGCTTAAAAATAAGAAAGGAGACGGTGCTGTTATGTTGTTGACCATGGCTGCTATGCCGTGTCGATACTTTGCCAATAGCACGCTTCAGAAAGCCCGCAGTGGCGCAAGTTGTAATTTCCAGCAGCTGTCAGCTCTGCCATTTGAACCAACCGGCGAGAGGGAATCTGGTGACTCTGGGGAAGAAATGGAAAGAGGCTTGACGTTTTGGCTGTTGAGAAGAGGCACTGAGGCTTCTGCAGCGCAGTTGACATGGAAGTTGTCGGCCGAAAGTCATGGTGTAAGTTGGAGATGGCTTCCAGCACTGGCTGAAAAGAGACCACTGGACGCTGACTATAGAGCTAAAACTCGTCAAGCCATATCAGAATCGAAGCACAGGTAGTAACGCATCCATCAATGAGCAAGTAGCTGCGGTTTGGCTTACTTGTGATTTTATCTTAAATCGTGAGTCGTATCGTGACTTGGCTGCCCGAGATGGCTATTCCCCTGCCGATCTCGACAAGAGCCGTCCTACCACGACCGTCATCAACCAATCAGAAGCAAGCCTCTATGGCTCAGTGGTAGAGCGTGTCACTAGTAATGACAAGGTCCCAGGTTCGATCCCTGGTGGAGGCATTCAACCAGCTTCTTCTGATTGTTTTGATGTGTCCAATCTTTTTGAAATGCCCCTGTCTCGGATGATTTACTGTTACCCGTGCGGTATCTTTTTTGTTCTTCGCAGGGCTGTAGGGCACTTCCCCGGATGCTCAGATTCCCGAGTCCGAAAGAAGGTACGTACCCCTCTATAACTCGACCAAAGGAAGGCGTGGTCTTCCCCCACGTCATCTATTGCCTGGAGCTTCCGAGCTGCGGGAGCTCTCCTCCATCATGACAGCTCCACCATCACCATCAAAAAGACCAATTTTCTCAACTCAAGCTCCATTCATTCTATAACCCACATCTCTCGAATCAACTGCACAAGGGCCAGCTCGCTCGTTCATCCCGACAGCATCCGCTACCATGCCTGCCGAGGACTCCCGCTCGTACGGCGACGCCGCCCACGAGACTGCTTCTGGCTTCATCGCCTATGCCCGCAGCTCTGTCGATCGTGTTGTATCCCCTGATTCTCGGGAGCGCGCGTACAAGAACACGGCCTCGTTCGCTACTGACCGGCCTTTTCTCTTTGTGAGCTCCCTTGCTGATGCCTCCCTTGAAGCTACCACAAATCTAACCTTGACCAGTCTATTATTGCCTTTCAGCTTCTCTTCGCCTTCCTCCCAATCCTCCTCTTCATCACATTTAGTCTGTCAACCGTCGCCTTTGCTCTCGGCGCTGCCGTCCTCTTTTCACTCTTCTGGATCGGCGTCGCCCTCATGATCCTGGTGCCTACCCTACTGGTCACATCGTCCATTGCCGTTCTCGCCTGGGCCTGGGCCGCAGGGAGCTTCATTGTTCTCCGGTGGCTGTATGAGCATGCGCCCATTGGGGGCAAGGGTACTGAGGTCGCTATCAAGCAGGAGAATGGGAGCTAGACCCAAACACTCTTCTTTCCGGAGCATGGTATTTTCTTTTCTTATGGCTGTTATGTTTCGGGAACTGGGGACGAAGGAGACGGTTCATGGTAATGGAAAGATAATCAGCGTTTCTCAGAGTTTCGTGTGTCTAGGTCTTGTACGATACGATGGATTGATGGACACGGATAGGTTCCAACAATAGCGTCAACACTTCTGTTCAGCTGGTAGGTGATGGCAGGTGGAATACATCACTCATTTCACTTCCATGATGGTCAACTCGCTGTCACCTCCAAATCACAGTGTTGACAGTCAACTTCTATTCCACATTACAAGCAGAGCCGTCCGTCTATCGAGCATCCCAACCCAGTGATAGGTACATTACAAATACAGACCCTCTGGTTCACCCTCCTGCTTGGTGCGGAGCACTCTCTCACGCGCCGATCGGAAATCCGCCATCTGGACACGCATTCTCCGCTCTCGGAGAGCCAGCAGACCCGCCTCGGAGCAGATGGCCTTGATGTCGGCACCAGAAAGGTCGTCCTTCTGCGAGATGAACTCCTCCAGATCAACATCGTCGTTAAGGCTCATCTTGGACGTGTGGAGTGTAAAGATCTTGCGCTTGGTGTTTTGGTCGGGGTTCTCGAAGAGGATCTTTCGGTCGATACGTCCTGGTCGGATCAGGGCAGGGTCCAGACTCTCGATCTTGTTGGTGGCCATGATGACCTTGACGTCACCACGGTCGTCGAATCCGTCCAGCTGGTTCAGAAGCTCTAGCATAGTTCGCTGGACTTCTCGCTCACCGCCTGACGTCGAATCGTATCGCTTCGTACCAATGGCATCGATTTCGTCAATAAAGACAATGGACGGGGCGTTTTCTCCAGCAACCTGCAGCATGTTAGTAGACGTTTCCCCTGTCGAACAAATAAACTTGCCTGGAAAAGCTGTCGCACGAGTCTTGGTCCATCACCAAGATACTTCTGGATCAGTTCACTGCCCACAATACGCAGGAAAGTGGCAGATGTTTGGTTGGCAACCGCCTTGGCCAGCAGCGTCTTTCCTGTACCAGGGGCACCGTAGAGAATAACACCCTTGGGAGGCTTGATACCCATCTCCTCGTACAGCTCAGGATGGAGCAGTGGCAGCTCCACTGACTCCCTCACTTCCTGGATCTGCTGCTCGAGACCACCAATGTCGGCGTATGACTCGGTAGGAGCCTTGTCGAGCTTCATGACACTGACGATAGGGTCGGCATCATCTGTCAAGACGCCAACAATACTGACACTCTTGTGATGCAGAAGAACACTGGCACCGGGCTCCAGCAGGTCCTTGTCGACGAAGCTCATGATGCTGACGTAGTACTCAGGACCGGTCGTACTGCTGACAATGGCGTGGTCATCGTCAATCAGCTCCTCCAAGGTTCCGACGCCCATGGGGCTTCCTCGCATGTCATCAACGCGACCTCGCTCATCCGCTAACCGGTCGATATCCGCATCGGTGGTGGCAGTCTGGCCCTCCTTGGCGGCCTTGGCCTTGCGTAAACGCTCCTGGTTCTCGACGTACTCCTCCTCAAGCAAGAGATGATCGTGGATTCGCTGCATTCGCAAGAGACGGAGCTTGCATCGGCTGGTCGGGTAGACGGCGGGAAGCTTCTGGGCGGCGCTGGTGCCACCGGCCTTTCTCTTCTTGCGGCCAACTCGAGTCGTAGGTCGGGGCGGAGGCTCGTACTTGGGCTTATCCTTCTATGAGGGGGTTAGAGCAGCATTCATCATGTGTCCGCGATGCACTTGCCTTCTTGTCCTTGTCATCGCGCCCATCTCCCCCCATGCCAGATTGACCTTGACCCTGTAACGACGTCAACAGCTGCCAGACACCGTGTGTGGCCACGGAAGCTCACCATCTTGGCTTATCTAGCTCTAGGAGCCCCAGTTCTTCTGATTATCGATAAAAGAGACGCTCGCGATGTTGTTGTGTGGAGGTGTGGCGGAGGTGGTTGTTGTGGAAGATCGAGGTCGAGGCTCCAGGCGACCCAGTGATGATGAATGCGAAAGCGCCAATGCAATCAGGCGCCAGGGAAACACGACAGCTGGAGGCCAATCACGTGCCTAAGTCACGTGAAGCTCCAGCAACAACACCTCGACCGACGATGACACTTGATACCGTATAAATCGTCAAAAAAATTTAGCTTCGACTTTTAAACGCAAAGATTAATGACTTGGATTTGGTCTTTCGTCGAAAAATGTTTTGAAGCCATCGGTGTTGAGCGAAATCGGGAACATCCCTGTCGGTTGCAGCCTAGGGGACCGCACTGCTGACGGGACTTCACGCGACATTTCACATTTAATGATATTTCTTCCAGAAACTAACTTGCCTCTCTGAATATCAATCAAGTTGAATGAATAATGGGCTCTACGACTCTTCTTCGTGGCTTCAAAGTTTCCATCAGCACCCTTGATGCCTTCCTCTACGCCAACGGCGTATACGAGACATACGGAACTCCCCCGTTTTACAAAGATCATCCCGACAAAGATGAAATCTCGAAGCTATTCTACACCAAGATCACACAAGCAGGTGGAACTGCGGACAAGAATAGGTTCCGGGTCATGATTCCCTTGATGGAGGGCCATGACAAGTCCACTGTTGCGTACGTTACTTATGCCTGGCTCACGGTCTACGCACATCGCGAGGTTCTTCTGGATGAAGATCTTCCCACTGCCGTTCCTGAAGGATTCGAACAGTTGAGGCGAGAGATCTTGTCGTTCGGCGAAAAGCTCGAGGACGAGGACAAAATTGCCGACGAGGGCAAGATGGGGCTGTTCTTGGTTCACATATACGAGATTCGAGGTTTATACACACCCCAAGAAATGCGTGAATGGGCAAAGGTAAGAACTAATTCTTGCCTATTCGTCTCTTCAGCTGCTCGATGCTAACCTAGAGTCTTGGCCAGGTTCCTCAGTACTGTGACCGGTGTGATGCTGTGTTTGACGATCCTTATCAAGCGTTTACTCAGCGACAGCTGCATCGTAGAGATGTGCATGGATCCAAGGAGAGCACTTGTCCACTTCCTGAGGGTTAGGTAAGAGTGGGGAAATGTTTGCTTAATCTTCAATAGCCATTAGGTAGATATGCATTAGGAGTACATTCAAATCGGCCTCATCATTAGTTCCATACAAGCTCGCGTCTCACCCGAAGACAATCAACTCCGACAACCCATCACATACTCATGACCAAATGATTCAATCAAACCAACACCTAGCGAACAAGTGAATAAATGCGGTGTAGAGCATCTCTCACCCTTTTCAACCCTGTGATCTCTTTGCGGGCCTTGCTCTTTTCTCGCCTCCGAGTCAGCCTTGGGAATAGGCGTTGAGCTGCAGTTTGAGGCAGACTTTTGACCTTTTTAAGAACCTGTACTGGCTCTTTGGACCATTCTTTTTGTTTCTTCTCCATAAGAAGGTCGGCATATCTGGCGAAGGTGCCCGTGACATCCTTCCACTCAGGATCTGAGTCCCTCTCTTGTATAATGTCGAAACAGTGTCCTGCCCACGGTCCTCGCCTTTGGAAGAGACGCTCCAGTGTTGCAGTGGAACTATCAGGTGGGATGGCCTTTGTTCCCAGTAGAGCTGTCCAGCAGATGTACCACAACAGGATCGCGTCCACTGTGGCCCAGCGGTGGTTTTCAAGAGCAAGTGTCATGCGGTCTCGGTTGTTGTTCTCGAGTACCAAGCCTAAAGAGACGTATTCTTTTGTTGTCAGATTACGGAGTTGCCAGCGAGTTCCCTCCACATAGGGGATGCGGTCTATTGATGCCTTGAGAAGTGTGTGCAGCCCTTTTGGAATGCGGCTCACGGGGATGTACTTGTCGAATGCTTCAAGGTAGATGTTGCGGTCAGTTTTTGAAGCTTCAGTGGAAGATTGAAGCATTCGTTTCCTCCAGATGTCAGAAGGGTTGATTCTGTCATCGTTTTCATCAACAGCCCAAGGTTCGTTGACCTCGGGATGGAGGCCGTGTAGGCTTTCAGGTAGGTCATCGATGTATGAGCTAGCGCAGATGAGAGGAATGCCAGCCCAGCTTGGGTCGCTGGATGATGTGCGGTAGACGCTTCGAACCATTGAGGTGACATGCCGCCAGAGGGTCCGAGAGCAGAGGCCGAGAGCCACCATTCCTGAGACGCCAAGTGGTTCAAGGATCATGTCGATGAGCTCAGGGGGCAGCCTCTCGAGATGGGAAGAGGGGAATATGTACGATAAAGGCGGAAGATCTCGTTCTGCTAGTCGGTATAGCTTTCTGAAGGCCCCAAAGGTCTCGAAACAGGTGACAGGGTCTAGATTCAGCCTATGGCAGAGCTTGGCCGTCGGGGCCATGACGTGCCACCCGGGGTGCTCGATACGGCTGAAACTCATCACGAATGATAGATGCAGTTCATTTCAGTGATGTTTTAAAGGATGTAAAAGACTGGGAAGAGTGTTGGAGATGGCAAGTTATATGCTTGGCAAATATGCTGTTGCCTGTTGGCGCGTGCACCTAAATTTAACCCCTGAGCTGAGCCCTTTCAAGCCAATCATGACTGACATGGCTTGAAGCGAAACCCGGGAATAGCAAGGTAGCGTCGAGGATAGTTTTTATTTTTAGGGTTGGCCAAGGCAATGTTTCTGCTTGGGGGAATATTAGAGATGGGGGCAGCATTTGTATGTGGTTGTCATTATTTCATTGAGCTCTCCTCTCAGAAACGTGCTTGATATTAGCAGGAAAAAAAATCCATTTAAACTGAACTTTTCTCGTTGAATACCTGACAACCAAGTTGCAAAAATAAAGACATACTCAAAAGAATGGGCTCATCAGATATCCCCCTCAGCACCAGCCTGGATCGTCCCAGCATCAACGATATGACTATCAACCAGCGTAACCTACATCCTCATGGTCCCCCCTCCTCCGGCTTCAAGCAAACTTCTCAAAACTTATGAGTAGGTTTAGCTAATTATAGTAGAATGATACCCTAATTTAATAAAGATGTTAGGTCTTATTTTGCAAATTCCTTTATAGCTCCTATAGCTTAGTATACTAACATGGGCCTATGTCCTGGCGTCCTCGTCACAGCTAACTATTCTCTTAAGAAGCATCTCCTCATGTCGGAACCCCTCACCCGTTGACTTGCCCCTTTTAATCACCCCTGGAGCAACAACCCAGTTCACCACTCGTGGCTTCTTTACAAGATCCCCTGTCTCCAGTTCCATGGTCTCTGCGTCAAACATCTGAGCTTCCTGTTCCTTCTCGAGATCAAGTGTCCAAGCGATGCGCGCAATTTGCCTGCTGATCTCCTTGCCCAGCACAAACGCTTCACCGATGATGCTGGAGAGTTCATCTGCCAAATCTTCTCGAGATCCGGCTATGGTGTCGAAAGTGTTGAGTAGGCAGCCAACGATACGGCTTACCTCCTTTTTCTGCCATTTCTCGATCTGAGACTGCTCCTCTGGGCCCTGAGCGTCTAGGAGGAGTCCTATCGTGGTTGCGCTCCAGGTCTGGAACTTTCGCTCTGCTTCGGGTTCTGGTCTCTCAATCCCGCGGGAGTCGCTGTTCCATGCTGCGCCAGGCTTTGTTAGAGTAGTCTCTGAGATCTACTAGTGTGTTCGACTTACCAGGGTCCAACTTGGTGTGGAGATGTTTGAAACTCTCGCTCGTCTTGCCGCCAACCCATGTAAATTTGTTAAAGACCTCTGCGACAAGGACTCTCCAGGTGAGAGCTTGGATGATCTGATAGTTTTTCTTTGAGTGCACTCCAGCATAAATCTCTGCTTCCTTGCCTGGCATGATCGCTCTGGCATGGTTCAGGTAGTTTGGTAGTTTTGCAAAGATACTGATCTTTGGTGGTGACGTGCCCTCAAAGTACTGGAAGGAAAAGTTGCGGATCGAGTACCTAAGCCTAACGATGAGTCCAATCAGATACTCGTCCGTGATCTGGTAGAAGCCTTGCGCCGTGGCTCGGAGTTTGTTGAGCTCCGTGGCAGCCTTTTTCCACATTCTGGTACGCTCAGTCACCTCCTTTTCTTTCTCCTCAAGCTCATGCTTGAGCTTTCTTTGGTTCGAGTCGAATTGTATCCTGAGATTTGCGCTCTGCTCCTTCAGAAGACGGTCTAGATAGCCCTCATACAGGTCTCTTTGTCTTGCGAGCCTCCGATGTTGTTCCTGCAATCGCGTCTCGCACTGCATCCTGCGAGCCCTCTCGTATTCAACATCGAGTCGCAGTCGCGAGATTGTGCGTTCATCTTCCGTCTCGCCAGAGACATCATCTTCGCTTCGAAGCGTTTGACCATACCTCCATGCACTCCCAACAGAAGGATAGGGGGTATCCGTGGTTCTGGGTCGAAAGGGGGTTGCAAGGGGAAAAGGGGACCCAGACACCCAAGCTGGTCTGGGTCTGACATCAGCACCTGGCGCAGAAACCATCGGCCCGCCAAAGATTATAGGGGAGTGCCTCTGCCGAGTGGGATCCGGCGAAGGAGGTGTTCGGCTCTGCGAGCCTGTGTCTTTCTCTGATTCGTGCGTCATTTGGTGATTGGGATCTAATAAATGAAAAGATGGGGAAGGAGAAAAGAGAAGCAGTAAGTATGTCTGTCAATATTGTTTGGCCTCGGGAAGAGGTTATAATCAAGACTTGGGGATTTATTTAAGGGACGATGGGAAAGCATGGGCTGAAAGACTCCGTGTCGATTTATATTCTTCACTGAAATGACACGTTTCTATTCCATGCTCAGCAGCTCAACGTGTCGTGTTAAGCTCAGTGTTGTTGAGCATCACATTCACCATGCATGAGTCGGTCAAACCACGGTGCTCAGAAAATAAGACCATCACGCGTGCCGAAAAGAACGATCTTCTGGCTCAGTTCCCATCAGGGGCCGGGCTGTACCGAAAAGAACGAAGTCAACCTCTTCATGGTCAGCCTCACTCCTTGATAAATAAAATTAATCTTTTTGTACGAAATATTATAAAATAATAGAATAATTAGGAGATTTTCAAATGTTTTTATTATAGTTTATTGATTAAATTTAGAGCAGGATTAAGTAATATATTTGTCCTCTAATGGAGACGATGGAAGTGTCGATGGCAAGCCAGAGGAACAAGCCAGCAGAGAATACACCCCCCCCCCCCCCCCCCCCCCATGGGAAAAGGAAAGGTAGTATCTTGCACTCATCTTTCTCCTACTAGGTTTCTATGGCTATAGAAGCTTAACTTTTTCTTAGGTTTACGGTGTTTTATAGCATTGGGTTTTGATATTGCCGTGTGTTTTTTGATCATGTGTCTGAAGCATGTCATTGACTAGGTAGAATATTTGTCCTCGTGTCTTATTTTTCGTTGACCCAGGTGCTATTGTCGTCCATCGATGGAGTCAGCCCCAGAAACCGCGATTCTTCATGTTGATCACGGGGCAAGAAATTCTCCCCGTGAGTATTGTTTTGTTGAGACTGATTCTACGAGGCAAGGTTGTTGATCGACAGATGGAAAAGGAGGTTGTATTTCCCTAAGCCTAAGCATTTACTATAATAGCTTCTCTTACAAGTAGTTGATTGAAAATATCTCATCATAGTCCATGTACGTTTGCGAAAACTCATTAGCCTAGACGAAGAACAAGCAGACTTGCACGAACCCATCAAGGATGTGCCCACACACCAGGTTGGCGACGGACAGATGAGTGTAGATAGGACTGCCCACAATAATAGACCATGTGAAAAGCTAAAGTAATTCTCTGAATACTCTGGCGTCTCATTTATTTCTTTGCCCGCGTGATTAGGTACGTTTTAGAACGTTGAGTTTGAGTTTGATGCCGCAATGTGTTGCCAACTTTGTTCGCTGATGCCTTCCTTTGATGACGTGTCACAACGGCCATTGTCGGAACAATGGAGGACAATAAAGCTATATAACAAGACAAGTCTCTCTCTGTGTGGCCAACATGGAGAAAGGTAGAGGCAAACTACTTTGACCGAATCTCTTCCCACGTCATGACGGCGGTCATCATAGCCAACATGGTTGCCAGGAACAAACCGGCTAAATCCAATGTCACTCATCGTCCAAAGCCGTCAGACAAACCGCCTGCCTATGAGGATGATGAAAATCTGCTTGTCATCGGTATCGATTTCGGGACCACGTGAGTACCATTCTTCTATCCAGGAACCATGTCTGACTTGCCACTGTAGCTATTCAGGCATCGCATGGGCTACCCAAACAGACTTCGACAGCGAGCAGATCAACCTCATAACCAGCTGGCCAGGGTCGGGTCGAGAGGAAGGTAAGGCTCCAACCGAGATATGCTATGACGATGAAATGCTCTGGGGGTTTGAGGTGGACAAGGACACCACCCCCATTACCTGGTTCAAGCTCCTACTCTTGAAGGAGGAGGACCTATCCCCGGAGTTGCGTTCCTTCGAGTTCCTCCTCCGCGCCAAGAAGATGGCTCATGAGAATGGCAAGACAGCCATCGATCTCATCGCTGATTATCTCCGGGCGATTTGGCGTCACACACTCGAGTCTATCGCCAAGGATCGCGGGGAATCAGTCCTCGAAGCGTACCAGTTCCACGTCGTAATTACCGTCCCTGCTATCTGGAAGGACTATGCCAGGCAGGACATGGAGAAGGCGGCCAAAAGGGCCGGTATTCTTGTTCGCAGAGCAGCGGGCAAGACTATCTTGACATTCGCCCCGGAACCAGAGGCCGCCGCCCTATCGACTCTTTGTGACCCAGGTCGCAAACCTAGGGAGGGCGATGTGTACCTTATCTGCGATGCCGGAGGTGGCACAGTTGTGAGTTGTCAAAGAGCTTTGTTAGTCGTGTCACTGACGTAAGGATCTCAGGATCTCATCACCTACGAGATCACCGGCGTCGACCCGATCCTGATGAGGGAAGCCGTCGAAGGAACAGGTCAGTAACCTTAGCGTCCTATCCTTTTCCCGTGCACTAAACAATGCAGGCGGACTCTGCGGAGGTATCTTCATTGACGAGGCTTTCGAGGCCAGGGTGAGGGATCGCCTAGGTCACAAGTGGGATCAAATCAGCCAGTCAGGCATCAAGGAGATGCTCAAGGGCGACTGGGAGCTTTCCATCAAGCCACAGTATAAGCTTGGAAACGAAAAGAAGGAATACGTGGTATCGATCCCGGCCGAAGCTTACCAGAATGACAACGAACTATTCAACGACATGACATGGGAGCCTTTCATCAAGAACGGCCGTATTCATCTCAGAGGGTTCATTGATTCTTTCCTTGATAATAGTCTCTTGATCTAACCATTTCTCTAGATGTCACATCGAAAAGGTCTTTGCAGAGTCTTTTGCTAAAATTGATGAGCTTGTTGAAGTCCAAATCCTTCAGGCCGAGAAGCAGGGCCTGTCGTTGACGGTAGGCGATACTATAGCTGTTGGCAACATACTCTAACCACTTTTCATGACTCACAGGGGATCATTCTGGTTGGCGGCTTGGGGAGTAGCCCTTATCTGTACGAGCACTTGAGGGCTCAACATGGACCAGCCAACATCAACATCCTGCAATCGACCGGAATGAGACCGTTAGTCCTTCTTCTCAGCACCACCAAGCAGTATTCAGCTAACACCTTGCCAACCAGTCGTACGGCAATCTGTCGAGGAGCCGTGTACAAAGGCTTCGGAACCACGTCCTCCAAGCGAGACAGCCCTGCCCCAATCCAAGTCACCTCGACCATCTCAAGAGCTAGTTACGGGGTAAACCACAGAAGCGCTTTCAACCCAAAAGTACACCTTCAGCAGGACAAGATATGGAGCAAGACGGCATACGCGTGGGAGGCCGACAACCAAATAAGATGGTACCTGAAAAAGGTGTGTGGCTTTCCTCTCTACAACAGTTCCGGTACCTGACACTTGTTCTAGGGAGAAAACGTGTCAACCAAAGAGCCAGTGTCCCACCCCTGGTACGTGCTGTACGAAACCGACAGCAACTTCGACGGGACCTTTAAAGTGGCGATCTCTCAGTGCCAGGAGGATATGCCCCCCACGCGCAGGAACGACAGCGTTAAGACGTGGGTCACCATCAACTGCTCGATCGATACTCCCTTCTGGGGCCTGAAAGATCACTGGAACAAGGCTGGGATCAGGGTAAAGAGGATAGACTACCACGTCGAGATGGTTCCGTCTGGCGCCTCTATTGAGTTTGCGGTTGTGGTGGATGGAAAGAAGGTGGGCAAGTCCCAGTTTCAAGCTCACTTTAGCTAGGTAGACTAGATTATGTCCACCTCGTGGTTTCTTCTTTTTGGAGTTGCGAGTTTAATCAATTGTGTTTTTGCTACTATTAAACATGCATTCAATAAGAAAAGTTCAGTTCAAAGCAGATTCCTTCAGCGAGGTTGTGAATTGTAGACAGTGGGGTCTTTCAACCTAGATTTCTGTTTCTGTACCTTGATGGACCGGTCTTTTAGTGATTGAATGGGAACTGTATTGTAGTATTGCCAGTCTTGGGAAAGTAATACTTGTCCCTTCCCTACCTAAACTCACTCTTAAACTGTTTTCTTTGCTTCTGTGCTCTGTCTGTATTAACTACCAAGATGAGACGAGGATCACTTTACTCAGGGATAATGCCTACCCGGTAGTTGTTTGTGACACACCTGGCTGTGGACAACTTTGAAGTGAACATGTAATACGTACATAATAAAAGAATAAGTTATGAGCTCGCCTTAATATTTTATTCTCTTGAATGACAAAACTCAACACCAAAGAAACTGCTTTGAGGTGTAGTCAACTGCTTCATCATTGACTCTTTACTAAGGACATCCCTGCAAGCGCTAGAGCAATGTAATCCTTAGTGGTTGCTTAGTGGAGTGACGTCGCGAGCACTCACAGCCACACACGCCACAAGGCAGACCCCTCATTACCAGGGAAAGAACAAAGCCTGGGGCACCTTCTTCGACCACACACGAGCATAGCACAGCACAGCAAGCACCAGAGCCTTCCATCTGCAGCTGCAGAGGCACCACCACCACTTAACCTCCTCCTCCTCCTCCTCAACACCCGACGTTATCCTACTACCACGCATCAACCTATCACCACCAGCATCATCTCTCCTCTCCTACCTCGACACACCTACAACCATGGCTAGAGAGCGTCGCATCATAAAGGAGCTCAAGGACATCCAGGCCGATCATGACAGCTCAGGCGTGATTGCCACCCCAGTCACTGATGGCAACCTCGTCCACCTAAAGGGAACCTTTCCCGCCCCCCCCGACACTCCCTACGCAGGCGGCACCTACCAGGTCGACATCCAGATCCCCGACCAGTATCCCTTCAAGTCTCCTATAATACGATTCGACACCAAGATCTGGCATCCCAACATCAGCAGCCAGACGGTAAGATTCTTTGACTGGGAAGCTGACCCAATGCTGACTCTTGCTTCTGTAGGGCGCCATTTGTCTCGATACCCTCGGCTCTAACTGGTCTCCTGTCCAGACCATCAAAACCGCCCTGCTCTCCCTCCGAATGCTCCTCGAGTTCCCGAATCCCAAAGACCCGCAAGACGCAGAGGTGGCAAACATGATGCTCAAGGACCCTGAACGCTTCGCCCTCATGGCTCACGAGTGGGCTGTCAAGCACGCCGGTGCCCCGCGACGGGATATTGATCTGAGCAAGTGGAAGAAAGAGGGTTCCTCTACTACCAATGAGAATGACAACAGCAGGTATGTGGACAAGACATGCGCAGTTTGGAAGCCTCGTATTAACCGGAGACAGGTATATGGGATACAACAGGGACCTCGTCGATCGCTTCGTCAACATGGGATTCGCCCTCGACGCCGTAACCGAAGCCTTCATGTTTTTTGGTATCGACCAGAACAATGGACAAGATTACGAGCTGGAGGAGGCATATATGGGAGACATCACGGCCCGCCTGCTGGGTGAACAATGAAGCTCTCAGCGACATGACCGAATACGGAACCAGCGAACACGGGATAGTTACGAATATTTTGCATGGTATGGGGAGTTTGAATGAGGTTTTGCTTTTTGTTATATTGTATCTTTTTTTTTCTGTCTTCTTTTTGCTGGCATAGACTGGGTGAACTGAATGACAGCGCTGCAATCGATACCGTAAGGTACTTGTACGTTAGATCGCGTGCAAGAGGAGGAAAACCACGCAGCGAATGATTTGTTTGTGCATCTTGTGATGCATTCTTTTTGAGACTGTCTTCTTACTGCCCAAGCACCAAGCCAGACAGGTTCTGCAGCGAACCAACCTTGATAGCTCACGTGTACTTCTAGCCCCAACCAGGCTACCCCATGATATCATCATGTGTAGCTCAGAAACACTTTTCAGCATTGGACCTATTTCTCGCAGCGTAAATGTGACATTGACATTGTATGGCGCGCTGCATGCAGGCAGTGGATTATGTATGGCACGCATTCGCCTGCGAAAAAGAAAACACCAAGGGGCCCATCCACAATCTAGCGCCAGCCAGACCGTCCTTCTCTATCAGGTAGGTACGAAAAATCATGGAACATAATGCAGATAGCCCTCCGTGAGCGAGTCCTCAGCTGACCGTACTGGGCTCTACTAAGCTCACTTGACTCCCTCTCACACTCTTCTCACATGCCCCTTACAACTGACTCCATTGGCTAGAGTCAGTGAGACACAGCAAGGCTACCACTTTATAGCAGATCCCGACGGACAAACTCGTTGTACAGAGCCTTGCCCAGACCAGCGGGAGAGCGCTCAACAATGACGCCGGCGTCCTCGAGGGCCTTGATCTTGGTGTCGGCACCACCCTTGCCGCCGGAAACGATGGCACCGGCGTGACCCATTCGTCGGCCGGGAGGAGCAGAGATACCGGCGATGAAGCTGACGACGGGCTTGCCACCCTGGACGGTGTTGGCCTGCTTGAGGAACTCGGCGGCGTCCTCCTCGGCGGAACCGCCAATCTCACCAATCATGATGATACCGTCGGTGTCGGGGTCCTCGGTGAAGACCTTGAGGCAGTCGATGAAGTTGGTGCCGCTGAAGGGGTCACCACCAATGCCAACAACGAGGGACTGACCAAGACCGGCCTGGGTGGTCTGGTTGACGGCCTCGTAGGTCAGGGTACCGGAGCGGGAGACGATACCGATGCGGCCGCGCTTGTGGATGAAGCCGGGCATGATACCGATCTTGCACTGTTCGGGAGCGATAATGCCGGGGCAGTTGGGGCCGACGAGGCGGGTCTTGTTTTGCGACTTGAGCATATCGGTGATGCGAACCATGTCTGGGAAGTGGGCCCACGTTAGACCACTCATCCACCCAAATTGAAACTGTCATCTGGGTGAAAACGTACCATGCTGGGGAATACCCTCAGTGATGCAGACGACGAGAGGGATCTCGGCCTCGAGAGCCTCCTCGATACCGGCGGCGGCAACGGGAGGACTGTAAATTTTTGTTAGGTTTCGTTGACATTGATCCCCACCAGATACACATACGGGACGAAGAGGGCGGTCGCAGTGGCGCCAGTCGCCTTGACGGCATCCGACACATTCTTGAAGACGGGGAGGTCGAGATGAGTCGTGCCAGCCTTCTTGGGGTTCGTTCCACCAACAACCTTGGTTCCTATTGACGGCGAGAGTCAGCCTCAAAAGCGCACCCCTGTCACATGCATCATGACATGTGTCGTAGCATTGATGTAGCGAGGAACCGTACCGTATTCGATAGCTTGTTGCGCGTGGAAGCTACGTCACCCGATTAGTTTTGGATGGTCTAAAAATTGTGTGGAAGAAAAAACAACTCACGTTCCCTGCTTTCCGGTGAAGCCCTGGTAGATGACCTTGGTATCGCCGTTGATGCGCAGGTTGTTGATGGTCTTGGCGTACTGCGACGAAGAGTAGGCGCGGCGGCCGACATTGCGCAGCGCAGAGGCGCGGGTGGCTCTAGAAAAGGACTGCATGATTGGAATGTGTATTATAGGGAGAGAAGAGAGGAAACGTCGCTTGGTGCAACGTCAGAAGCAAAGGACCTGTGGTGGTGGTGGTTTGAGGAGGGGGGAGCTGTTGGGGAGGAAAACTGTCGATGGTCCAAACTAAGGAGCTTTGCCCTTCGGGAGAGAGTGAGTGCGAGTGTGCTCTTCGTATCAAGATTATCCCGTGGCCGGGACGCAACGGCCTAAGCCCAAAAGGGTCCGACCTTGTTCACCTGCTTTTTGAGTGACGGTGACGGGACGCTACGGGTGGTCACGGAGGAATTGTGCCGAGAGTCGGCAGACGGCTACTATTTGATCCGACCGTTGCCGTTTAAGAGGCACAGGGACAGCACCTGTAAACCACTCACGAGTGCCGGTGCAGCGCTTGCCCTTACCTCGAAACCCTCGTCGAGCGTCTCCAGCGCGGCTAATCACGGGTGCTTCGGTGAAGCTTGACCACTGCACGAGCCTGCGTCATTGGGCGTCGTTTTTTTCTTTTTTATTCGTTGTGGGGGAGAGCCCGGACTTGTATGTCCAGTGGTCAAGTTGATTAAAGTCCAGAGAAAAATCACTTCCGGTGAGGTAAAAAATCGAATTGCGGACAATGAGAGCCCGTCCCCGTAGATGTTTAAGCGGCATTGATTTGAAACTGCCGAAGAAAAAAAGGAGCACCTGATCTGATCTACCAAGAATGCCTGTTTTTACAATCTTCCTGATCTTAAGAAAATCCCTGCCGTAAAATACCGCCTTTCACGTAAACCCCAAGACGGCTGAAAGAAAGAAAGAAAAAGTTCCTGATGTTGGGAACATGCTTGACTTGAAGAAACCGAGGCTTCACCACTGCCTTGGTCCCTTGGATGCCTCGGTACGGCACTTGTTGTCGGTTGAGTATCTACCGAAATTCGGCTGGGTCAATTGAGGCCGAGTCGCTTTTTTTGCTCGTGCTTACGTCAATGAGGTTTTTTGCGCGCGACATTTCGAAACTTGTGCGCCAATTGACGAAGACTGAATTGCAGCTTTTGTCTTGATCTTAAAAGATCTTTTTGATGCTCCAGCCGACTGCGAGAACTCTCGCGGCGAGGTAACAAGCAACGGCTAGTGCATATGACAGACCCGCAAACGCGATGAGAGCTTTCCAGCCTGCGTCACCGCGATTACCGGCCTCGAGGATTGCTCCAGCAATAGGGAGACTGCTGAGAGTTCCAAAGCTGGCTACCATGAATGCTGTCGAGACGAAGCGACCGTAGTCTCTCGGGTCACAGAGTTGTCCGAGACAGACAGGCGCCAGACCCAGGTTGCTGCCGCTCGCAAAACCAAACACGACCGCGAAGGCGATCAGCATTGGCTTGGAGTCTCCAGCGGGTAACCACAATCCGAATACAGAGATGCTGCACAGAACAATCGTGATGACAATCACGTTGAACCGGCCAAGTTTATCTGCGAGGAAACCTGGCAGAAAGCGACCAACTAGAGAACCCGCATTGAGGATTGAGAGAAGCGTGTAAGAGTCAGTCGTGTGGTCTGAATCCCTTCCAGCATAGGACACAATGTACGTCAACGGCACAAAGAGTCCCCATTCCATAAAAAAGATACCAAAAGCCGACAAGGTAAACTTGAGGTCCTTGAACATGGTAAGGTCAGGCCACACAGAAGTGATCTTGTCCTGCGGCGGCAGACGCGACCGCAAGAAGGTGGTCGCAGGCACAGCGAGGCCAAGCAGGATGAACCCGAGGATGCGGGTCGTCCAGGCAAAGCCCACGCTTGGGAGGAGCTTCTGCAGGAGAATCGGAAAGACGACGCCTCCAATTGAACCTGCGGTGATGGCGATGCCAGTTGCGAAACCGCGTTTGGCATCAAAGAAGTGCGCGATTGATGCGTAGGCGGGCGAATTGAGGAGTGCGCCTCCCAGACCTCCCATCACCGAGTACGAAAGAATAATCTGATAGAATTCTTGACAAAACTTAGACATTGCATTCATCCATTGGAGGTTAAGACTCACCTTCACAGACGCTGAGGATCAAGAGGCTGCTTCCAATGAGCACGCCTCCCACAGCGACCATGAGTTTCGGCCCATACTTGTCAAACACAGGGCCGACCTGAATACCGACAAAAAAGACGATGAACAGGTACAGACTAAAGATCCAACCAATCTGAGACGACGAGTATTCGCGCAGCTGGTTCTCAGAAAAGTAAGACTCAAAGACGGCGGCAGTATTGATGAGACCAAAAACAGAGAGCATGGCACAAAAGGCGCCAAACACGACAAGCCAAGCCTGAAGACCTCCCTCTGGGAATTCGAGGTCGGTTGCGTTGGATGCCGTTTCGGCGGTGGCCGAGTCTCCTATGGCCCCGTACCGGAGGTTACCGGCTTTTTCGGGGTCATGGTCGGGGTTGTTGTGACATTCTTCGGTCACGGTGGTTTGGACGAACTCGGTCGGCGTAGGGCCGACGGCAGTCTGGTTTTTTAGGCAGGTTTCCTCTGCATTGTGTGCAAGAGTCATCAGTGGGAGGGGATTCCTCAATAGATGTGGTAATGTTTTTGCAGGCAACTTTCGGATGGGAGAGATGGGAAAGGAAGAGGGATTGAACAGGTCAAAGCGAGGAGGGTGGGAGAGAATTTATGCCCATGTCGATCGTGCCGAAGTCGGGTAACAATTGAGCAATTGGTGGGGAGGGTTGCGGACGCGGCTTGCAGGCTTGGCAGGTTACCATCTACACCGAGTTATTGAACTCATCTGTCTCGTTTTGGACCAAGTGGTTTGTTTCCTTGAGTCAGTTTAGACTTGTCATGAAAGAGAGCGCCGTATTCTACTCTCCTTGACATGAGTATTCGGGTTACCATGGTTAAAAAATGGTAGTGCTCTGACTTGGGGAGTTTCTGCTTCTCTCAAGGGGGTTCAGCTGAACTTGATGCTAGCCGGATACGAGCTTACTAGTCCAGCCACCATGCCACAGTATTGAAGCTTGACTCCTCTACTCAACCTGAGACGCGGGAAGTAAATAGGAGTTTCTATTTTAGTCTCTGAGTGTTTATAAGCCCGTCGTTGGGTCCGGGACAGCTCGGCGGGCCTTATGTCAAAGCCCAGAAACAACCGTGCCTAAGACGTATTAAAACGAAATAAGTGTTACTAGCTTTCCCTGAAAGAAATGAAATGATATCTGATAGCTTCTGGGTCCCATATGAGCCCTGCTTTTCATATTTGACGAACAGTTGCTTAGGCAAGCCTGGAGGTTTTGAAGGTTGTGCAACGATCTAAGCAGATAGTTTCCTGAGGTTGGATACTATCAATTTCACTGTTGGACCCAAGTATCTCGTCTTGACTTTCCGCTTTGGAAAAGACCTGTAGCATCTGAGACGTTAGTGACTTGTCGTGGAATTGCTCTCTTTGACATTGGCTTTCAGTCTGGGCTTCAGGTGCACTTGAGGGCCATTGGAAACCCGAAACCTATAAGTACACGGACTATTTACGCCAAGTGTGACGGGCCAATGCCTGTGACTGCCACTGGCATGTCCAGAATCTCTACTCTATAATATACTCTATAATAATGCTTCCACGTCTACCACCCATCTACAAACCGTTACTCCTGCATGAGAAAACTCCGCTCACGTTTCCTTCCTTGAACTGATCGATGATGCCTTGCACACTCACGTATGTACCCAAGGTGAGATACAAGAAGCCGATCAAGATGAGGGTGACGTTCAAAACGATCGACATGTAATCAAGGAGAGACTTTCGTGCCTTGCCCACCCTTTGATCTGCGTTCCTCATGCGAAAGTAGGCAAGACCCCAGAAGATGAAGCCAAACCAACAGTTGAATAGCGATGCCATGACAGACAGCACTGGCTCGCGTTAGTGTGGGCAGTATCAGGTTCACGGGGAGTGCTTACATGACTCGAAAAAAGGAATGATCCCAGAGATGAGAAAGGCAAACACCCAGGTCATGAGTAGAACAAATACCCACCAGAACCAGCCTTTGAAGGTGTGCTCGGTGAGGTGACGGGAGTCCTGGAACATTCGAAAGAAGATGAATCGGCCAGTGACAGAGGCGTAAAGGCACCCAACAAATACTATTGTCGGAACCATGAAGGAATACGACACCTTCTTGTAGACGGTTTCCAGGGCACCAAAGGCTGGGGTCACCATGTATTGATTGCCGGTGTAGACGTAGATGACGGTGCCGACGACGCTGAATGTGATGATCTCAGCGATCGTACAAACCCACAAAGCTTTGGGAAAGTCTCTACCGAGGTATTAGAATGGAGGGCCACAGGAGAGACTGTGACAAGCTTACCGGGGCTCGCGCATTTCCGCAATGAAGCTGGGGAGCGTGAGCTGCCCCATAAATGTGAAGCTGATGTTCAGGAAGGCCGACATTCCCGTCACGAGAGTGGTGGTCTTTGGCGTCCAGATGGAAATGATTGGTTCCCCCAGTGAAGGATATCCCGCCGGCTCGCCCTGGGCAGCCGTAAATGCCGTGGCCAGGATGACGGAGATGAAGGTGAAGAATGTTGATATGGCGCCGATTTTGGCCATCATATCGAACGTGCGTGGGAGCGAGCCTAGCCAGCTGATGGACGTGACGACGATTGCGAATGCGACAGTGCGACATGCCCGGATTGGATCGGACACGGTCATGGTGTTGAGGTAGATGGCGCCGACTAGGATGTGGAGGGCTTGAATGAAGGTGTTATTAAGGGTGAACATGACGGCTGTACACCACCACGCCCATTTTTTGTCCCAGAAGAGTATCTGCCCAATATCGCAGATGTCTCTAACCTCGGGGTGTCGCAGACAGAACTCCCACAGAATCAAGCTGGTGTATAACACAACACCGGCGATCACGGCCGTGAGGATCAAGCCAGGGACGAGACCGAGTAGGCTGTACGACCAAGGAAAGCTCATGATGGAGAGCACAATGTACTCGCTGAACAGAAGACCGGCCGTCTTTTGCCAAGAGCATGTCCGGTACTGGATGGTGTTGCCCACTTCAGAGTCGGACTGCGTGTCCACAAGATCAGCCGTCTGACTGTCGCTGTCGTGGATCGTCTTGGGTAGATTGTCGTTGGGGAGCGGTTCGATGCGCGGGCCGATCACGAGATTTCTTCCTCCAAAGGCGGAGGCAAGCCATGACGAGGATCTTGGCGGGCTTGCATTCTCGAGGTCTGGGTGGATGGGCCTGGAAGACATGGGCGAGTCTGTGGGGTATCAAGGAGGGGAGGAGGAGCGCCGTAGATGCAGAGTAAGAGCTAAAAGAGAGAATATGGAGTGGACAGAAGGATCTGGGGATGTGGAAGTAGAGTAGATATAAAGATGAAGAAGAAACAATAGTGAACGTTGCAAAGTCGTGTCCCCAGTTCACCGTCTTCCAACCTGCCTGCCCACTTACACCGGGGCGTCCATCCACAGATGCCGATGGCTTGCTGAAGAATGTTCTTCCCTCCTTCCATTTCAAAACCCCAGCCAGGGCGGCGGCGTGCAAGGTGGTGCCCTCATTGGATGCTCTTTGCGGGGATGGCGACTTCCACAGTTCTGCGGCGGCGCCGTCACCGAAATCAAGCTCGGCCATGGCGAATGACGCACTCTGGTCCCGGCTCGTCGTAGTAACGATCGAGCAGATGTGAAATATTTGATCCACAAAGCGAGTCAAGTACAAAAGACTATTTCAATATTTGACTAAAATGGCCATGCTGCGTGGTAGCAACGAATCAATACATCTCTTGTAGAGTAATAAGCAGCTGATCGGATTATCTTCAACTTCCCGTTAGTTGGGATGGCGGTGTGGCGCAGTCTCGGGGCATCTATTCTCAATACCCCGTTTCAAGATGACTCCAAGCTTGAACGAACTGGCTTCATGCCGTCAGGATAGGCCGTAATAAGGGGTTTCTCGAACCATGCGATTGACTGCCCCAAGACGCGTGCCATAGGTTGGCCTGTCCGAGGATGGATTAAGGTGTACGCTTGCAAGGTGAGCCAGTGATTTAAGCTTACGTCTATTAAGCTTCATCTTCTAGCCTGGCCGCGATGCCCGGAAATAAAGCTCGCAGAGCTTTCTAGGGCGGCAAAGCCGGCTCCCTGAACTAGAATGACATGCATGTTTCGACTTTCAAGAACACATTTATCACATGATATTCTTCGAGGGGGCATAATGCTTGGTTGTATTGATAACTATGCTTCTGTTGCCGGGTTGTGATCTATCTCTTATTCCTTCTAGAACCGAGTAACATAACGTGTTAAGGCTGAGGTTGCTGGGACCTATATCGCAAATACGGGACATGGCACCCAGAGCCTCATCACTAATGGGTCTAAGCTGCTAGAGGCCTCCTCTATCTTTTTGTTTGAATTGTATGTGTTAAGAAGAATCTATTTGGATTCGGCTTGACAGACACATCTGCGTGTTTCGAGGAATGAGCCTGATTCGGGGCGGGGAAGCGGCTCAGCTTCCCCTGGCAGCAAACCAGGCTTGCTCGATTTGCCGACTGAGGGGGTTAGAATGCTGGACAAGTTCGGTGTGTTGCTAAGCCGCCGCCACAACAAATCAGGCTGGGTTTCAGGCATGTCGTGACAAGGGCACAGCGCGTTCTGGGTATGAGATGCTTTGGTATTTTATCTTTTTCAGCCTCAAAAACTCCTTGTTAACCTTGAATTGTAAATTGTAGCTCAATTGAGACCCTATGATTGATGCATTGCAGGCGTTGGTTTAACAGATAGATCCATGGTTGCTAACATAATAAACAGAGGCATCTATAACTTGACCCTCATTTATCTTCTTGCGGCCGCTGCCAAGATAGGAAAGAGACAGGGAGTCTGTACGGCTGACTGATTGGTGCCACGTCAAAGTTAGGGCGTAGAAATTGCCTCACAGCAGAGCCTTGTCTCAAGGCATTCTAGCAGGCGGAACGAGGAAGTGCCGTGCCTGGCCAGATCTGGGGATCGAAGCCAGCCAGAATTATGCCTTGCGATCCCCATAATTTCAACACTCCTGACACTCCAGTGCCATTCAATTCAATTCTCCTGCCATTCCCTCAAGCACACTCAAGCACCACTTCAAGATGGGCGACATGCAAGAGAAGTGCGACTGCAGGAGGCCGGACATAACCATCTTCGAGGTGTGCCGAAGCTGCGGCAATCTAGTCAATTTCGAAGACCTCCGACAACAAGCTGTGGATACCTACGATAGAGACGGTCAGCCGATCGAGGATGTTACTCTGCCCCGACGTCACCTTCTCATGGGAAACCCAAGGAGCAGCTTGAGAGTCCTACACCTGGACAATGACGCGTCCCCGATTCTAAGTGGCACATTCGAACGAGCCTCGATTACCCATCTACCCTCGTATGAAGCAGTCTCCTACTGTTGGGGTGGAGATGATGGTGACTATACTAAGTCTGAATTCATCATCATCGGCGGCAGGCTCTTTCCGATCACCAAGAACTGTGCCGCAGTGCTTCGGAAAATTCGCAAGACAAACAGCAAGAGAGTCATTTGGGTTGACTCACTTTGCATCAACCAAAATGATGTCAAGGAGAGATCGGTTCAGGTCAGCCAGATGGGACAAATCTTCTCGGGGGCACAGAAGGTCCACATCTTCCTTGGCAACAATGTTGACAAAACGACTGCCTCAAAAGCTTTTTACGTGCTGAACTCGATGCAAAACTTGAACGAGTTCAGCATGAAGCTGAGGAATGGGGCAGAACCGGTCAAGGCGTTGTTCACCCAGACCTACTTTTCTCGAATGTGGATCATACAAGAAGTTCTCCTGGCAAAGTCCGCTGCACTGCATTGGGGAACAGCCACCATTCCGTGGCAGACATTGAGCAGAGATCACCTGGAAGAGTTCAAGAAATCCGGCATAGACAGTTGCATCCCCGAGTGGATGCGAATTCGGGCAACGACCAATAATTTCAGGAACTCCGAGACCCTGGGCGAGCTATTGTTCAGTGCCATGGGCAGCACTGCGAGCAATGATAGGGATAAGGTGTATGGAATCTACGGACTGTTATTCGACGCAGAGCAGGAGGGTCTCACTGTCGACTACGGTCTATCAGTGAATCAAGTTTTCACGAACATGGCGATTCACTTGATCAAAAAGCACAACGCTTTGCCAGCCGTTATTCGACACGTCGACCACGACGCCCCTCCCGTTGATGACGAGCAGCTCCCGTCTTGGGTCCCCGATTTCCGATCAAGATGCATACCAAAACATACGAAAATGTCCTTTGAAGGGTTCAAAGAATTGGATATTCACTCCAGCATCTCGTCCGAAGAAGTGGTCTCTAGCATTGGGGAGAAAGGGTTGTGTCTTCGAGGGCATAGACTGAGAATAGTCCAGAGCGGGTGTAGAGAATTGTCTACCGAGGAGCTCAACCAGGGAATCCGGGCAAAGTTCCCAGTGGCATTCAACTATGAAAGAGACGTTGTTTTCTGGATGTCCAATGGATTGACTCTTCACTTGAAAAGACACGCAGCTCAGGAGGATACATACACACTCCTTGGAGAGTGTTATCTCAATCGTCCTGCTCCTTTGCCCACCGTCATCGTTCGAGATCGCCGGAAATCTTTTGCTGAGTCCATGGTCGGCCTGGGCCTGCAAGATGTCGCGTGCCTTTGGAAAGTCTACAAGGCTCTTGAAGATTTCATAAGGTACGGCTCGCTGTGGGATGAAGATATGCACTTTGGACTGCTACGCGCACAGATGAACATGGACGAGGCCATCAGGGCCGCCAAGGCATACCGGGATTTTTGCGGTGGAGAAGTTTTTAATGATGCCTCATGGGAACTTTACAGCGAGCAGCAGCAGGACGCCGCAATCCAAGCGATATTCGTTCTGGGGGATATTCTAAAACCCAAAAGCAAAGTGGCATTCTATGGACTAGAAGGAGCATTTGGCTGGTTGGCGTATAAAAAAGCGTACAACACGAAATGGTGGAGAGATCAACGGAAATATGCCATCAAAAGAATGGTTGACTTTCAGAATTTCTGGGAGGATCTAGGCACGTGGGAGAAACTGCACCGTTTTAGCACACTCCTACAACACCCCGAAAGCTATGACATTCAGAAGATCAACCAGCTCTGTGAGCCTTGGCTAGGGCACTACAGGAAGGCCGAAGATTTGATTCGCTTGCTGTTGAGGAAAACTTCTCGATCTAGGACTTTAGAAACAGAAGTCCTGGAAGAGTTGAAGGCTTGGGAGGTGACCACTAAGGGGCTTTCGAAAGCATTGCAGTGGACGGAAGGGTTCTTCTGGCCGTTTAAGCGGCCGCCTAGTGTTCATGTATGGGACAACCATGAAGAAAAGAGAACAACCCCCAAGGTTGACAACAAAAACCTCTTTGGGATGTTGAGATTCTGGAGAGATGACAAAACGGAAAACAGCCGAACAGAAGAGGTCGAAGAAGACAGCCCCAACGAGCAAAAAGGGACGCCGGATTGGGTTATCAAGAACAATTTCAAAAGTGTTCGGCTTAGAGTCAAGAAATTCCAAGCCCGCCAGGAACATCGGGAGTTTGAGAAACTCGTCCCTGATCCATTGGAGTACGCCCTTCAACCATGGCGTGGCGGATGGGTTACAGGAATTGGCTCGATCTCACGTCTTCTAGCCGCCAAGGACCAACTCAACTTGCAGGCCTTGTTTCGGTTGGAGGAGAGTTGCGTGAAATGTGGTGTTTGGAAAGGGGAAGAGATAGAAATGGTGGAGATTTGTCAGGCCGAGACTATAACTATTGTGTAGGTAGGCTAGAACCGCTTGTTTTCACAGTGGAAGTACACCTTCCACCTGATATTTCCTTTTGATTCTTCTTCAAGGGGGGAGGGGGACTTCAATGATGCTTGTTAGGAAGGTAAAACTGCAACTGTTGCTGTGTTGTCCGATACTTATTGAACGGTTCGTTAATGCCATTTCAAGTCCGAAGAATAAACAGAAGTAGAGACGCACGGTTGCTATGAAAACAAAATTATTGTATCTTTATATTTTACTGATGCTAACCATAATATTGGAGGTCATGGCCCCTAGTGTAACGAAGTCCTAGATATTACCAGTGCTCGCTTGAGCTTCCAACTCACTCTCCATCTTTGCCCACAGCCCCTTTGCCCTGAATCCCGATATCCAATAATTGCCCTTCTCATCCTTTCCGCTTATAGGCCAGCCCTCAGGGAAAGCAGGATCCTGCACGCACTGGATGTATGATGAACGGAGTGGCACACCATCCCTTGATTTTATCGCAGCCGCTCCAAAGTCAAAGTCGAAGAGTGTAGCCTTTTGCCAGTTGGAGTAGAACAGGTTGTACATGCCAGTGTCGCCAAAAAAGATGGGCATGCGTAGTGTTGCGCTGAATTCGCGCTGCAGTGCTGCATAGGCTTCGACCTGTGCTCGCGTGCCTTGGCTGTTGATGGCTTGACGGAATTGCAGGGCAAGCCAGCTTAGGGGCTTTGTGAGGATGTCTCGAGCTGGGAGGAGAACCGTTGGGAAACCGAGGGCCATGGAGATGTAGGGACGGTCGGAGGGGGAGAGGAGATCGGAGGCGAGCACTTTGCGCAGTGACATGGAGTTTTGGGCGGCGACGGTTGTTGTTGAGTCTTTGCCTAGGTGAGAAGCGCAGAGACGTGTCCACCAAGCTACGAGGACATCACCCTCGGTGACAAAGGGTTCCTCGCCTTCATTAGCGTTCTCGGACAACTCATGGCGAACGTTGGCGACCATCTTTTCCCAAAAGACGGCGGGGATGCAGACCATCCGAATTTCTTTGGGCCCAGCCAAGCCCATGATGTTACGAAGGGCATAGCCAGCTAGGCCTGCATTGCCCACCCTCTGGTCGGCGAGCAGATGAGGCTCAGTAGGATTCTTGCCAAAGTCGGCCAAGAGGTCGGTGTCATGGCCAATTGGTGTTGGGATCTCATTCTCACGGCCCTGTAGCATCAAGGTCCAGCCTTGAACGATGGCTTTCTTTCCCATCGCGTCGAACGCGACGTGTGGCCAGTACAGAGACATGCATGTCTTATCGCGAAAGGTCGTGATGTGAAGTCCGAGTGTTGGACGGTCCGTTGTAAGGTAGTCGTCTAGGGAGAGAGCGGCACCGTTGGGTCGAGTCAGATCGGATAAGTCTTCAGGGTCCCCAACGATAGCCGGGCCGGTGAGGTTCTGCGGCCTGGGGATCTTGGAGGCTACAGGATGATCACCCGCGTCCACATCGTGATGGGTATGCGAGAAGGCCACCGCAGGTCGAGATGAGCTAAACTCGGCGGGAACATGATATTCTACTCCACCTTGGGCCTGGATGACGAGCGTGAGAGGGACACATGACAGTCAGGAGGATAGAAGACGTACGTTTCTCCTGAGCCGGCCACCCAACTTCCTATATCCCTCGCGATCGACAAGCCTCTCCAAGGAATCACGGAGCTTTTCGGGGCTCAATGCATCATCAAACACAAAAAGTGTGTAAACAATAACTTTCTTCCACATAACCCCATCCTCGAACCAATGCAGGGGGATGATCTTGTCTGTGGGCACCACAGTGGGTGCGCTCTGCGAGAGTCCCAGCCATTGAAACATTGCTTTTTCGTTTGCGTCGTATTTTGAGAAAATATTAACGAAGAATTATTAGCAGAAGAGAAAAAATCAGCCTTCAGGGCCCCGAGAAACGGGCGAGGGAGGCGAGACATATGGGAAGCTGGCCCGGAGACCCGGACAGGGATCCTTTGGTGGTCCCCGGAGCTCGAGGGGTTCGACTCGCAATGTCGAATGATAAATTACCATGTGGGACCCCGAAATGCAACTCTGTGTTGGTTCCTGGGTTGTTTTCCAAAATACCAGGGTATGGCCCCATTGTTGGGTCGCGTTCCCATAGGTGCGGGAACCTAGTGGTTTTTCAATACCCAGAGCTTGGATCAGGGGAAACAGAGGGCCTTGTTTATGAAGTAGCATCGCTTGTTTTATAGCCTGGTCTTGCAATCAGGAGATGACAGGGGAGAAATCCTATCGGCTCAACGGTTTCCTCATACGGCAGATATACGACCCGCTTCGTTTGGATCTTTAACAAGGAGCCCGCCCTCGGTTACGCTTCTTCCCGTCGGCTTATACCTAGATCCCGCACCTCCATTTTGAGAAGAGCAAGCGAATGTGGCTGTCTTGGACACACGACTGCAGCTATGCCTGTTGATAAGGAGCTCTGGGGCGAGTACGCCGCAGGCGCCTTCATGATTATCCTGCGGTTCTTTGCCCGGTGGAAGGTCATTGGCATCGAAAACTTTGGTATCGAGGATGCCTTTATGGGCGTCGCCCTGGTGACCTACTCGGCCATCACAGCGCTCATCCACCTCATCACGCAGTACGGCAGCACCATCGGCCAGACACCCGAGTCGGTATACCTCCTTACGGATGAGCAGGTCGCGAGCTTTGCCATCGGTCAGAAGCTCACGTTTGCCGACTGGCTGATTTATCTCCTCTACATCTGGTCCCTGAAGTCGACGCTGCTGGTCATGTTTGCGAGGTTGGCAAAGGATCTTCCTCGGGAGGAATTGATCCTCAAGATTGTGATTGGGTACACGGCTTTTGCCTTTGTGGGCGCTGCGATATCGCATATTTGCGTTTGTTTGCCGGTTCACAAGTCGTGGCAAGTGGTGCCGTATCCTGGAGGTAGGGTTTCAACATTGCCAAACTCCCACGTTGACTAGCTAACTTGACCACAGATGCGTGCGCACTACGAAATCTCAATTATTACCTCGTCAGTTTTTTCAACGCCAGTTCCGACCTCGCTATCATCGCCGTTCCCGTCCCCATAATCTTCAAAGCCCGAATCCCTCTATGGCGCCGTCTCCTCCTCGCTTCGCTCCTCTGCTCAGGCATCTTCGTCATCATCGCCACCATCCTCCGCTCATACTACTCTCTCAAGTCAATCACACTGCTTCCTGTCGCTTCAGGCTGGACCTCACGCGAGACCTTCGTCGCTGCTGTCGCAGTCAGCATCCCTGGTATAAAGCCCCTCTTCAGCCGCTCACGATGGTTCCGGTTCCGTTCCACGGCCGATAACGCTGCCTACTATAATGGAAGTCGGGGCAAGAAGGGAACACACGAATTAGTGACTTTCGGAGGATCTGGTCAACGTGGTAGAACCGACGTGGAAGAGGAGGGTGCTGCTGACTGGACAGTCAGTGGGAAAGAGATCAGGGGTACAAGGCTGTCATCTGATGGTAGCGAGGACATCATCTTGTCCAGTAGGGATGAGCGAGGAATGCCCTCGATATATGTAACGAAAAGCTACACACCCTCATCTGAACAGAGAGGTAGCTCCAGTTGAGAAGACATAAAAACGATTGGTCATGATTGCTACTGTGCGCCTCTACACATCTTCAGCCTAACTATTGCGAAACCATAGCTAATCCTTCCCGATGTCCCGAATCATAGGAGTACCACCAACCTTGACAACCTTACTCCGGGCTTCATCCAACTAAAGACACCAAATCAAACTGTAGAGGTCCAAGACCCCACCCCACCCCATGAAGTTTACGCTGTTCTTCTCCCAAAAACTTTGCGATGCCAACATGCATCTCCTCCTCAGCCAGCTCGATAGCTGTCGAGTACCCTGTTATAAAGTCTGGCATCGCTCCTTTGCTGAGGAGGAATCGTAGCATCTCCATCCTGCCATGCTCAGCTGCCCCCTCCAGTGCTGTGCGGCCCTCGTCAGGCGCTCCTGGGGCATTGATGTCGGCTCCTTTCTCAAGTAGCAGACTCACGAGTTGTATGTCGCCCCGAATCGCAGCACCTTGTAAAGCGGTAACACCACCGACTTGGGCTGGGGGCGCATTCACATTTGCATCTTGACGGAGAAGTAGCTCGATAACTTCCATGTTTAGCTTCTCAGCCGATATGGCGCCTTGAAGCGCAGTTCGGCCGTGCCATTCCGCGGCGGGAGTATTGACATCGGCCCCCTGACTCAGCAGGAACTTGACAAAGTCAAGATCTGAATGGTAGGCAGATGAGGCAAGTTGAAGTGGAGTGTGAGGAAAGTAGGGCTCGTTGTCTGCAAAAACACCCATTAAGAAACCGGAGGAATGGGACCGGCTGCGAAGGTTGTTTTCTAGGCTTTTTCTGAAATGAGGGGTGTCAAAATGTGGTAAGGGCATCTCAGAGATCGGTGTGTTATTACCGACTAGTCTATCACACCCATTGATATTTGCGCCGTGTTGTAGTAAGAGCTGAATAGCCCCCGAGTCTTTTCTCAAGGCCGCCAGCTGAATTGGTGTCATGCCCATGAATTTATCCTCGGCACGCGCCCCAGCCTGGAGTGCCAGCTCTAGACAGTCGGGCTGATTCATGTCGAGCAGCCCATGGATAAGAAAACTGGCTGTGCTGTTGAGACGATTGACTGGTGCGCCAAGAGCAAGAAGGTTCCGAAAATACGTATTCACGTTCACCTCACTCTTGTCGACGTCCCCATCAATCTCGAAAACCACACCTTCGAGGAAAGTGGCTCCCCAAGTTGTTGCCCTTGTAGTAACATCGCATCCAGACTCAATGAGATAGGCGGATACCTCCCAGTGACCTCTGGCCAAGGCGGCGTAGAGAGCCGACTCCCCATTTGAGTGGTCGCTGCTTGGAGGCAGATTGGGAGCCGCTCCTCGACTAACGAGGTGCTGTACTAGGGCAAGGTGACCCCTCCCTGCGGCGATACTAAGAGCACTCTGCCCTCGTAATCCATAGCCATTGATTGGAGTCCCGCTGTCAATGCAGGCATCACACTCGAATATGAATCCTTCTTCTGCACATGAAGTGAGGAGGTATTGATGCACCCAAGCCTCATCGTACCCAGCCTCAAGAAGGACGCGAAGTAGTCGACCGTGACCACGAAAAGAATCTACGTTTGATGAATCCAAGGAACGCCGCACTGATAGGGCCGTTTCACCACTGACTTGCGCCCCTGCTTGCACTAGAAGGTAAATTGCGTCCGACGGGAACCAATCGAAGGGCATGCCCATTGAACTGAGGTGTTTGAGAAGGGCTACCATCCCAACATTCGGGTCGGTCTTGCGTTGCAGGAATGTTCTCGTTGCTGCTAAGTTAAGAGACTCGATCGCCATACACATGGCTTGTTCCATGTCATGTGGCGAAATGATGCCATAAGAAGCCTGCGAAAGTTCTCGGTTGTCCTTCTGCGCCGCAAGGATGAGTTTCCGGTAGTCAACTGAAGAGTCGTGCCCTAAGTGCTTTTCTAAGAGCGCATGGATTTCTGGAGATCTGTGAGAGGCAGGCGGTATGTGGATTTGGTCTGGAAAAACGACCCCCGCATCCAGCAGAGTCTGGGCTGCGAAATGGTTGCCGTTCCAAATGGCCGACTCGAGGGCTGGGCCTCCAGGAAAGCTCTGGTTGATATCGGCCACGAGACTGACGATGAATTGCAACATTGAGTGTCTGCGCCGATCAGCAGCAAGATCCAGGATGAGATGAGGATCATCAAGTAATTCGGCATCCGATCTAACATCAGTCCCAAGAGACCCTAGAAGTTTTGCAAGCTCCATACTGTCTGTCTCGATTGCCAATCGAAAAAGCATCGTCCCGAGGGGGTCCGATATGTCTTCGTGGTGACTTTTCACAAGGCTCAAGAACTCCATTGAAGAGACAAAGTCACCAATCAGACACATTGTCTCCACATTGCTGGACACAAGTCTATCTGCGATTTTTGCAACGGCTCTGAGAAACGCGGAGCCAAACGCCAGGTGCCTGACAGCAGGAAGCTGAGAGAAAACCAAAAGGTTTGGCACATGGCCCATCTTTAATATCCAGCAGATTATGCGAAAGTTCTCTTCATCATCAAGAAGATTGTTGGAAATCATGTAGACGATGACTGACAGCGCTTGACCAAGAGGCTGGCCTTTCACGACGTCAAGAAGGTTAGGAGAGAAGTTGAGTCGAGCCCGATTCCCGAAGCCGTTTGATCCCATGGGTGTCATTAGCTCCTCGATTAGCTGTATGATTGGTTTCAGAGCTTTTGTTTGCTCTGTACCGATGTTGAGCTTCGGTATGAATCGTTGCCAACGATGATCAGGGACAAAGGTGCCAATCAGATCGGTGATATTCACGGCCTCAAAACCACTCATGGTAGGACTCAATATATCTGGATAGAAATCATTAGAAAACAAAAATCCAAGGCTTTCACGAGAGAATCCAAGTACCTAAGGACTCCCAGAAGGACGTAAAGGCGGGTTGAAAAGGCAACATTGTGGTCAGATCGATGGAGGGTGAGATGGGTAACAACTGGGAGCTGAATAGCGCCGTTCCATCGCTTCGCATCTGATTTTCGTGGGTGTCGCTGAAAGAAAATGTTTCCTGAAGTTGATCCAAGCTGCCAGGAAACATGGAGGAAGAAGGGTAGACGGCGGTTTCGACAAATGCTGAGACGTAAGGTTCGGCGTCCATCTCGACCGGGCCAAACTCTTCGTCGATATCCAGGTCATCGCTCTGGAAGTTCAAGAAATTCTCTCCTTCATTTCTGTGTTGAACTTCGGCGGCACTGATGTCACAGGGTAACTGGGCCCCTGACTCTGATGGAGCCCGGATTTCGATACGATGTTGCCCGATAGTGTCAATACCTAGATCTATTGAGTGTCAGATTCCAAAATTCATGATTGGAGATTGAGGAACTGGCTGAAACTTACCTATGACGGTGTCTGGCTGGCTGCCACCCCTGCAAAGCTTGGAGTATCGGCGCATAGACCTCGTCACAGTCTCTTGTTTGATGGCCTTGCCGCAGACATAGACGATGGACTTGAGGTGATTGGCCTCTCGTTCTCGAAGCTTGGGGATCAGGATGCTCCATTCCTTTGAACTGATCTTCTTGCAACCGCCGAACTTAAACTTAAATTGTCTAGTCCTGTGAAAAGTTAAACCCAACCATTTATTGCAACAGATAACCAAATAGACATACGTGACTCTCAAGTTGTGGTTTTCATGGAGAAGTTGGATGACTTCGTTGGCGGTTTTGCCCTCGTCAATGTACCATCGGTTGACATCTCGCTCGTACAATTTCCAGTCAATTGCCATGTTGAAGAAGATCAATAGAGATCAACAGAGTAAATGAATGAATGAGATAGAAAGGGGATGAAGGTGGTAAGAATCGGTGTGCTAGTTTGAGTGTCTGCGCTGTGCTTGCTGGAGAGCATGGACATCCCACACTCGACCAGATAAGAGTCTTTATAATTTGCCAGATGAGCTTGGCGCTGTAGCCAAAGCAAGTGAAGGCTCTGCGTGGCAAGCATTTATTGGGCCTTTTGGCCAAGGCGACCGGCTTGGTTGCCTTTTTTTCTGCACTTTTACCATCCTGAAGAGGGGCCTTTTGGTCACCCGCTATCAGTGAGGCTGAATTCATGCAGCCAACACAAGGACTTGAGGGTCTTTTGGTCGCGTAAGCCTAGGTACCTGATGACATGTACCTTGTTCAGGCTCTGAGATGGCCATTTGGTCGTTTTTCTGGCCCTTGCAAGGCGTTGACTGAGGGCAGGTCTCGACAAGGGCGGACTTTGGGCTTGTTGAGGACCACAATTGGGCATATTCGATGGCTTTAATGAACGAGGCGATGCAGAACAATAGCGAATGGGTGGCTTCTCTCTGTTGAACTGGAGGGAAGAAGCCGGGACAGAAGAACATGCTGCGTGGAGGCTTGGCAGAGACGGACATCTGGTGGTGATGGCCTCGAGTGAGTGTGATCCACCTCGATCTCGGCACTAAATATTGGAATTTCATGTCCTTAAAAAAATGACGAATATCGCTTGACACAAGGGAAATAATACAGCAAGGGACATGGGCAGCCCTTCAGATGACAGTTGACACAGCCAAGGTTTTGCATGGTTTCAGCTGAACAGCGGAGAGGCCTTCACAGCCCATGTCATCACATGACTTTGGGGGCCGAAACCGAAAACAACGGTGAGACGATCATCTTACCTTTGCTCCTCTTTCATGCTGACCCCGCAAGTTGTCTTGTTTATTTGAATGCCCTCACTCGAGAACAAGACTGTCTCACACTTCGAGCCACCCTACACCACGGATCTGCTGCTGCGGGGTTAAATCCACATCAAAATGCCCTCACTCAACCTTGCCGAACCCCCATTTCCCTTGGGGGACACTGAGGACGAAATTAGACGGGATCCAAAGCTATGTCGGACTTGTTGGAACCTTTACGCTGGCTCAGCTACCACAGCTGTTCCGCTCCCGGGTATCTCGATGCACGAACACTCCGGCTTCACCAACGCGGCCAAAGCAACTAAGGAGGGGCATGTTGATAAGGCTCCGAGCTGGGCAAGTTCTGGTCGCATAGATTATGCCTCATGGCAAATCCAAGTTTACCTCCCCGATATTCCAGAATCGAGGGCATCGGGCTGTGTTTCCTGTTTACTGCTCACAGAGATTTTGAACAAGCTCACCAACGGGACTGTAGACTTTCAGAGCCCTGAGCTTTGGTTGGAAATTATTTTCTGTAAGGGGAATGCAATGAGGGTTAAGCTCGTGAGAGGAGACCCGCCGGATGACTTTGATATGTTCTCAGATGGGCAAGGAGGAGATTGGGATGTTATCGAAACCTACGAGTTGTACACTTTGCCAGGTGAGTCAAGCAACCCTTATGTGGATGTGTCACTGATTCATGATGATTAGGCTCTCCATCCCCATGGCCAACCATTGGACCATGCATGACTATCGAAAAACCAGACTGGAGCTTGCCGGCAGAGATTGGCGGCTTTGCCAGGCACGTCGAGTTGGACCCTGCGTCTGAGTCATCCTTCGACAGAATCAAGAGATGGATCAAAATATGCAAGACGGAACACGCCGTCTGCTCTGAAGCCGAAGCCAAGCTGACACGAGACCTTCCAAAACGAGTCATCGATATTGGCCCTGAGTCAAACGACGGGATCCACGTTTTTGAACGGGATAATCCCGCCGAGAGGATTGACGAGCCGTATATTGCGCTGTCTCACTGCTGGGGAAAGACTCAGCACTTGGTTTCAAAGAAAGCGACTATCGATGAGCGAAAGAGGAATATCCCGTTTGAATCGATGGCCAAGACTTTCCAGGATGCAGTTACAATCTCGAGGAAATTGGGTATTCGATACATTTGGATCGACTCACTTTGCATCATTCAAGATGATGACGACGATTGGCAAACTGAGGCAGCCAAGATGGCTTCTATCTACAATGGGGCAGAATTGGTACTTTCTGCGACTGGCTCTGTGGATGGCAGCGGCGGTTGCCTGTTTAAAAGAGATCCATACGTAACGGTTTCTGGAACGTTTCCGGATGGCAAGCCTTGGGAGGTCTACGGTCGAAAGACTCTTCAACACAGCGTGTTTGGGTGGAATGTGGAGCGCAACATGGCCAAGGGCTCGTCAAATCCCATCGCGGGTACGAGGCAGACAGATGTTCAGGATCATCCTTTGATGACTCGAGCTTGGTGTTTCCAGGAAAGGCTGTTGGCGACGCGGGTCCTCCACTACACCAAGAACGAGATTGTCTTTGACTGCCTCTCGTCGATGGAGTGCGAGTGCGGAGCCTTGGAAAAGCACGATGAAGACCCGTTGATACCCGCCCGTCGCATCATGAAGACGGGACACAAGTACATCACTGGGACCAAGAGTCTCAGGGCTGGTCGAACATGGTTGACTAACCCTCTCGAGGGAGAGGACAAAGAGTTTGATCAGCATCACGAACTATGGCGCGACCTGATTGTGCAGTACTCTCAGAAGCAGATCACGAAAAGAACGGACGGGTTGCCCGCCGTGGCTGGGTTGGCTCACGAGTGGCGTAACGGTTTGACGGGGAAGTACCTCGCGGGTCTGTGGGAAAAGGATCTGCTGAACCATTTGCGCTGGATGCCTGACGAGGCGGAACCTGCGGAGGAGCCCGACGAGAAGAAACCCAGCGAGAAACCAGAGTACATCGCTCCTAGTTGGAGCTGGCTTAGTGTTCAACGTGGTGTCACATGGGGCGTCGAGAGCTTCATCGACGACACGTTCTTTGTGGACGTCGACCTGAGCCGTACCGATTGCCAACCCAAGAACGAAACCAACCCCCTCGGAGCAGTGACATCGGGCTATATATTCCTCACAGGCCGCATCATGCCCCTCACCTTCTCCATCAGCGGCAAAACCGTCTGGTTAGAGAAGCAAGGCCACAAGATCAAGAAGGAGCTCGAAAGGCCCGACAACCTGTCTCGGTTGCGTAACCTACCGGATAAAGTGGTTTACTGTCTCAGATTCTGCCGCCGTCCCACCACGAGGAACGCGTACGATGACGATTCGGCCCTTGTCCTGGTCAAAGCGGATGCGGAGGCCCGGGAAAACCAGCCGGACGAGGTCCGAGGGTATGAGCATGTGTACCAGCGGGTTGGGTTCATAAGGAATTATATGACCAATGCTTGGGAGCATAAGCGTGATTCAGAGGAAATAGGTCTGTATGTGATTTGATGCGTAGCACAAGTTTGCACAAGACGGGATAAATAGCTGTCACCGGACATATGGATAGAAATAAGAAAAATGGTTGAGCCCGAGATTTTTCGGTCCTGATATAGCATCATTTCACGAGCCAAGATTTACCAAGTGGCGCCAAAATGGGGACGATGTCATGCTCAAATCTTGACAGGGCCAAACATCTGGGGGACCCTGCTTTTTATTTCCCGTTGTCCCTGGACAATGAATGGGATTTAGGCTCCTTTGGTCTCAGCCATGGGATCGGATATTTTGATCTCCGTCCCACAATAGGGCCTTTTGCCATATGAGATTGGTAGGGGCTTGTGATGCAGGTTGGTCTTGGGCTTTTTTAGATCTCGGGATGTTACGCTGTGAGTGATCGAGGTTTTGCTTTTCCCCTGACTTTCTGCTGTGCCGTGTCTGATGTTGATCTCTGACTCATGGCGGGAAAGTTGGTCTCGGAAATTCCAAACTCTACGGCCTTTTTCGCATTGAGATGAAAAGATGTGATTTGACCATCTCACACTAACACGTCGATCACCGTCTTAGAGTGAACCCGGGACTTGGTTCAAGTGGGGGACTCCTGGTGTCGATCATCAAGATGCAGGATACAGGGGAGTAAGACACACGATCCTTTGTTAAGAATAAAGCTCTTCATCCTCGCAACTGGAATTTTCACTCTGAAGCTTTGTCTCCGGCGAAACCTTGTTTGTAGCAACAATGGACAAGGTTCCGGCTCTTACTATTTACAACATGCCACCGAGTCTCCCCAACTGGGACTCGGTGGGCGTCTTTTATGTTACTTTCTGTGCGGTATGGACCACGCTTGTCTTTTCCGGCATGGCATTTTGCCTGGCCAACCGTCACAATCCCATCCTCAGACTACGAGGCATGCCACTCTCCTTCTCTGCCATTGCGTTTCTTCACTGCTACTGGGTACTCGGGCAGATTGTGTATCCCATCGGGGCTACAGTGCCGACAGTCCTGGCGTATGACATTCAATATTTCTTCATGGGCATTTGGTTCCCGCTTGGTATCGCTCTTTTCCAGGCTTCTAATGCTCGGTTTCTTCATATTGCAAAACTGCAGAAGCAGTTTACCAGTCCTCATCTGCGGGCCAGCTTGGGGTGCAATGGGTCCCACAGTTCGTGGCTGTGTCGACTAAGGAACATGAACTATACAAAGAGGATAATGATCTTCATTGGTTTCGGGATGATCTTCCAGGTGATTATTTGTTTACTGATCATTCTTTGCACGATGCTGACTATTCTTAGGTTCTCCTTACTGTTGGTATGTGGCTTGCCTGCCGCAAGTACCATCCCACGTTCGGTATTCCTGGCACCGAGATCCGTGGGGCGACGGTGCTAGAGCAGTTGATCGATCTGGGTCGAGGTTGGGAATGGTGGCCATCTGTTCTCTGGCAGGTCATCTGGACTTGGATCGTGAGTGTGTGTCGGTCAATTGAAGGATCATCACTGACATGTTGCAGGTCGCTCCTATTCTCATCTGGCGCGCTTGGGGTATTCGTGATACTATGGGATGGCGGACGCAGACTATTGGGTGCTGCATCTCCAAGTATGTCGTCCTATATTCTCTGGGAATCTTATTCACTAACAGTTTACCAGCCTGCATGCTACGCCCATGTTCCTGATTGCAAGCTACGTGCCTGCTTTCAGCAAGGTCAACATGTACTTTGCTCCAAGTCAATGGTGAGCACACCCCTGCAGTCAAACAAGACATCAAGTTTAGAACATTAATGACAACCATAGGATCCATCTATCCGTCTTCATGTTTGAGATCTTCACCATCTTTGTCCCTGCATGCCAGGTCATCCAGCAATGGGCGCAGGCCAAGCGAGCCGCCGCGCACAATGCCAAGTGGGAGACCGACTCGCAGATCACGACCCTCAGGACGTCCCACTCTACTGAGCGCAAACACTCTCCCTCTCAGAGCATCACTGAGAAGAGTCAGACAATTGACTATGCTGACTCGGCCGCGGGAGACCGGCTGTATACCATGAGTGCACTAAACCAAGTTCTCGATGACAACCCCGGCCCGCTGCAGGACTTCTCGGCCTTGAGTGATTTCTCTGGAGAGAATATCGCTTTTCTTACTCGCCTTGCAAGGTGGAAGGCTTCTTGGTATGCGGAGCCCTCCAAGGAGCAGACTCTCGAGGCGTACAACCGGGCTCTCGAGCTTTACGCCGACTTTATTAGCCCTCGCGACGCAGAGTTCCCTCTGAACCTGTCATCACCCGATCTCAAGTACCTTGAGGAAATCTTTGAAAAGGCAACTCGAATTCTCTGCGGTGAGGCCCGAGTCGACCCCGCTCTACCCTTCGAGATGCCTTCTTCCGCAGGAACAGGATCAAGCCGTTCACCAACACTCACAAACAGAGCTCGCTACACAGGCGATATCCCCGACACCTTTGGTCCCACAGTTTTTGACGCTGCACAGAGCCACGTCAAATATCTCGTTCTGACAAACACGTGGCCCAAGTTTGTCAAGGAGATGCAGTCCCGAAGACGGTCCAGCGAGACTGCACGGAGTGGCTTCTCTGATGAGTCTGATGTGACTCTTACGAGCCGCGTGTCTAACAAGGTTGCTACCTTTGTTCGTTCTTTGGTTTAAAGCGTGTGTGGATGATCTGTGCTTCCTCTTCTTATATGTGATTAATAGTCTTGGCTCAACGCCCGTTTTATTATTCTCCTCCTGTATATAGTTTCTTGTATGTATTACGAACCTGAAATAGCGAATTTATCAGTGTACTTACCATTGAGTATTTATGCTCATATGTGTCCTTATCGATTGACCCAGTTTGGAAACTCTGCTAGGCCATGGAAGCCTTTCAGCTCGCACTTGGCCTGCCTGCCTGAAGCTTTATAACGAGGCTCAACCCTTTCTCTCCCATCCTAAAAGCACATCCGAGTGCTCATCCCTAATCGAGTGGTTAACTCTTCCTTACTTCCGCTCCTAAAACCTAAAAACCTCTTCTATCCGCAGACCTAAAAACCACTCTTTTTGATTCGATTCCCGGTGTGTGATCCAAAGCCACCTTTTTTACTATTAGGCACGGCCAATGATTTTCAACCATGCATCGTGCCATTGAGGATATTGCCAAGCATGATGGCATAAAATAGTATATTATGTGGCTTTTAACTCAGCGGTGACGTTCAAGCTAGAGATGAGAGGTTTATAAGTAAAGCTACCCCTTCTCCTCCCATCCTAAAAGCACACACGCGTGCTCATACCTAATCGAGTGGTTAACTCTTCCTTTCTTCCGCACCTAAAACCTAATATCTCTTCTTTCCGCAGACCTAAGAACCACTCTTTTTGGTTCAATTCCCGGTCTCTGACCTGAGGTTGCCTTTCTTTTTATCACGCATCTAGTGGTCGTCATTCATCACGTTGTAGACGTAAGGATCTCATCTAGGCACACTGGCAAAAAAGACAGTTGTCAACACAACAGGGAAATCTTGGTCAGATCCGTGAACAACCAGGGGTTTATAGGTAAGGTTAACCCTTCTACTCCCATCCTAAAACCACATCCGCGTGGTCACCTAATCGAGTGGTTAACTCTTCCTTTCTTCCGCACCTAAAACCTAATATCTCTTCTTTCCGCAGACCTAAAAACCACTCTTTTTGGCTCGACACCGGTTCGAAAACACTCGACACGACCTATTTTACTCCCACATAATATGAAGAGTCATCAATCAGAGCATCATGGGATGGAAGGGTGCATCAAGAGCAAAACGGTACAAAATACCAAATTTCAGCCTCACTTCCACATTCAACCTGAATCATGAAAGACACGAGCCTTATAGGTAAGGTTAACCCTTAGTCTCCCACCCTAAAAGCACACACGAGTGCTCCCTAGTGGAGTGGTTATCTCTTCCTTAATTCCGCACCTAAAAACCTATAATCTCTTCTATCCGCAGACCTAAAAACCACTCCATTTTTGGCTCTCTATGTTCGAGAGCACCTATAATCATCTTTGATTCTCTATTTGACACCTACTTACACGTCTAGCTCATCCTCAAATTCCATTGCCAAGGCCTCTTTTTTCCCTTCAAGGACCCCAAATTCAAGCCACCAAGCTACAATCAACGTCTGGTGGATCGTTACTGGCATTTTTTGCATCCTTGATCAGGTCTCCCAAGGCAACTCGAAGTCTTCACTATATGATACTGATCAAGTTGAAGGGCGGTCTTAACCATCGGCCTCATTCCTATCGATTCATAGTTAGCCAAACTTCCCAGAAAAGTATCCACCACTCATTCTCCAGGTGATTCCCAAATCACCTCCAACTGAGTATAAGTGCCCCGTTCGAGATCACTGTCATTATCCTCGCTCACTCTTTCCTCTGTCTTTGCCGCGTATTGGCACCCTGCATGATGTACTTCGATCCTGGTTTCGAGAACCGCGATGATGAAATCGCACTGATTCATGACCAAGAGAATGCCGAAGACGATAAGAAACGCCCATGCGAGCAAAATGAACAGAAAGCGGAGACAGTGCAGGATGAGGGATAGTAGAACAAAGGGTTTGATAGGAGAGGGTTCATTATCCACTGGGCCTTGAAGGGTAAAGCGAGCCAAAGTTTCCATAATCCAGTAGCCTTCCATTAATTGAGCCAGAAGAATAATGCTTGAAAATACGACGGCAAGGCATTGGATGTTTCGTGATGTGATCACCGGGCTCAGTGGTTTCCATTTGAAAATCGTTGTGGATTCACAGCAGCCAGTTTTGGTTGTCTGAGGTGAGTTGACATCGACCGGTCCGCCATGAGCTGATGTTGTCGTTTCGGTCTCTTCAGGATAGTCCACAGTGGTATGTTTGTGCGCCCTAGTGTGGTTGGGGTGATCCTTTGGGCGCGCTGAAAGGTCTGCGTAGTGGAGCTGGAAGCAGAAGTTGCCGATAAGAAAGAACAAGAACACCCAGAAAATAGGCGAGTCCAAATATTCATATCGTGAGTCTTGGACTTCCTGAGGAGCTTCCAAAGTTGTGTCGTTCATTTTGGACCTCAAGAGCGTACGTGAGTTTGGATATGATGTGAAAGTAGTTGAAAGAAGGCTGGAACGGAGCCTGAGGGATGGACGGGTAGGAGTCCCATACTTATAGATATCTGTCCATTGCTGCCTGGAGAGTATAAACTTCCTGTTTAATTGTTGAGATGTAGTCATGTGAGCCTAAAGTTGCATGGCGCCTCAACGTGATCCGATTGCTATCATCAATGACGTCTTCAACGGAGGCCTCAGCCACAGAAGCAAAAGACACAGTAATCAATACATGATGGCATCAAGACTTGGGTTGGATGATCAAAAGTCTGAAAATAGATGAAGTGAGGAACAGAAAAGCCCTTGTTTTCTGCAGGCCCACAAACGATTCTTTTCGGTTCTCATACCTAACAAATTCCAACACTATTCGTCGCCTTGTGCTCCTTTTTCTTTGAGATCTGTTCTTTATTATAGTTGCAGCCCGGCCCTTGATGGGTTAACTGAGCCCGAAGATTGTGCTCCTTTTTCTTCTCCTGGGTTTGTGCACACCGCCGAGTTTACTACTCTTTCGAGGCCGTCTTCTTGAAGGCTTCTCATCATTTCGTACGTGTGATTGTTCAACCTGCTATCCTTGGCCAGCGTCCATCCTCCAGTGAAAGGCAATCAGAACTTGCATCAAGTTCCGATTCGTAGCATAATTAAACCATGTCTGGTCCGAATATTTAAACGACACCATACCATTTCGAGTTTTCGAAATGAGAGCCAGTGAGTTGCGACAAACTTCTCATGAATTGCGTGTAATCCGCCTTCTGGCTCATTTTTCTCTCCTATATTCTTGCGGCCCATCTTCAATATTATCAAGAACGCAGCGCATGCAAAATGATGAACAATTCTTCTAAGTCCAAATGCCATCTGCTGGTCCCCTCGTACGGGAACCTGAGTGGGCCAAACAACTGTCGCAAATTCATCGATATGTCGTTCCGAACAGATTCCCTGGGGCGTCCTTATCCGCTATAAACAAGCCGGATTTTAGATCAACATCGTCGTCGTTCTCCTCATTTCCAGTTTCTGTTGGGCACTGTGGGCCTTGGTAATACCCCTTGTTCTGTTCCTTGATATTGAGCATGAGAACCTCCTTGGTGTATCTCCACTGGACATGAAGTATGACAGCGCCGATGCCCAGGGTTCCGGTCCACACGATTATCAAGAGGACGATCGCAGGGATATTGACAATGTATCGCAAGACAGCCGGTTCGAAGTGGGAGGTCGCTTCGCTCCACTTGGTGAACTCTTGGATGGTAATTCCAGTAGATAGTTGTGACACCCAGTAGCCTTCGGCGAGCTGCGCCAGGAGAAGAAAACTGGAAAAGGTGACAGCAAGACACTGGACATTACGTGATGTGATTTTGCGTGACATGGAGTCCCACGGCGTCGACTCAATGTTAGTCTCGCTTGTTGGGTCATTGTGCGTTGAGCTGTTGATCGACTTGTAGAAGGCACGGTCATCCAACTGCCAGAGTGTCCAGACGAAGTTGAAGAGGATGAGGAATAGGAATATCCAGAAAGCATTCGTGGCCAAGCTTTCTCCATATGGTTCAGCTTGGAGCTCCTGGAGAACCTCCCACAGAGTTGTTGTGTTTGTGGTCGTGTTCATTGTGGAACGGTTACGAGTGTGTGAGTGTGTGAGTGATGTGAAGATTCTTGGTGGTGAGAAATGGTCGGAAATATCACTGCGGATGAATGGCGGAGATCCTCATATTTATGAGGGGTTCCTAACAAGGCGTTTGTTCTTGATTGTTGCCTAGTGGAGATGAACAAGATAGCCTGTTGACAAGATCTGGACACGGAGACACTCAATGAATGTTGGGGTTTGAGGCAGTGTCACACTCAACCTAATCTTCATAGCCACCACGAATCTTAACATAGAGGAATGAGGGTCAAATGACTAAAATGATACTCTAGAAGTGACCGCGCTGCGTACAGATCGAGGCAGCACCAATAGGGGCCTCCAAATGCACTTAGATGATGCATATCAAATGCTGCCCGTCTACATACTCTAAACAAGGAAACTGATCCTCTCCCTCACTGGGACTTAGAAACGTTGCTTCTGCGTCTTTAACATCTGCCTCGGCAAGCCCAATGCGCTTGAATGTTCCAGTCCCGCCATCGACCAACTCCAACAACAAGACAAGGGCTGCATCATCACGCGGGTCACGCGGGTCACGCACCATCTGCGCAACCATGCAGTACCAGTTTGGCTCGGGATTCTTGTCCATCTCGTCATTTGGAGCATCGAGCCAGACCTTTATCTCCATACTGTATCCCGTCGAAAGTTGGGCCTGGACGCCATTCCCCGTCATTTTCCAGCCCTCCGAGTTATCCAGTGATAGCCTCTGTAGATGACCACGTAGATGAAGCCACCCGCCCCGGAGCGTACCCCATGTATCCTCTGTAGCATAATCTAGGTGTACCTTTTCTACCTTGATGTGTACCTGAGGAGCCCGTAGATTGGTAGCTGGGGCTAGCTGCCCTGTTGATGCCACCCATGACCATGTAGGAGCTCTATAAGTCGTTGGTCTTGAAGTACTACCCATGTCGTGAATACGCCAGAGCATCTCGACCTCCAAGCTCTTGCGCCACATGCCGGCAACATACTCGTCTTGCATAAGGCTTCCCATGGTCCTTGCCAAAGCAGAGAGGGCAACCAGTCTATCGCCGGGAAAGGTGAGGTTGCAGTTTGCGTATAATCGAACAATCGTACACCATGCTCTTGAGTAGCTTATGCCCGAACGACGTGACCTTGGAAACTCAGACTTGAGGCCCACGCCGAGGGATGCAAAAAAGTTAGGCAAGCTCCCAGAGGAGGCGTCTGGTACGACTTTTTCCCTGCATTCCCATATCAAATGGCGCTTGCCGAAATGCAGCACGCGAGGGGCCAAAAGCCGCTCTTGAAGAACCCAAGCTCGTCTATTCACCAACGATTGTGTAATTTCTGTGTTCCAGAACCAATTCTCCAAGATCAAGTACCGGGATGTGGTCTCATTAAAACAGCAGTCTATCGTTTCGGGAAAATGTGAATTTGCGGTGCGAGTGCAAAACAAGGAGTGGGTGGCATCTGGGGCATCACTTGCAGAAATGTTGCATAACGATCCAGAGTAGACTTGACTCATGAGAGTCACCTCGTGGTTCCAATCGACAAGATTGTCGCCCTTTTGTATGATGCAAAGGGAATCGATCCAGAGGTACTGAACACCTAGGCTGCGGGTCACATATAGAGCGTCTTGGTATAACTGGGGTAGCTGGGACAAGGGGATTCCCCTGACCATTTGGGCGTAGTTGTCGGTCGTTAACTTGATGCAGTCGGCAAGGCCCCAGCAGTGACTCAAAGTCAGGTACGGCCCAGTGATGAGGTTGGTTCTGGTTTCTACCAGAGTGCACCGTGGATCTGCATCTGTTTGAGACCCACAGTCCAAGAGCCGGGTTGGATACCAACCCGTTTCCATGTTGATGTCGTCGCATTCTCTGTGCTTCTTGGCGCAGTGAGAGATCCACCCTTTGGCCATCGATAAGGCGTCTGGGGACTTTGTGCTTTCCGGGAGCCTTTTTACCTCACTCGCAATTGATCGGTCTATCAAGGTCAGCAACAAATCGCGGAAATAACTGAGCAGTTGGTACTACATGGAGATTCGAGTGAGAAGGATATGCCATCCAATCGCTTACGGAGTCCGCGAAACACTGAAGGATTAATGAGAATATCCAAGGCTGAATAGCTATGCCTTCGCTCGGAAAGACGAAACAACATGGCACTCCTAGACCATTCATCTTCGGGCTTGTCCCGGGGCATTGAGGGATCTTTGTAGTTGTGGGCTGTCTCTTCATCGGAAGGGTCTAAACGCTCCCAGAGTCGACTGCAAATAAAGCATCCGTAATCAACCGAGCGTTTGAGGGTCTGTTGGTCTCGGTATGACCTCCTCTTGGAAGGGGAAGGCTGGTTTCCATGGGCGTCGACCTCGGGAACAAGTAGTGTCTTGCAAGGTTGGCAGAGCTTCACCGGGGGTGGATGGTCCATATTGTCTCATCCTTTGGTTTGGATGATGGAACGCGTGCGTCTATCTGTTCAGCCGCAGATGGTGAGATGCGGTGGGGTTTACCCTTGCTTACTAGTCGCTGGGATGTTGATGGAGCCCGACTGGTGGAAGCTCAACCAATGGCAGATCTTCTTGGCGGGACTCTTTGCTCGCATTGCATGCTGACCTGACATGGACATGGATGGTATGTCTAGAGTAAGGAGGTGATGTGGGAGGGGGCCCTTGGGCTGTTATACAACTATCTATCTATCGGCTCAGTTATTAGATCAAGGGTCGAGATTCAACTATATCAAAGAATACAATATGGCTGTTATACAACATAAATCACCTTCTTCTCCTCGTGAAACCGTTCCTCAGCCCGCTGACGCCAACTTTCTGGAGAAAACCAAGACCAAGTCACATTTTCCCCTTCCAACAACCCCAACCTCTTGTAATTCGTCGAAGTGGGCGACTCTTTTCCGAGAACCATGTACCAGTCGCGGCCCCCGATCTTGGCAAGTCTCATACAGAGAACCACGGATCCGTCAACCATGTCTTCTGGGTGGTCAGGGATGAATCTTGTTCCTTCGCCACTGTGGTACCGGACGAGACTGTGGGAGACCTCAGTTATTGGTTCATCCAACCACCTGGGCCGTCTTTCTGTACGGCGTGCTCGTAGCGTAGCAAGGGAAGTCCAGCCAGAGAGTGTCAGCACAGCCGAGGATATTTCTCTTGTCCTGTCTGTTGGGTCGCAGTAAACGTTGACGGCGTTTGCGTAGATCTCCTGAAGCTCAGATCCAAAGTAGGATCGGCTCTTGTGCTGGTAGACTATCTCACCCACGATAGAGGCCCACGACCAACTTGGAGCCCGCCATTCTTTTGGTTTGCCGTCTTTCCTACAACCGTGCTTTGTATCGCGTGTCCAGAGTAGGCCCTCGACTATATTGCTGCGCCAGAGTCCAGCCGTGTAATCATCGTTGAGAAGCCCGGATGTTCGACTGGCGAGGCCAGAAAGAGCAGGAAAGACGTCGCTCTCGTGTGTCAAGTTTCCCATCACATGTGAGTATCTCTGTGCAATAGCATACCAAAGGTATCGCAGTTGCAATGGTGTGACGTCGCTGGTCTTGATCGACTGACTACTGACCAGCCTTCGAAACTCGAGATCATCGCTTGGTTTGTCATGATTCTTGCCACAGTCGCAGGAGACACAGGTTCTGCACTCCCAGACCAGTTCTCTCTTGGCAAAATGAAGCATTCGAGGCGATAAAAGGCGTTCTTGGAAAACCCAGGCCCGAGTGAGAAGAGGCCACTCTTCCTCATTCTCTTTTGCATTGGTGTTTTCAAGCCAGTGGTTGATGACTTCCCTGCTGTTTGGATCGGCGAGACGAACCCATATGTCATCGATGAGCCCATGGCCTAATTCAGATGCCGGGATGCACTCTAGATAGATTGTCTCTTCGACTTCCTCGGCGTGTAGGCCTTCTTGGTGGCCAGAAGCCTTTGTGGCGGCGATAGTGAGGAGAGAATTCTCAAAGATCGAGGCCATCTTTGGAAGTTGCCGTTGTTTGTCCTCATTAGAATCCTGGACGATACAGAGCGTGTCTATCCAGAGATATCGTAAGGACAGGCGACGACAGACAGAAACGGCTTCCTGAAATGTCTTTGGAAGAGCCCCAATTGGAATTCCGGATTCGAACGACTCTTTATTCTCCCCGAGTGTCCGCAGGGGTTGGATAGGGCCCCATCGATGGCTCAAGCAGGCGTAATATCCGAGCTGATTCTGCGTGTCGAGAAGTCGAATTGTCGAGTCCTCTGAAAGACCCAAGTCAAGGACACGGTCGGGTAGGGTTTGTGGTTCACACTTGTTGCAGTGCTCGTGCTCTGTAGTGCATTTCATGATCCAAGATTGCATCCAATGCACACTAGCTTCAGATCTAGTGTCGTCGACATAAGCTTTAGGTGATGATAGCATTGGTAAATCAGGCCCCTTGCCAAAGCAGTAAAAGCCGAGACTTGGCCACTGGGTATGAACGTCACCCGTCTCAACCTGAATCGTTTTATCGTAGCGATCCCATTTGAGAGTAATCTCGTCACCACGTTGATATCTTCTCCAAGGGAGAAAGAAATCGGAAGTGGTATCCTTGGGCGGAAAGAAGCGTCTGACGCCTGCTGATATGATGGTGCACGTCGTACAATTGCCTCGGTTCTGAAGGACCTTGGTGTAGCTCATCGAGATTTCACGATGGTAAGAGTTAAGATTGTGGCAGAGCTCGCAGACAGGATTTTCTTCAATCCGCTTGAAGTATTCCAAGACGCTTTTAATAGCGTTAAAAGCCTCCTTGACTTGAGACATGGACCACGTCAGGTCGCGCGTACTCTGTCTTAGATGCCCCGTTATCAACCATCTTGGAATTCTTCGGATATAGGCACGACCCCAGATTCTCTCTGCAACTAGATTCAAAACATCAAGAAAGGCTGAGGCGAGAAATTTGATGAGATACAGCACTGAGAAGCAAATGAAGAATGCAAGAAACCAGTGCTCTTCGATGATTCTCGGATTTGTCGCAGCAAAGAGGTAGGCGACTGCTAGCCAAGGGGTCGCCGCCACGATGAAAAATATGACGACAGATGCTGCTATGGAGACAGATTCATAGAGTGCCTGGACGAGTAGTTGAAATGCCTCTTGGCTGGCTTCGTACGCGATGGAGACGGCTAAGCGCCGTGTCTCTGGAGGGTAGACGTCTTCGATCCGATCAAACGGCTCCATGATAGGCAATCGGCAGGGCCAACTGTCCAACTTTGGTCTTTGGGCAGTTTGGAAGGTGTTGGTTCAGCTGAGTTCTCAGCTGGTGGGAGTGTCACAGATATCAATATTGTGGCTGAGTTAGTTGCACTGCGCCCCAGTAATAGGCAACCAGGCTGGCCTGGCATTGATTGATAGTGGCTGAGGAGCCCTTATGCATAGCCCGGAGTCCAACCCCTGTGATAAACTGAGACACTTGAATCGAGCAAGAACGAGATTGTCAAATGCTTCGGCGTTCCAAGTTAAGAGTTTACCGATTTGATGTTGCATAAGATTGGTAGTGGTGCTGGTGATCTCAACTAGCTGGATAGCTTGCGGTAGGCAAGTTCTTCTGAGACCCAACTGGATTTTGCAGTACTCGTATTTCTATATTCTATTTTACCACTTTGATCTTCTCTCTTTGACTTTCAAAGAGGAAGTTTAACCGCCATTGTTAACAGACCTTCGAAACTGGGTCTACCCTTTCCTTACAATCCACTCAACTCCTCCGAACACCATTTTGAATCAGCGGCTTCATAGTCGAAAACGCATACCTAGCAATCTTCCACTCCCCATCCTCCTTCTTCATAATAAACAGCTCCTGATTAGAATGGGGCTCCGACTCCTGTGTAGCCTTCATAGTCTTTGTCCCTGAGGCCGTCGTCCTCGCAAATGCCCACTCTGGCGACATGACGACTATCTCGTCGATATGGAACGTGGGGTCGAGCTCAATGCTGCCGAAGATGCGAGTGTATGTTTCGTGGAGGGCTTTGGTGCCGGCGCTGGCGGTGAAGTGTGGTGGGAGAATGACGCCGTCTGATGTGTAGAGGTTGACGGCTTGGTCTACGTTGCCGCTCTTGAGGGCTGCGCCGTAAGCGTGTAGAGCAGCGGTGATTTGTTCAAGATCAGAAGACACTTGACCAGTTAGTAAATTACTACAGTCTTATTGCTTCTTCAGTACTTACTATTCGTTGATGGTTGTTAAACTGAGAATAGATCTATGCTGAACTGGTAGGTTATAGCTCCTTGTTTGGTGAAGTTTGGCAGGACACTTTCGGCAACTAGACACATAAGAGATGATTCTTCTTATAGCAAGGCAATCTCCTATCGCCTATTCCACTTCTGAGTAAGTGGGGTCTCCGTTGTTCCACTCCTTCAAACAAGTTGAAGGAAATGGTGATAATCATGTCGAAAGTGGGGGTTTGACCAAGAGTGGGCAGCCTCCCTTGACGATACCCACATCCCAAGGATAAGGCCAACGCAGAGCTTTGTTCAGGAAATAGTAAAAGAATTGCTAAAGTTTTGGAAAAAGAATAAGACGTCCTAGGGGGTCTAATTAGATCACTGATATTTAGAGCCTCGTTGTCGACTTTACATGTAAGATCGAAAATACTCCAACGCTGAAGTCCATGTGGGACCAGAAAACTCTCCCGACAACCACAAGTTACCCTCCAAGTCCCTCCCCATAATGGTAACCATATTCATAGTAACCATACCCGTTCCCAGAGACTGCGAGTGATAGTACACAGGGTGTCCCGGCTTGGCACCGGGTCTCTTCTTGTCCGATGGCTTGACGATAGCTGGGCTAAAGTCAAACTTGTCCAGGAATCCGGCCTTGCTCCAGTTGGTCACCACCATGAGGACAGAGCTGACACCTTTGCCTAGCACGAGAGGGTTTCCTGCGTCCATCATGGATCGATAGGCATACTTTGTGGTGGCTTTAAGTTGTTCCTCCGTGCATTGTTCATCAAGCGCTGCTCGAGATCTGAGTGCTATCTCTCCAGTTGGCGTCGTCAGCGCTTCGCCCGCCTGACAGAGAAAAATAGCCGAAGAGGTGATGTTCTGCACATAGGCAGCATCGTCCCGAAATACCGACTTGACTCGGGTTCGAGGGTCGATTACGAGGAGATTAGCAATGTGACGGTAAGAAGCCAGACCGCTGGCCACCATCTTGTTGCAGAATGCCATAATGACGTCGTTTTCAGACACAAACAAATCAGCGTTACCCTTGAGGGCGACATGATCCTTTGTCTCTTGGACAATAGCGTCGATGACTTTCTTTGGGATGCAAATGATGCGCGCATCGAGCCCCTTCCACCAAGTCTCGACTATGTGTCTCAATGCCCACACGGGAATTCTCCAACCTGTGAGCTGGGTATCTGCAAGAGTGGGCTTAACAGTTGTCTCGTCGTTGTAGAGCCCTGCCATAGGATCATTCTTGTATCCAACAAATGGTGCAACTTCTTCTGGCTTGCCGGCAAGAATACTCTGCCAGCCTTTAAAGATTGCCTTCAACCCACCAAGGTCGCTGGAGACGTGGTTGAAGTTGATAGAGACCAGAGTTCCGTCTGTAAAGGTCACCACATGCAGAGAAAACTGGGGGACGTCCTTGTGAAAGTAGTCCTGAATAGTTCTAGGCGCGCCAGGGCCCAAGGCCAAGCTGGCAAAATTGCGAGCGCCCGGAAACGTGGTGGGCTCTGCAGTAGATACCGGAAGCTTTGATGCCTCTGGATGTTCGGCCATGGTCATGTCATGATGCTCCTTTGTAAAATAAACAGATGGTCTTTCCTTGGTAAACTCACGCGGGACGTGAACTTCAGTTTTCCCGTCCGGCTGCGCATGTCAGAAGAGGCTTCAAAATTGTTCAGCCTTGTGCTTACGCGTAAGCGAAGTCTTCCTCCAAGTTTCCGCCATCCCTCCATTTGAAAGAGCTGAGATAGACTATCTCCAAGCTTGTCGGCATCGAGGACATCATCGTAACGGAATGTCCATATCAGAGTATAGTCGCGCAGAGTTGCCGTGTCGTCGAACGGGTGCATTGGCAACACCTCGTCGTCAGGGAACATAGGCGGTCCCTGAGGGGCGCTGCCAAGCAGCCAGGAGAACAGTGAAGCCATGGCAGGATTCGGCTCCTATGCTGAAGATGTCAACAGCGATTCTCTAGAATGATGTTACGTTTAGGATCTGTTTGATATTTGAAAAGAAATGATTATGAAGAGGTTGGGAGCGGTGACTGTCGGAGACGGAAACCACTTGACGCCGTGGTTCAGCCCAAGCTTATAATTGGCCTCGGTTGATTGGAGTCCGTCAGCCCAACTGGTCCGTGATAGGAAATGGCTTCACCAAAAGTGGAAATAAGATTTAGTAACTCGCAGGGGCTGCGAATATTACGGGCTTTGATAATTGTCCGGGGAAATCTCCTTGCTTGCGCGGGGACTGCCATTATGTACTGAGCTGGGATCTAGACCAATTATGATAAGTCTCTTCCTAGGCTCACTAAAATTAAAATAAGAGATTAACATATTCTTATATGATTTTTATAGAGGTTTAGATAGTGCTCTAATAGTAGAGATGGGTATGCTCTGGCAGTCCTCGCGCAAGCAAGGAGATCAGATGATCTCCATCATGGTTGATCTCAGGCTTCTCAATAATAATGAATGATTGAAATCGACCACCTATTGCTACTCCTTGGGCTCCCCTGAACTCCAGAAAAATCTACTTTTGAGCGCTGGATTCTCCTTCATCTCTCCCTGGATGTAATCCCGAAACAAGTCTACCAACCCTGGGTCCTCAAGCTCCCTTCTCCGGGGGTTAGGCGTACGGTTGACAAAGTTACTCCCCCTCTGGCCAAGTTCGCCTCCTCGCAGATCAGCCAGCCAGACTCGGCACCTCCCTGACTTGCGGCTACTGGCCATCTTGTCGCGCAGTATATCTAGAATATTTACCCAGCTGCCGCTTTCCAAATTGACCGATATGAGACCGATGTACTCGATGGTTGAACCTAGAGCTTTGCAAAAGTTTTCAAGCTCCTTGTAGCGTAGACTCAAAGTGTTGATGCTGACTTTTTTGATTCGTGGCCAGTTGATGCTTGCCAGGACACCTGGCATGTGTGGTACTCTTTCTGTAGTATTGCCAGTGCCGTCGCTTAGACCAAAGGGGCTGATTGTGACATTGACATGCTCGAGCTGTTGACTTGAAAGCACCGAGTTGACATATCTTTCACTGTACTCCTGATTGTCGATGTAGCGGAAGCTTCCTCGCGCAGGGCGGCCACCCCATTCAACCTGGAAAACTTCAAGGTGTTGGCATGCTTCCGACAGTTGTTCCCACGCTGGAGAATCGAGACTCTCGTCGTCGCCTGGACATATTGTAGAGAAGCTGTTGTATTCAGGTAGGTGGTTGACCGCCAGGTGCCTCAGCACAACTCCAGCCTCGTGCATGGCTATGGGGAGTTCAGAAAGAATCTTTATCTGATGGAGCACTACGGGGGTCCTCATAGTGTGCATCATTTCACTCCAGGTATTTGCTGTAGGCAGAAACTTGGCTAGTTCCGCATTGTCGGTGAGAATCTTGTAGGCGTCGTCCTGGTTCCATAATCCGTCGGGGTCGAAACTGGTGTGCATCCTCAGGGCGAGGGGTCGGTTCAGTCGCGAGGCCAGCAGCCGTGACAGAGTCTTGACAAAGGTCCGAGATTGGATCAAGTCGTGCTGGGATTTTTGAAGTTTGACGTATTCTCTGTGGCCGTTGCAGAATATTCTCCAGATTTCGACTGCCGCCTTGTCTGGTAGGTACGTTGAAATCCCAAATGGCTCATAGACTCGGTCATCCTCTTCTTCATCCTCCTCTTCCGAGAAGAGGTAGGCCTCCCCTTCCTGGATAGTGAGAAAATAATTCCACGCATCGTGTATCTCCTGGTAATTACCCGCTCGCAGATGATCCGTTCTATATTCTCGATCCTCCTGATCGGTAACGCTGATGGGCCAATCCACTTCCCGATTCAACCGTTCAAGATGTCCCATCCTAACTATGGCGAACCGCCTGAAACTCTCTGCCAGCTCGAGGGGGCGGTACTCGAGTGACACCTGGATGCCCGTGACACCACTGGCGATGTTTGGGTTCGCGAGGAGATTCTCGGCCCGATCCAGAGATTCTTGTTCAATCTTTAGATTGAGTATTGGGCAAAGGAGTGGCGACGCGAGTGTGTTGAAGAGACGGCAGACTTGACGCGCGTTGTATACCGTGAGAAGTGGTCCAGTTGCATTCGCCACGGACTGGACTTTGGAGGGCCAGTAGATGATGTTCTTGTCCCTAACCTCAATGGCTTGGTGCTGGAGGTAGCCGAAGATATGAGAAAGGATCTCCATTGGTAAATCAACAATGCCGAGATGTCTCAAGGTGTCGCGTGAAAGATGCATTGCTTTCTTCCTCAGGGCCTCGCGGTCACAGTCAACCCGCCAGATTGCATCTCGGCACGCAGCCTCGATCTGTTCTTCCGTTGCGAAGTCTCCATCGCTGTTTCCGTCAAAGTATTCCCACCAAGCGTCGTTGAACCCGTCAAGCCTTGGCTTGGTGAGACTCCAATCGATGTCGTCAATGCGACATAATTCGCGGTAAATGGCTTCAAGCGAGCCCAAAGAGTCCGGATCAGGGCACTCCTCGGGCGGGAGTTTAATCTTCCAGGTGCGGTGCTCTTCCATGATGATAGGGTTGAAGGACAGAATAGTTGCGACTGAGAGAAAGGATGTGTGGTTGAGAATCGTGTCTGCTTATGCGGGCTGACTTGACGGAAATGGAAGCTCCACCTCGGCTGCTGTTGCCTGTTAATCCCTGGTTCATGTAAGATTTTTGGAATGAGCGGTGACAGCCAAGAATGCATGGGATTTGGTCTCCTTATTTTGGCGTGTGAATGCGTCCCCTATACCCCAAACCTTGGTTAGGGGGGGAGCTGCCCAATGTGAGCGCGCTCGGCACAGTAGAGCTCCTCATCCTATTTTGACAAAGTAGCACTTTCAACCAATTAATCAATTGAGCGAGATGTGGGCCCAGAATGCATGTGATACTGAGTTATTGAGCTGCCCAGAGGCCTACCAGCCTGAGCAAACCCACGCTTCATTTCTACTTCTGCCGCGGCCGTGCTCCTCAATGCCATCATCATCTCATAGTCAATCTGACATTGACTCTGTGTAGCCTGGAATCACGATTCAGAGTCAATTTGACCTGAAAGACAAACGGATGCCTTTCCTTAATGACCATAGACTTTGCCTGCCCTCCCTCCATGGCGGAGACTCCATGTGCCCAGGCGTACCGTCAGACAACCGCGGCCTAGATCAAGGACACTTCTCTTTCGCGAATCTTTGTGGATTACTTGTCTCCCTAGTCTGGCCAGAGCATTGGTCGCCTTGTTTATTTATATATTTGACCTTGAAATCGGCGTGGTAGAGTTTATATCAGGCTGAGGCTTTGTCGCAGTGCCGTAGTAGTGGATCCAGAAGCATCATTATTCTTGTCCGAAATAACAACAAGAAGCCATCAGCCACAACAGCAAAAAACACAGTTATTGATACATGACGGTATTCAAACCCAATACTGCGCCCACACGCATGTTGTAATAGAAACCAACGATGTGGCTAGGTATGACTCTTCTGCTGCTGCAGAAGTTTAAGCAGGCCACTGTGTTAACATCGGGTCATGATGTTATAATGTGTCGAAGATCTGTTCTTTATTATAGTTGCAGCCCGGCCCTTGATGGGTTAACTGAGCCCGAAGATCGTAATAGAAACCAGTGTTACGATATGATGGTTTAATCAGCACCTTTGGCCGCACCGCTGAATGAAGGTTTCTCACGAATGCCGTAATTCTGGTTGCTCATATCTAGCTCATCCGGTGCACAACTATCGAGCCTCTGTTTGCCTACCTAGTATATAGGTGTTTGTGTAGTCGACCGACTAATGTGAGCCTATCAGGAACAACTAAATCTGCACTGCAAATTTAACCCACCCCGAGAGGCGATGAAGGTGATCAACATCAGCAACGGCGCCCCGCAGTAAAATGTATCCTCGCGCGCGGAACTTGCGGCCACCGAGCCGGCGCTCTCTCCCGTGGGTCGTTCGCCGGTATGACTCGCCCATTCCGGGGGCCCACTTCATCCGTCTCCGAAAGTTCTATCATACAAACCCCATCATTCCTCGGTGGCCGACTTCTCCCTTCCCGAGGCCGCTGCATGCTTCTTCCTTACGTCCATCTCCCCCTCTGCATGTCCAACCCGTCTCCTTTAGCCATGGACCCCGATACGTACGACGATAAGCCAGAAGCGTCGCCGCAACACACCCTTCGACGAGCCGTAAGTCTTGTCTTCTTGGCCATATTCATCGCAGCTGATCAACGTACTGTAGTGTGACCCCTGTCGTGCCCGAAAGGTATGCAGTACAAGGTGTATTAACATCCTGGATGCATGATGAGTAGCATCCAAGGCTAATGTTGCCTTGAACTAGATCCGCTGCAATAGAGAGAACCCATGCTCTCGTTGCATCACCACCAAGATTGAGTGCACCCATCGCGACACAGCGCCGAGAGAGAAACGTACGCGGATCCTCTTGACGCCACAGTAGTGCGTCCCTTGCCTTACCACTCCCTCGCGTTTCCTCAACCAGCTTGCTGTGGCTTGTGGCACGTGTTGGCCATAAGCAGCCTCTGATATACTCGACTTAGTGAGAAAAAGATTGATCGGATCGACGGCCAACTTCAGGCAGTCATTGGTCTATTACAAGGACTCAAGACGAACCCCCCACCTAGTAATCCTCAAACAACCCATCACGCGCCAACTGTGCAGTCTTCTGCCCCAAGTCCTGGAAACTACACTACCCCGTCAACGTCTGCTGTCATCGAGGGAGATTCCTCGCTTACCGCTCACTGCACCTTTGCAAATGACTTTGTGCAGCAGGCCGCCGGGTCAGAGCCTCTCCGCAGCTCCTCCACATTGGACATGCAGGAGACGTTGGAGGCGCTCTCTCAAGTCGTCGACGCCTTGAAACAGCCGACTGTCGCCAATGAGATGACCTATCCTCATGCCCGGCTGATCCAGCGTCCTAGCATTGGCGAACGCGAGTTGCCTCCCTTTCAGAATGCCCTCACGGTGATTCGCCTTGCCAAAGGTAGGTGTATCTTGCCTCGAAATTCTGCTGCAATACTATAAGCTCACACTTTCCGGGACCAGCCCAGCGCCTTGCAGGGTCAGGCTGGATTTACGAGTTTATCCTCGTGAGGCAGTTTTCGGAAATATGCCTCAACGTCTACTTCTCCGAGGAGTATTCCGAGACAGACTTCATCATTGTCAACGCCGGCCTCCACTCTCTATTTGGGGACTACAGCGACCAAGTCCCTGTAGAAGAGAAGGGCACTTATCTTGAGTATGCCCATTTGTGTCGCGAGAACCTCGAGACGGCTCTTGCCAACCTGCCACTGCAACTACCTGCGACGTCGGATTTCATTGTCGCGCTGCTCTTTGGTGTAAGTTGCCACCTCACTCCGGCCTACAAGATGAACACCGTTAGTAACTAGACCAAAAGGCTTGGCATGCAATTGAACTCTCGAAACCCTCCTTATCATGGACACTGTGCTCCAAGGCATCCGAGCTATGCCACACTTTGGGCTATCACCGAGCCACTTCGATGCAAACAGATGCGCCAAACGAGATACAGTTCAAAAGGTTCCTGTTTTGGAGTGTCTACTTTATCGAAAAGTGCCTGTCCCTTCGTCTCGGTCGGCCATCAACAATGCCTGACTGGGATATTACCATAAGCCGGCCCTCAACAACCGATAACCACCAGCACCCTGTTATGGCCTATTTTGTGTTATGGATCGAGTCCGCACGCTGCCAGGGCAACATCTATGAACTTCTCTACAGCGCAGACTCCATGAAACAACCTGACGATGTTAGGCGATCCCGGGTTGAGCTTCTCGTGTCTGACATGGCCAATCTTCAGAAGGCGACACAGGAGACCAATGTAAGCCAGCAGCTGTATCGTGAATTGTGTCTTACTGAAACCTGATGCAGGGAAAATGGATCGAAATCTCAAAAAAGAATTCTGGAGAAGACTTGATGGACTTTTATTACATCTCAGATGATGTTCTACGTCTCTCGCTCCTCACTCTGATCTATCGGGCGGCTCCGCGAGAGTCTTCAACAACTTTTAGCCGTTCATGCTTGGATGCTGCTCGGGCCACCTTGGCGAGGCACCAAGACTGCATGGCCGTAGTCAATAAATGCGGTTTTGCCTATTTGTCTACTTACGTTAACTGGTAGGCTCGAATCACTTGCTCACCCGCCTATGCTGAATGCTAACCACTTGCACATCTAGGACTCTCCTGTTCTCCCCCTTTGTACCCTTCATTGTATTATTCTGTCACATAATTGAAGCCCGAGACCAAACTGACCTCGACCGCCTCGGCACATTCGTTGCCTCGATCCAACCAGCTTCCGACATATCGGATGCTGCTGCCAAACTTCATCGCCTGTTCCAAGTCCTCCACAGTGTTGCCCTCCGTTACGTCGAGCTCCATTCTTCCACGCCAGATGATGGCCAAGCAGAGGCCAGTGGCGAGATTGACAGGTATCTCGCGGCCTTAGGCATACCGTCATCGACAGGACAGGGGCTGCAGAGGGGCTTCGTGCAAAGCATGGGGTCCGACTTTGCTCAGGGAGAATTGGATATGGCCGGAGCAAATCCTGCAGATGGGCAGAGTCTGATTAACCCCATGATGCGTATGGGGAACGGAGCAGAGTTGGAGCATTGGTTGTATAATAATCAGGCTATGTGGGCGTTGATGGAAAAGCCTGATTTTCTGCCACCTCGTCAGAGTTAAGTGAGGGCAGACCGGGCTTGTTTGAGAGATTCATCTGTCCTTCTTGGGCACTACTTGAATATTCATAGTGTATTACCTGTATATGTACGGGCGGCAAGGACAAAATGACGAAAAGAAACGGGCCGGAACCCGTCAAATGGTATTCAACTCTCAAATCGGGGAGGAAACAGCATCAGTACCGGGAAAGAATCATCAGCTGAATCATTGCTCATTTCCGCCTAGTTAATTCACGATAAAAAGTAGTCTGTTAAAAGGGGTTCACGGAGGTCTCGGGCGTCGAGGTTGATGCAACATGCGCGCTATGGCACGATCTGGTTAATGTCTCCCAAGCTTAAGTGCCAATCAAGATTAGAGTGCCATCGTCCATTTCAATTTCTTGGCCACTTTTCTTTACAGAATGTTGTCAGATACCCAACCAATCTCTTTCTGATCCAACCCAGAGTCAGCTAGCGACGGCGACCACGGCGTCCCTGCTTTCGTCGAGTAGAGTCGGAAGGGGTAGGAGTAACGTCTTCGATGCGTCCGATCTTCATACCGGCACGGGCGAGGGCACGGAGAGCAGCCTGACCACCAGGACCGGGCGTCATCCTTCCGTTACCTACACGAACATACAATTAGCTTATCAGTCTAAAATTCATTCATGCCTGGTGATGATCATACCGCCAGTTCCGCGAAGCTTGATGTGCAGAGCGTTGATGCCCTTTTCTTTGCATTTGGCGGCAGCATCCTGGGCAGCCAACATCGCGGCATAAGGGGAGGATTCATCTCGATCAGCCTTGACCTTCATGCCACCCGTTACACGAGCAATTGTCTCGCGGCCACTGGAAACAAGTGTCAGTCCTGGGAACTCGGCCTTTGGGAGTCACAGGCCTTTGCCGAGCCCTTGGTTTCGGAGATGGAACGAACCTCATGTCAGTGATGTGGACAAACGTGTCGTTGAAAGAGGCAAAGATTCGGGCGACTCCGAATACAAGCTCTTGAGATAACAATTAGATCATGCTAAGACGGACACAACTGTTGATCATACCATTGTTAGCCAAGCCCAAGGAGACAGTTTCCTTAGGCTCAGGACTCTTCTTAGTAGTCACTTTCTTGGAAGACATTCTGTAGAGTGAAGCAATCCAGTCGGGACGCAACGTCGGGTGTTGGGATGAGAGACATCCAGGAAGCCAAATTTGCATCGTTCGTTAATGAATTTATTCAACATGACGCCAAGTCACATGGCAAACATCGGTGACCTCTAGACTAAACCGTATCAGACTCGCCGTTATTTGATCTATGAAGTCGGCCTCCGATGGAGTCAGGCCGTGGGCAGAACTATCGGTGGCCGCGAGTCCCGAGGCCGAACTCTATGCTCTGGTCTGATATTGCATGGTGGATGCGTTTTGCCCGGCGTGCAACCTTGTGGAGACCGTGCTTTCTTGAGCTAGACACGAAAAACAGATCTGATATCCAAATGCCTTCTTGAGATCCAGAGGAGCCGTTACTGTAAGGGTGATGTCGTTATTGTGTGGTTGGAACGATGAATGCAAGCATGCATCGTGGAGATGGAGAGAGTAGAAGCGCACGGTGACCATGAAGAGGGCCGCAGTGATTCCACCGCTCTTCGTGTTTATGGTAAGGGACCTGGAATGGAATCATCAATACTACATTGAGTCTTTTCGATCCCCTCATTCAAACTGTTGTCGCTGGCCTTTCAGAGACTCCTGAGATGTTCGTTCATTCAGCCAACGCGCATAGGAGTATCCGTCTCTGAAGCAAGTGCAGATGAATGTCCACTTAATCATATTTGACAGCCTAGACTATACAAATCTACTCTGTAGGACTTTCTTACCAGGACTGACGTCGGATTCAGGACTTTGTGGCTTAGTCAACCCGACATGCACCCCATTTATTTACCAGGTCGTGGCCTGAGAATGACGATCATTTTGCTCCCCCTCATCAACTCTCAACTTCTCACCTGTCGACGACAACCTACAAAAGCCCGCCTTGTTACTCATCTTAATCAGTGTCAACCTAGTAAGTCTACCTCGTTTAGTAAATAGAGTAAATGAAGTTTGGGCTGACTGAATCAGACCTGAATCTGGAGTAAAAATGAGCACTGTTGTATCCACCACGGATGTTGAGCCCAACGGCGCGACTCCTACATCAGAACAGCCCAGCTTAGGACCTCATGCCGATGCCCAAGGGTCCTCAAACCAACCACAGCCGGATTTAAGCGGGCCTCAGCAACCCGAAACCTCTCCTCCATCCAGTCGAGAGGTCAAGTACCTCATCGTCGAAGACAACAAGGTAAACAGGAAAATCATGGGAAAGCTGTTCGGAAAGTTGGGGCTAGAGGGACAGTTCCACATGACTGAAAACGGCCAAGAAGGCGTCGACGCGTACAAAAGGAACCCGCAGCAGTGCAGGTTCATTTTTATGGACATATCCATGCCTATCAAGGGCGGCATGGAGGCGTCCAAGGAGATTCGAGACTACGAGCATGGACAGGGCCTTTCGCCTGCTGTCATTGTGGGTATGCACCCGCGGATGGCCGCCGGTGGGCAAGCTGACAGGCAGGTTGAGAGGTTCAAGAATGAGTTTGGGATGGATGATGTGATTGACAAGCCTGTTCGTACAGATGCATTGAAGTCTATTATTGAGAAGTGGCCTGTATGAGTTGTGGTATTTGGACCTCTCGAGACGCAATCATTCAACACCTTTTACATTCGTTGATTGGATTGACTGGTTTGAAATGGAGAGGAAGGCTTTGAAAAACATCGGCAGCTCCATTGATAGTGAACTCTTGTCATATCTCGTTCATCGCCTTAACATACACCTTGAATGCCACGCTCCGATCTATATCGGCCGTCACCAATCTCCATTTCATCTTTTTCAGTTAGCCTTCCACGCGTCGCGATCTGGATCATCTCAAAAGGTGGCTTTTTCCGGCTACACTCGATAGTTTACGCCCACTTTGCCTATCGCGTACTACCCCTGGATGGTGTTCCTGACTGGAACGCAAAGCATTCTAACCATCCATACTATAGAACAAAGACTTTGTGGCACCGGGGTCCCCATCCAGGTCTCGGCCCCAGCCGCCCACATCGGTTCCTGAATCAGGTCCTTGGCAGGGTGAGACATCTCAGGGTCGTAGTACCGACCACCCGTGATACTTTCTGAGGATTGTTTGCAAACTGGCGGTTCCTGGATAGCCTTCAGGTCCGGTGGCGTGTGGTTCCTGAGTGGCGACTTTGAGCATGCCACCATCGTCAAATCCTTGGCACGTTGGTATGCGTCGAAGAGTTAAAAAAGAGGCCCAAAACATATATATAGCTATCATCCGTCATTGTTTGCCTCATTCAATCTCATCAGCAACTCACTTCGAGCTTCTTCAGACATATAAAGCCCTGCCAAGAGTCCTCCTCTCAAGCAATTCTCGACCTTGTCTCAAGCCAACATCAACACTACACAATGATCTTCTCCCTTCAAGTCCTCACCGTCGCCCTTGCGGCCACTGTTGCTGCCCGCCCTGGAGACTTTGACAAGGGACGAAAGCCTGGCCCCAACCCACCAAGCAGATCTACCACCACCATCGCCACAACCACTAAAGTCGTCGCCACTACAACTACGAACCCTCCCCAGGCTTCAGCACCAGGATCCAAATTCTTCCCCTTCTTCCCTTTCCGGGGCCACAACAAAAACAATAACAAATGCTGGAGTGACTTCAAGGACTGCCGTCGAAACTCCGACTCTGCTTCTGGAGCATGCGTGTCTACCTACGCCGGTTGCATCGGGACTCAACCCAACTCCCGCATGCCAGCCACATCTGTCACTTCAGCTCCAGGAGGAATGCCTACATCCGGTCAGCCCCGCCCTCTTCCTCCGCTTTCGCACGTTGGCAAGCATCATGGCGGTGTGAGGAAGTGTAACCAGGCTTATTGGGCTTGCCGTGCGCAGTCTAGCGGGCAGCAGTCAACCTGTTATTCGGATCTCTCTACTTGTCTGGCAAACATTGGTAGTTCGGCTACTTCTACTGGCGTGCCTCCTAGTTCTACCGGTTCAGCTACTGTTTCGGCGACTAGCACCTCGGTGGTCGCTGCTGACCCTGCCGCTACCGGTCAAGACGACGGCGACGACGCTGATGATGACGATGACTCGTCGCCTTCTGGTGCCACTTCTTAAGGTCCTTGGCAAGTTGATGCACCCCGCTATGTCTCAGAGCTGATGTGCTCCAAGCAAAGGCTTTGGTTTCATTTCGCTCTGAAACTTCACTCTTTTTGTACAGTAATTTCTTAGCTATTTGACAGTCAACTCAGGCGTTAGAGATGGCGTTTTGGTCGCAAAGAATTGTTCGAGTTTGTGTGGTTTCTTTGGCTTTCGGTTTTCTTTCTGCTGGTCATCTTGGTCCAATTTTGGTGCGCCGTGTCATTTTCAGGGTTGTTTTGGGATTCTCTATACTTTTTAAGTCGTTCAATAAATATATAGATCGGATCTCTTGCATTCAGGAATCGCACAGCCACCATCCACTCCATAGTGATTCGGCTTTCTGTAGAGCTTGACCGAACTCTCTTCGCCATTCATCTTAAAAATAAACCTGATAGCAAGAAGATTCTACAATACTACAAGCTTCCAGAAGTGAACCAAAATCCTGTAACAGACCCCTACACAGGCAACTTTGTTCCGCACACATTAGCTAACCTACTGCGAACCCACCCACTATTAGGGAGGGGACTCAAGGACCGCCGGCACGACCCGACTTGTCCCAGTATTCGTCTCCCTGCGAGCGACAGGTACCAATGACGCAATAGTAGCCACCGCCGCGGTTCTGCTCGTTGGGGGAGAAGAGGATATACGGGCCGCGCGCAGTATAAGAGCCACCGCATGAGTTTCGCGCCGTCTCACGGACAGTATCAAGGTATTGTTAGATCCAACTGACACCTATCTTCGTGTAGGATGGACACTTACAAGCCGTGTGAGCGGTGTTATACCAGATACACACCGTTTCTCCTTTTCCTGCATTGCACGTATAGGAGTTGCCCGTGGTCCAGCTTTCCGACACGCTGAAGCCTCCTGAGATCCACGGCACGCCGCTGAAGTCGGAGCTCCATCCAATTGTGAAGGACTTTGACTGCATACTACCGACAGAGCATGACTCGGCAGTGCCGCAGTTGATGGTTTCCTAGTCAAACAAAGACAGTCAGCCCGATTCTAGACACCTCACGTGTGGTTATCCCGTGTGTATGGGCGAATATTTGAGCCGAGCACTTACCGAGAGTTGTTTATGGAGATAGTTCTGATGCGGGTTGCCTGCAAAATGTTAGACTGCGGCCTACTAGGTGACAAGACTACAAACATACCATCATCTACCAGGTTAGTGGTGGTGTACCAGGAACAAAACTGTCTCTTATCGTTCTGGTGCGTATCGCGTCTATGAGCTGAGTGCAACTCATGAGAAAGACCACGAGCCTCAAGAGCACGGAACGTCGCCTGCGACTCCGCGTCCTTGAAACAATGCGTAGCGTTACCCTTGACGCTGTCTGGAGTACCAGGCCACTTCACGCCAGAACACTGAACCAGTGAATATTTGGCGTTGAACGTCTTGGAGCACGAAGGCCCCCCCGAGAACTCGGGCTTCGAGTGGACTCGGTAGGTTGCATCGCCAACGGTAAAGTTTCCATTACCGTCTTTGTCGACATCCGAGAAGTCAATGGGGATGTCGGCTTCAAGGGTGCTGCCGCAAGATCCAGCAAGGAGGGTGCCCTTCTTAGGATCAAGGGCACTCACAGAAGAGTGGCCGGAGTCCTTCTCAAGGCGCCATACAAGCTGGACGTCGATGGCGGCATTCACAGCCCCAAAAGCTGCAAAGAAAGAGATGAGGCGCATGGCACAGGTATTGAGGAGGAAGATTTGATCTTAGTCGGGGCAAAGAATTCTATAGATGGAAATGAAGGTCTGGGGAACAAGTGAGAGAGTGATAAGCGGACAACTCGAGTTTATATAGGACATCAAAGGTGCACAACTAGATACAATTGCCGACCAATGGGTCCGTCCGTCGTGATGGTATCAAGTTTCTCCCATCTCACAACACCTTTATCCCGCTGCCTGAAATGTATGCATGGCCGCGATCCCTCATTAAATCCTCCGAATCATCCTTCACAAGTTATCAAGCGAGCAACAAGGGATGTGATTCGGTAGTTCATGCAAGGGTGTTGGCGCAAGGACCTTTGCAGGTACTGAGAAGATGTTGCACCGACTTCGTCAGTCGATATATGAAACCAGACTGTATATTAACAGTCCAAAACTGGTAGGATCATTCTGCCAGGGTGTCAGCAAACGAATGATGACTTGGTTGTTTGTGAAACAGCTAGAAATGACCACTGACCTACACTACCAATGAAAAGATGGAAATGTTTTCTTGTCTCGGTTAGATGAAGAAAAGCATGCCTAATCGCCTTTTCAGATGAGGCCTAGCAGGACGAGAAACAGCGAGCAGATATTTGATGGCTACGAGTCTGCCCACCCGGTCATCATGAGTACAAGGTCTCTGGAGGATCGAACAGCATGGATTCTGTGCGACGATCTTCGGGCTCAGTTAACCCATCAAGGGCCGGGCTGCAACTATAATAAAGAACAGATCTCAAACACAATATAACATCATGACCCGATGTTAACACAGTGGCGATTCTGTGCGACAGGTGCCCTTTCATGCGTGATGACGATGACGATTTGTGCATGGTGAGTTGATGACTTTCTTGTGCGAAAAACGGTGCTTCATTATGCGTAACGATAGTGACGAATTCTGCAAGATATCATTTTCGCACTCCTGCAAAGACCATCATTCAGGCAAAGGAATACCCTAGATGCTAACTAACATATCAGTCTATTCTCCCCTAAAGAAAATCAAGAGAGTAAAATAAGAATAAGTGAAAAGGGTTTTAAATTATGATATGACCTTATTATACTTTCATAACTGTATATATAATGCCTAACGGAACTTAGGTAACCCTCTTAGTGATCTGGCGTTTTGTCTGTCCCTTAACCCGTGTGCCATCTCAAAGGTGGTTTCATGGAAACCGGAAGATTGGATGCGCATTGAATTGCCCCATTAGGCATGCCTCAGCTTATTGACATCGGGTTATCTGATTTCATCAGCCTGCTGGGACAAAAGCAATTACTTTGGAACCAAAACAGGAATGTGCCTTCGCTCGATTTCGTAAAGTGGATGACAAGTTCCCGACGTGTGACGCGGCGCCGCGGATCTGCCTTACGCATCAACTCAAGTTCGCAGGTCACCTTCTCCGAACATACAACTCGAGTTGTCATCAAGCAGCTTCGTGTCCAGATGACTGACACCTGGGTCCGCATTTTGAACCACGTGGCGATTTTGTAGGGTGAAGTTTGTCGCCTGCCAACTTGATGCAGGCTCGGGACAAGGCCGTCGAGACCAGGTATGCAAGAATCAACTCTTTGGAGCGAGAATGTAGCTTAATTTGCTTTGATTCTATAGGAGAAGGAGGCCGAAACCAAGGAGGTGGAGGTGGAGGCCGTTAAGGCCGAGGCCTTAATGGCCATGAAGCACATAAGTCAAATAGACCCCCCCGCCATAGATCTTAAAGACTAACCGAGCGACGCAAAAGGAATAGAAATATAGCTAGAGTCTTGTGATTATTTTATTTCTCGCTTCTTTGATATATCTAGACAACTAATTTTGATAAAAAATGAACAAGAGTTGCAGCTAAACCTCGTCCATTGGCACCAAACTGCTTTCACCAGAGAAAGCAACCCCTAGCCGCACTACGCAACGAGCGGCTTGCGACATCCTCTTAGAAATTGGCCTGCACGCCATGGGCTGCGTTATCAGCCGGTCATTCAGCACCGTCGGAGTGACGGTCCTCAGACGAGCACAAAAACTCTACGTACGTCCCGAAACGACGGTTGAGCGACAATGGAAGTTATCCTTTGGTCCAACCATCCCCGAAATCCTCTCTTTCGCATTCGCTTCTCTCACCGCTTGCATTGGCCGGGCCGAGTCATGGAGATGAAGAGAGTGCAGCACGTTTCCTGTTGGGTCGAGACTGTGCATATCTCTCTCTCGGCCTCTGGGCTATGCTGGATGGATCCGCAGTGGTCATGTGGCCATGGCAGGAGGCTGCAGAGAAGCAGAAACAGAACAAAGTTGGAGAGTTCACAATACGTCCGAGCCAGCCAATTGCGCATGTTGGGTCCTTCGCATAAAGTTTGCCACCGATGCAGTGCTATCATCCGGGTTGGGGAAAAAGAGAGACGCTCAGGTCAACCCTTTAGCTTGTTTACCCAAAAGATGATAAACAGAGTACAATAAGAATAGGCAAAGAAGGTCTAAAGCTTTACTTTTATCATGATACATCTCTATTTAATTGTTGTGCTTAAGGGGAGCCAGGTAACTAAACCTCTTGGTGTTCTGGTGTCTTGTTTATTGACCTGCATGTGTAGTTCAAGGTTCAACGGTGCATCAGCCGGAATTCGGTGACTCAAACGGCAGTGAACTCTGTTTAGTATTTGTCCGTGAGTAGCATTATAAGTAAGGCAATCCACTCCAGGTAAACAAACAAATGCTTCTCCCACCATCATCAGCAACTCTCATCTTCCCTTTTCAAGACCCAAAATGGACGGCACATTTCATCGCTTTTCTGACCTCCCCTGGGAGCTTAGGGACATGATCTGGAATTTCGCTCTTCGGCCTGATGTTCCAGGCGTACACATATTCAAACTCTACAATTCAAAGCTAGATGACGATGTTGACAAGAACATTGACGTCTCCAACCCTTACGACTCTCATCATTTACGCCTTGCCGCTCCACAAAGCAACAAGTCATCCATTACCCGGAACCGCAACAACCCTTCTACATATTTCATCGACGGAGGCTTATGGACTGCTTGCAAAGAGTCTAAGCTCGTCATGGAGCGCCATTTTAATTGTGACAAGCGGAAATCTTCATCGGAAGATCGCATACGATGGCGCTCTGAGATATTAAAGACGGGGATGGATATGCCGGAGACAAGCTACTTCGCGTGTCATAATGGGAATTTACACTTCTTTACTGTTTTCCCTCACAAAGACCTCTTTATCCTTCGACCTCAGAACCTTAAGACAATCAACTGGTCCAATTTCGACTGGGACATTGTCCTTGGATCATATATGCATGACTTCGGAGGGCTTCAAAACATCGCTTTGGAATACAACCCGGAATGGGGGTATGATATCGAAGATGATATAGTTGACATGGCCATGGACATTGGCTCGCATTGTTCCGGAATTAACATCTGGATCGTCGACTACACCCTGAGGCGAAGAGATAGGGCATCTGTTGGGCAGAAACCTACATCTCATGGGGATGAGAATGTGGCTTTCCATCTGAACGGCCGGCGGTTGATCCCGGTTGACACATATCGAGATCGCGAAGAAGGCTGGATTGAGATCGAGAAAGTGAACGGAAAGCACGTTGAAAGGGTGGGGTTTAGCTCGACCTGTCTTGTCAACCACGTTTGTGATAAAATTTGGGATCTATGCGACATGTATGAGGAGCTAAACCCATTGGTAGTATCTGTAGGAGTGCTTGCTTGCGACACTACCTGAGCTTATAGCACACCATCGCTCGGCCTATAAGTCTACTTGTTGATATCGGGAAGTAGTCCTCGAAATGCAAGGCAGTTCTATTCTCAACGATGTCGCGTTGCAGGATGCATGTCCATAGCAAACTGATCGGGATACTCTGATGGACGAAAACACGCTAGTCGGCGACACCTGAATAGGTAGCGTGGTATTTGTTAGTCATTTTTAATTCGAATTTGGGCCATTTCCGAGGAAGTGTAGATATCGCGTGAACTCGGGATTTGGAGTTGAAGACTCCTCATGACCCCGAGGCTAAGTAACGACGGGCCAATGGGATCGTGGGAGACTGAGTTAAACCACACCACAGCAGAACCTATTAGGCTATTAGTGCTGAAGTAAGCCTTGGACCTTAGAATAGGAAATGGGGCCGTAAGTTATCTTCCACTCGGAAAAGCCTGTTTGGTTGACAAATCCAAGCTAGGCTCTCTTTTCGCTGTGGTTGAGCATCTCCTCGGGTAACAGATCTTCCGCAACTTGCTTGTATAGACGGTCTCAAATGCAACAGCTATTTTTAATTGGAAAATACAAATCATGGATGCTCGTAGCCACCTTCAACTGCACTTGGAAAAGATAAAATGAAGCTGGCTGGCACTTGGGATTTCCACAACAATCACTTCAGCATTCTCTCATCATAACAACCAATCTCTTCTTTAGCGACTACTGTCATCCACCCAAAACATTCATCATGATTTCACACACCATTATTCTCCCCATCCTACTTGGGGCTGTAAATGCAGCGAGCATTCCCAACATCTTCAAGCGAGACCTGACGGCCCAACTCACCGTCGGTAGTAGTTTGATCCCACTGAGCACAGGCGACGGAGCCAAAATTGTTGGCGATGCGCTCCGCCAAGTGTGCTCCCAGTTTGGCTGCGACTCCGGAACAACCGTCAACAATGGTCCATTCGTTGTTCAGTTTGAGGACTTTGGCGACAAGCTCGAGTGCACCTGGTCCGTCACCTGAAGTGGCAACTACGACAGTCTTGATGAAAGAGACTACATGATCAACATCCTTACGACTTCTCTCACTACGACGGCCGACGTTAGCAGCATCAAAGTCAGCATTGAGGACAACCCCTTGTGCACTAGCCAGGGGCAGCCCAGCTGCGAGACCCAGGTCCTTCCCGTCACCAAAGGTGTCAATTTCCAGCAAGTTGTACTCAATAAGGATGACGGAAGCAATACGGCTCAGTTGGACTACAGATTGTCTGTGGAATGCAAGGGATCGAGCGACTTTAATTGCCCGTCAGCCATTTCAGGGGCTCTGAAGGACGTCCTTGGCGGGATCCCTGCAGTTGGCGGTATTATTGCCGGTGTTTTCAGCCTCGCCTGTGCTGCTTAAAGAACTGAGGTGTGGGTGCACACGGTTTCGTCTGTTATAGTACAGTACAGTGAGGTGGTGGTGTGGTGTGGTGTGGACGCTGTGCTAGCAGATGTAACGCTCATCATCGATGACGTTGACACTCTCGCATAGCAAGACATTCGAGCCCACGTTTAGACAAGGCGATATTTTACGCGACATTACGGTGGAATTCATGGTGGAATTGGATGTTCATCTTGTCATCGGGCTCTTCGGATTGCCTTCGGGTTCTTTCACAAGCCTCGGCATCTTGAGAAACCTCGGTGTCTTGAGCACCGTTTCTAGGATTTGTAATTATTCGTTTATAGAACATAACGTTTGGATTTCTAAGCTTTGACACTATTTATTTATATTTAGATGAGGCTGAAAACGCTTAAACTTTGGAAGAGTGTGCATGATCAATCCGAACACCTCTCGCTTAACACATACATTATCACCTTCACTCTCAAAACCATCATCGTCAATATCATCACTACCAACAAAATACTTCACATCATGGCATCCCCGATTCATATCCCAGTTCTCACCATCTCACTTGCTCGCCACCTTGTCGGCTACAGCATCACCGAAGTCCTAGAGCAACAATGGGACCCCGCCAAAGTCCCTACCTCAACCACATCCCGCTTCGCGAACATCGGCTTCGATCTGGATGTCAACGGCGCCAACCTTGAGGATCTGAGGAAAGTACTGGCGGAGAGGCAATGGAGCGGGATTATAGTTGGATGGTGTACGCGCGGCCACGTTGAATTCACGGAACTGTTTGAGTCTGTTGTGGCTATTTGCGTAGACTACATTGTGGAGAAGAGGCAAGGCAATGCTTCCGCCAAGGAGCCCAAGCTTATCTTTTGTCGTTGTGCAGACGATGTGGTTAATGCTACGCTGCGCAACTTTCCCTTGGAGGACTAGGGGTCTAGTACAAAGTCCAATCCGACAATGTGAACCATCATTCTCACCACATAACGACATCCCCTACTTGTACCAATCGGTCCCTCATAAACTTTCCGTCTGTAAAGCAACCGCAAAAACATCCATTGTTAGGCAGTAGCGCACCCTATACCCCAGCTGAACACTGATTGAAGTTGCTGCGAGACGTTCAAGCCAGTTTCCACGGCTGCGTACGAGAACGGGACGGTCTTGCCTATCCATAAGTTCGCACCAGCTGTCGAAACATGAAATCTCTTTGGCCCCGCTGCCTTATCTTGAGCTCAGGTGGCTAAATTAGGATAGAGATGCCATGTTTTCCCATGTTTCCAAATGTACGGACGATGGAGGTGCCTTTGGTGTCAGAGATGTTGTCGTAGAAAACAGTTTGCGGCTTTGTTCGAGTGTCCGAGGAAAGTATGGATAAGGAATAGATGGAATCGCCAACAGAGAAGGCCGTGACCTCTTTGAGCATATTGGGATCCAGATCCTGGCCAATTTCGTCTGCTTCTTGGTCATTCTGAGTTGATGGTGTTAGCGACACACGCAACGATAATGGGACAGGTAAGAGGACTGGGCCTTACGTTGCGGTTGGTTTGACTAGAGAGACGAATGATTAGCCTGACAGTTCGCTGCGAAGAAGCCATCTGCGCGACTGCGCAACAGCGGGCATGAATGACTTACAGATTGGTTGAAGTAGTTTGCTAACGTTCGCAAAGACTTGTGTCAGTGGCTCTATTGCATGGACGAAGAAGATCAGGAGTGGGATGAGACTTACAAAAAAAAGAAGGCTTGGTGGTACGGTTCTTCAGACAATCAACCGCTAGCAATGTCATACTCTCAACGACAAATAGAACATGACAAGAAAACAGGCGGTTGAAACATGCCTCGGCCGGCTCGGTGGTGGTAATGCTGATAGAAGAAGGGAAAAGCAAAACCTCATGAATGACAGCCATGTCTGACTTGGGATTCCATGCCACCCATAGAACGGAAAGAACGTCCAGCCACGCGGGCAAAGAAATAAATGAGACGCCAGAGAAGGTATTAAGAGAATTGCATTCTTCTTTCTTTATAAATATAATTTATAAAAATTAAGATAAAATAATATAATAAAAAGGAGATTTTTATATATTTTTATCATAATTTATTAATTATATTTAGAGTAGGATTAAGTATTAAATTCGTCCTTATGGCTCGATTTTTCCTTGACCCAGGTGTCAGCTACCGCGTTTACATCCATTCATGGCTTGGGATGAGGTCATGTCCGTCAATTAGCAAGAACACCTGCAAACCTGTACTACCTACCTACCTAATGTCTCATTTATTTGTTAGATGCCCATCTGTTGCGTCCAAGTCAATTAGATCCTCGAGGCTGCACATCTGCACTAAACATTTTGATCTTGTGTCTCGCCATACATCGAATCGCCAGACCCAACAATTTTGTGCCGCCAACCTAGCTAGGGAATAAAATCTCGAAGGTGCACCGTGTCAAATGGTTTGGGTAGCAAGGAACGACCGTTCACACCTCAAGCGTGGACGCGCAGTTGCGGTCCCCGTCTATCCCTAGATTCAGGGAAGTTGCGATCCACATCAGCTGGGGGCTAGATATTGGTGGTCCAGTCTGGGAAGGAATGGCACGAAGTAATAAAACTCAAGTCATAAGCGAGGCAGAAGACTCTGATGTTTCATCCATCCACCCATCCATCGAAAGATATCAGAATTTGCACAACTGCAGCACCACGATTCAATCAATCATCACCAATCCCAAGCATTCGAGTACCGAAGCACGAAGTCCTCTACACCATCAAAATCTGCAAGAATTCGACTACAACAGCATCCGCCTCCGTCCCTGCCACCTCCGTCCCCGTCGCCTCCATCTCTCCCGTTACCCCCGAGCGAAACATGTTGAGTCATAATGCTCCGTCACTTGAAGACTAATTCAAAACAGACGGCCCAACTAGCGATGGGCGCAGAGCAGGCGGTCGATGGCGCTTCTTCGCGGCAGAATGCACGCAATGACAGGCTGTCATGCAAGGTCCCTGATAGCTCATTGAGAGAAGGGCAAGTGGGACGATATCGACTGAGCTGCCATGCATCGAACGTTCTGCGTTTGGGATCCGGGGGATTATTTAGGGTGATGATGTTGAAGCACTTGCCGTTGAGCTCGCTGATCATCAGTCCGACGCGTACCTGAGCTGAAGCTAGGTCAGAAGATTCGCTGCAATCGGTTGGATTCTCACCCTTGGTGCTCCGAGATGCCTCTGCTGGATGGCTATCGGTCTGACGCGTACCTGAGCTGTTGAAGCTAGGTCAGAAGACTCGTAGCAGTCGGTCGGATTGGGCTTGTCCCATAGCACCATGTTCGTCTGGGGGGCTGGCCCTCTTGCAAAGAGGTGCCGGCGGGCGGCGAAGTCGGACTCTGCAACCTCCACGTGGTGTCACCTGGGAACCTGGCCTTTAATGTGGCCAGAGCCAGTGCAGAGACGCAACCCCTATCCGTCAGAAAGCCCTTGCTAACGAGGACAGTCTGCACACCAACTCGTTCATGTTGAAGGGTTTGTTACTGGAGGGCTTGGTTGTTCATGTTTCGGGAGGCAGTGTTTCCACGGGCGGGCTGGGCTGTTGGAACTTCTCGAGCAGCGATGATGCGTCCGGTCCATCCAATGAGGCCAGGCCATCCCGGCGGGTTTGTGCATGACTGTGTGCGTGTGTGTAGTATATAGGTAAAACAAAAGGGGTGGTTATTGTCGAAATACATGAAAGATGAAGCGGAGGAGACTTGCTGAGTGCAATTCGAAGGGCATGAAAGTCAGTATAGACCATCAAAACTGAAAACAAAAACACTTCCAAAAAGAAATAATCCACAACCCTTGAACCAAGTTGCCATGTCATATCTATGACCTCCTCTCCACTTCCTTCTTCAAATCCGCATTGAATTTCTCCCAATTATCCAAGGACTTTTTACTGGAGCTGCGTCCGGGTGCCATAAGAAACGCCAAGAGGCCAGTGAAATCTTCCTTTTGCCTGAAGGTCGTGCCGCCTGGAGTCTTGGAGCTTGGCTGCCATGTGAACTCGTGCTTGCCCGAAAATATGGGCCATAGATTTCCATGCCATTCAAACGCGTCTGTTGAGTTTTGCTACTGCGTATTAGTAAGAGCTGCTGGGTGTGGTTAAACAGCGTACCAAGAGAGTTGGTGAGAACTTCATGGTCCCCAGGTCAACTTTGAGTTTATCCTTTGGTTGCAACTCGTCCGGCCTTTTCGATGCGTCGGCTGGCTCGACCTTCCATTTGTTCCATTCTTTATATCTTGAAAAATCCATGAACTAGCCTACTTAGTATTGTACTGGTTAGGGGGTGCTTTGGCTTACCACCGATCTGACAGTCTCCGGTGATGCCTGAATCTCGATCTCGGCGATCATGGTCTGAGTTTGGCCCATTTTGAGAATGTCTACGATGATGAAATTTTGTTCTTTGTAAAGTGTTTGATGCTGGATTCTGAAGCTGGCCAACACGTTGATATCACGCTGCCTTTATACATGGTCTCATCCCAAGATGTAAGACGGTGGCTTATGCAGACGGAGCATAAATCAAGCCGAAAAACGCCACCGAACTATCTGATTGGCTTACACTCTCCGTCAAGAACTGATTGTCCCGCACCACTGGCTCTATTTAACATCCTGGGTGCAATGCACTGTAAGCTGAACAACACCCAGAGGTTTCGCTGGACGAATGGCATTTTATTTAGGACCCGGCTTTGTCGGAAGTTGCTGACCAAAGAGTCCAATTTGAGGAGCTAGAGCAAGGTCATTTCAATCGCTTGATGCTCTCGGCTAGAATGAGAGATGGGAAGCTGACTGCCTTAACGTTATGCCTCCACGCGTCAGGCTTGAGCCGGCTTGCACCCGTATTTCCCGCTCGATAGCGGCAAGACTGTCGCTTACGAGAACCTCAAGTTCAAGTTGACAGCTCCCCCTCCAGCATTGAAACTCGCGTCGAAGCTAAGTTTTCATCTAAGAGCGCCTTTGGTCTCATGTCAAGACAGTGTCAGCACGATGAAGCCGCCGTTTCATCACCATGAGTCGCAGGCCTGCCATCCAAGCACTGCCGGTTCTCGTCATGGTGGCTCACTCGAGCTGGCTCTTTCAACCAATCACATCATATCCGGTATGGTGTAGTGGCTAACATTTCGCGCTCTCATAACCTGAGGGAATAGCACCGCGGAGCCCAGGGTTCGATTCCCTGTACCGGAGTTTCTTTTTGCTCTTTTTGTCCCTTTTGCCATGTTCACCAAATCATCATCATGATGTTCACCTTCATGATGGAAGAACAGTCAACAGGCTTAAGTTAGACACAATTACCGTCCATCCCTTTTTATCTCTTCGTCTATCACCTCGGTACTGCCTTGACAAGTTCCAGGCACCATGAATTCAGGCCAAGACCGTTCCTACCTGCCTGCCTCACCGAAAAACATGGTGGATCCTAAGCCTTATGATGAACAACTGTAAACATCGAGTTCTTTCACGTCATCACCTTCAATTCACTCTCTCTTCTCCCGTCCACAGGTCACTCATTCGAACTGCAAAATGGGAGGCTCCAAACGAACACTGGCCGAGATAGTCGACGCCGATGATATCGACGATATCCCTCTCCTTCGCATCCGTCGTCCCCGTATCGAACCCGCTGCATATCCTCCTTCGACCGAGCCCTTGAGTCCGTCCCCTCTATCGCCGCCGCAATTGTCGCGTCACAGGCTTGCGACAACACCTCTCTAACTTCGCGACAGGCCAAGATGAGATCACCGCCCGCGTCAATGAGTTCAATGAACTTCGCCTTAACAGCCTCCCTCTCAATCTCATGACACCCGAGTTCAAGCGCTACATCTTCTGGCATTCCAACCACCGCCTAGAACGAGCCAAACGCGATGGCGCCACCCTCGCCGACATCTCCATCGGCCAAGAATGTCTCCCAACTTGGCCTACGCATACCTGGGATCCGCGCGAAGAGTCTCTTCACCACAACATCCAGTCCCGCCTCTTGACTCACGAAGCCTCCGGCCATGCCAGCATTCTCATACGGCAAGACATCATTTGGAAGTCGAACCGGAAGCTCGATGAAGCAAGAGCCTTGGGTCACCAATTGGAGGACATTCGCATTAGCGAGGGTCTGCTGCCTGTCTAGGGGACCGCAGCACACCATGTCTCAATGGCATTGTACTCTAATAATGACGATGAACGAACAAGCAGCCAGGAGTCCGAAGAGAGCAGGGAGGATCTCTCCTTTTTCGGCAGCCCCGATGCCTCAGATGCCGTCGCCCAAAGCGGATCTTCCGTCACTACGAATGCGCTCCCATCTGATCCGCTGGGTCCTGATACTGGTTCCGGCTCCGATACTGACGTGGACACGGATTCCAGCGACTCGGACGGTTTCGATGATCAAGTCTCTGTTGACAATTATCTCTCGGACGAACCTTACTACTCGGAATACGACGAAGAGCTGAATGTTCTCCACGGTGCCCAAATCGCTGGCCTCTCTTCCTTTCATTCTCGCATCGATCTCGAGGTTTTTCTAGCCGAGGATGAAGATGAGGTTGAGGACTTGCCAGAGATGCAAATGGTCGTCGACAGAGACTCTTTTGAGCAACATTTCGGGACTGCTGGTGCTGTCGATGTTGAGCTTCATGGGGCTCGTCTTCGCTGCACTGGGGAGCTGTTTGATCACGATGAGGTCGCGAGCTCGTTTTCATCTGAAGACGAGGACGAAGACATGGATCCCTTGATCTATGAGTAAGGGGATGGGCATGATGGGTGGAGAGTGGTTACAAAGATTGCTTAGAAGTGAGGACGGCGTACTGGATCGTGGGCCAAGACCTTCACTTGCCTTTCAGAATTGCGTGTAATGATAGCCATTAGCCAGCGTCTTGTCGCATTTGGTTTCCCTTCTTATTAGTTCTCAATACTAGCACTTTGGAGATGTTGATGCAGTTTCTCAACTATCTCCTCGCGGACTTTTCTCGGGCCTTGGAGATTGTCACAGAGCCTGAGGTGACGTTTGTTAGCACAAACTCTCAAGCTGCATGTACTCCTTGGGCTCACTCTGACGCCATCGTATCTAGAAACAGGTTTATTCGACCCTACCACTGACTTACGTAGTAGACCTGAAGAAGGTTATGGATGTCTTATGAGGTCTACATGACGTTTTCTGTCGTAACTCATGAGTTTCCCGAAGATGAGTGAGTGCCTGCTGTTTCCAGACAACAGGAGGATGCCAGTCTTGGATAACTGAAATATGCAACGTGAAATCTATCACCAGAGCAGCAGATGCAGAGACAAGGAACTGTATGCTTCCAGATGTTCATTATGAAAAGCTGACACATGCCGTGTATTAAAGCGCCAGCCCACCATCTATAACCATGACCCAAAGCCAAAACCATGCAATGCAATACAATCCTATGTCATAACGTCAAGGTCCAACTTATCAAGAGATATACCGTTGACATCAGCCACGATACCAGAAACAGTCTCAGGCATCGCCCACAACACTTTGTACAAAGGACAATCCAATCCAGCACTGCATCGATGTTCTCGATCCTCACTTACCCTCTTGATCCGATCTTCCAGAGTCGATACCGTGTGGATCTTGAAGGGTTGTACTGACGGCCAGAGTTTATGTGTTTCCAGACAACGAAAGTATGCGGCGATGCGAGTTTCGGTCGTGCATAGTGAATCGAGAACATCACTTGAACATCTTCGGCAGCGGTCATCTCTCACGTCACGGGAAGGTAGTCGTCCACATTTCATACAGAGCTTCTGTTCGGTGGTGTAGCTCTTCTCGTAGCTTCCTAATGTGCGCTCGTTCCACTGGATTGCGAGGTGGATCTGATCCAACACTCTCGAAATCTCACCAGCCAGGGCATCTGGCCGTTCGTCAGTTTCATACACATAGCTTGAACATGAGTGAGAACAAACCTTTTATCTCAAACGGCAAGATGGCAGTCATCTCGTGCTTAGACCACTCCGAGTCAAAATCCAAATTCAGATGCGGCACAGCTCCTTTTGACACACTTGAGATTGATTCAGTCGATCGGAAAAAGTACGCAGCCGTTAGAAGCAGTCCAATATCCTTGGGATCAGACACGTTTTCGATTCCGGACAGCCAGGTGGAAATCCAAGGTCGCAGGGCAACGTTGCAGCTGTACTTGTCGCTCTGTCTCGCCACCGCCGCCAACAGAGCAGGCTTGAGACTAGAAAACTTTTCGCTGTACTTGAAGTGAATAATAGAGAGGATAATCTCCATAGCCTCGGGGTCGTCTTCTTGGAGTGTAATCTCAGGACACTCTCCCTGTCGAACCGCAGCGCCTTCTTTAAAGTTGGATCCAAAGAGTGATTCAAAGTACGGTGAGGCAACGCGCAGGATGGTAGTTGAGACGAGACATTTCATGGACGGTTTTGTGCGATGATGTACCACGAGGATGGCATCGCCATTTGGATATAGTTGTAGCATTGTAGTGGGTTCGTGGGTTTCTTTGCTGTGTAGACTGGGTATCTCGACAAACTGACCATCCATTGCAGCAAAAAAGGTTTCAAGAAATAATCACGGAGAGAAGAAGAGTCAGTAAGAAAGAAAATCCCCACAAGGAAACAACACCAGCACACCCTTATGTAGCCCCAGAACCTCGGCTTACTTTTATCTCCATCCCACACTCCTGGGTCCGTGATGGGTGTGGTCCAAGACGGTAATTGGTGGCGAGAATTTTCGCAACAAAGAGTCATGTTTCTAAAGGAGCGGTCAACTGACGTCTCCCATGACTCGGCCGTTCGGAAACGGGCGCAAGGTCAAGTCCCCTCAACTGTCACGTCCGTGTCGTGTGTGGCTCCAGACGAGGCGTGAAGGTTTCCGGCTAAAGTGGAGGCTCTGCAGCTGAGTGGCAGGGCGGACCAAAGGGTCCAGTTTGTTTGTTTTATTTTTAATGACTCGTCTTGGAAGTTTGTTTGGCGGTTTTTGAAACGTTGGTTCCGGTTCGTTGGGACGTGGCCTATCACGCGGGACGGACGATATGGGGTTATAGTGTGAGTCTGAGCGGTCTGTTGCGAATATTTTCGGAAGTTTTATACGCTAACTAGTTTGATCAGATAATCAATCATGATATCAGATATCGCAGAGCCTCTCCTATATCGGCAGTCATTCAACTCCAAGTCGTTGTCCGGTATCTATTGCCGTCAATGATGCGATGAACTAGTGGGAAAACCAAGGCGACTCTTCGGATATCTCAGTCTCTCTTATCCTCTCTGTAGATCTATGTCGAAATCTATCTATCGTGATAGTGAAGCGATGACGTGATGGCACCAATACTACGCACCCTGGAACAGACCCACGGTCCTGATCTGTATCAGGATATAGAAAGAGCCCAGCCTGCTACAAAACCCCTGCTTTTTCTGGAGATACACATCGGGCCGAGACAAAAACTCCACTGAAAGCGCTGATGCAATTTCTATGTTGAAGATGCGAGAATGGGGGTTGATAAGAATGCCATGCTCGTGAGCGAGGGTGAAGACTTTGATATAAAACGGGGTGCTCCTTTGCGCATACTTTGACCAGAGGCTGAAAAATATCATCAATAATATCCTCTTGTCTTTTGTTTGCCAAACATTCAAAATGGCTGAGCCACAGGCTAATGGCCTTTACCAAAAGGCGCACGATATTTTTCGTGGTACCTACGTCCAGGCTGTACTGCTGGGTCTCATCAGCTTTACTCAGCCCGGCATATGGAATGCCATGAACAGTGAGCTAATCCTCTTCTATTCAAAGTTTGGACATTGATTAAGATTTTTCTTCAGGTCTTGGAGCCGGTGGGCAAGCTGAACCATATGTCGTCAACGCCGCCAATGTCATAACCTTTGTGTAAGTCGGCAGCCCTGCGGCCCCATCAGATGCTATACCCGTGAACTTTATCTAACAAATATGCACATAGGGTCATGTTCGTTCTATCTCCTCTGGCTAGCATCGTCGGAAACATCATCGGTCTTCGCTGGCTCGTCGTGTTTGGCACAATTGGCTACGTGCCGTACTCGGCGGCGCTATATGTCAACTCCACGAATGGAACGCAGTGGTTTCTCATCTTTGGAGCTGTGACATGCGGCCTCTCGGTAATTATATCCGGCATGGGAAATTTCCATTTGCTTTATCTGACCAAACACAGGCTACCGCGCTATGGACTGGCGAAGCGGCCATGGCTGTTGGATACCCTGAGATTCGAAGACGAGGCATCTGCAGTAAGTCTCGACAGGACTCGATACTTTCAGTTGCTCTAACATTATTTTCTAGTCGGAATATGGCTAGCCCTTGGAAAGCTCGGTTCCATCATTGCCTCAGCCATCCAGCTCGCCCTCAACAAGGACAGCTCCTCAAAGGGCGCCATCTCCACCAAAACGTACCTCGTCCTCATCGCAATCCAATGCCTAGGTCTCCCGCTTGCCCTCCTGCTTGCACCATCACACAAACTCGTCCGCTCAGATGGAAAGAAGCCAACATTTGGCTCGACAAATCGCACCTTCAAGGCTCAAGTCCGAGGATATCTTGCCCAGTTCCGTCGTCGTGAAGTTCTCCTCTTGATACCGGCTTTCATCACGGCTCAGTGGGGAGTCACATACCAAGGAAACTACCTCGCCGCTTATTTCACAGTGAGGGCGCGCACACTGGCAGGCTTTCTTGTAGCCATTGTCGGTGCTATCGTCAATGTCATCGCTGGTTGGTGGCTTGACACAAAGCATCTAAAGAGGTCAACTCAGGCCCGAAGCATGTGGTACTTTCTCCTGGCTCTGTTTACTCTTGTTTGGATTTGGAACCTCGTTATTCAAACTCGATGGGCAAAGGAGAGCCCTGGAGACATTGACTGGAGCAGTCGCAATTTTAGAGTGGGCGTTGCGATTTTTATCCTCTACAGGTGAGTGACCGGATTGAAGTCGTCCCTGACCCTTGCATGGACTAACGACAATAGGATTGCGTACGAAACTGTCGGCATCTGGCTGTACTGGGGTCTTGGAACATTCGACACGGACCTCGATGCCATCACACTCTCTATGGCAGTCTTGAGAGGCGGTGAATCACTTGGCTCGGCGTTGGCGTACGCGGTTGGCTCAGTCCGGAGCGCATCACTCATGACGAATCTTATTGTCGCTACTGTTGTATTTTACGCTGCTGTGCCGTTCACAACTTGGGCGGCCCACTTGATCAAGGATCGCGATGTGGTGGAGGGTGATAATGGCAGTGAGAATGAGGGAGAAGCTTCCAGCTCACAGGGCACGGAGGATCAGGCCGTTGAACGCGTGACTACAATGGCGAGTCTCAAGAACTGAGCTCATAGTTATTCTTATCTATTGGAAAGTCACTTGAGCATCTTTACGGAGGGTTAGTGTCTTGGGCGAGATTCCCTTTACCTCCAGCCCTTCAGCGCCACAGCCAATTAAACAAATTGTCTATCCCGCAGCCAGGATTTCTGAGCTGTCGTTGTTAATTTCAAGTAGTAAGATTACTGGTATATATGGAGGCGTTGACGAACGGATGTACGTTGGACCGAAACCGTCAGATCAATAGGCAAATCACTCAAACCTAGAAGCGCTTCCCGCATCCCACCACCATCAGAAGTCATGTCGAGTAGGCTAGCAGCTCAGATCCATCGCCCGCTGCGCGCAGTCTCCGTGTGGACCAGCAAACCTATCTACCAGCGCAGAAGGTTCCACGAGCGAAAAGCTGACTTGGTTACACTCGACGCCAACGGATCACTCGAGACACGCAAGCTCGATGTCATAACTGGGGACCCCCACGAAGCCTACGTTATAGTCGATCGGAACGTCGGCTTCGCCATGAGATCAGCCATCATGAAGCAGACTGAATCGTCTCTTGCTACAAATGCAGAAAGGGTTCCCTTGGTGTTCCACCACCACTCACGCCATTTCGCTCACCGTGCGTGCAACATGCCCGTACACTTATGACCGCAATTGACGGTATTCCAAGATACAGCACCCTACCCGCGGATTATCCTTGAGCATGACCTTCCGCATCAAAACCCGGGAGCCACAAGTCCTGCGACCCTCTGGCTGTGGGGAGCGACGCACTCCATCACCTTGGATGGAACCTCTGATGGTGAGTTCTTAACCGCTAAACAAGTAGACGATACTCAATTGCAAGTAGCCAAGTTTGAGGAGGCTTGTAGAGAAAGCCACGAAAGGCTTGAGGGGGCTGCTAAATTATTGAAGCACAAATGATTGGCAAAGGGCTGAATAGGAGATGTACAGCGTCACCTGGCATGACTACCAGGAAAACAATGAGTGACCCAGTCTTGTATACTGTATATCAGGATAACACCCTAGACTGCAAAGCATGCCACTTCGCATATTGTACTCTTGCACCTTCATTGAGCGTCCCTCATGGAGTGCTATGCTTCCCCTAGGACTCCTTAGTCTTCTTGATTCTTGACCAAGGCCTCGGCGATAGATCGATAGTAATTCCCCAGATCCTCAGGCGTCCATCGTCTCGTAGCCACAAGCACATGAGCATCAGAAAGCTCCTCGTTAAACTCGGCCTCGCTTTCGCCATTTGTCCTCTTTTGCAGCTGGTGCCCATTCATCTTGAGAAACATGTCTGCTGCGTAGAGGGCAGTGCGTTTGTTGCCGTCCTGATATGAATGGTCGAGAGCAATCTTTTCCGCAAGAACGCCAGCCAGTACAAACAAATCTTTCTGTCCGTAGTGCTCGTGGTTGACTGGTGAGTTGACGGCTGATTCCAACATGGCTGGCTGCGTTGGGGATGCTTTTGCAATGTGACGCATGTGCAGCCTCTTGACTTGTGCAACAGTGAGGAAACGGCAGGGAGCGGCTGAAGACATGATACGTAGAGGGGAATGTTCAAGGCTATATGTCTAGTAGATTGGTAGCTCTAGGATAAATGGGCTTCTCATCAAATGATTATGAAGGACGAGGCATTTCAAGGATTGAGCACGGCCAATCGGTTGACACGGAAAGACTGGGGTTTAGGCAGAAACCGGAGGTTTAACGAACAGAAATGCTGGATAGTAACTGAAACTCATGCATTGAGCGAGAAAATGCGTTCATCATGGAGATTTCATGTACGCCTTAGTTTAAACCTTCAAGCTGTGACCATTTGCATGCCCCCTGTTCAGGGTTGCAAAGATATACTTTCTTTTATTTAAATCTCATTTTGTCCAAGTTTAGAATACTGTTATGAATTTTCACCTCTCTAGACTTGAGTCAATCGGTAACCAACTCGGTATGATCGCAAAAGAACGCAAGTCATGACCTACCCGAGAGTTGCCTCTGGGGGTGCACGTGACTTTATTGCAATTCCGTGGCTCCGCATTGGGCGGGGAAAAAACAGCCCCACCAAGATTTTTGTGAAGCTTCGATTTTTGGAGGGGCAAAGTCAATATCCAGCGTCGAGACCACTTGACACCCCGGCCTGACTCATCGTACGAGCCTCGACAGGACTATACAACTTCTCGATACTCTCCAAAGACCCTCTTCGACCTTGTAGATCGACGAAAAGCACAATCTCAGCTTCCAACCCCTCACCATGGCGACCGCCACCATGACCGTGACTGCGGTCCACACCAAGAAGAAGCCCGACCTGGCACCAGAGAGCGAGCGCTTCCTGCGATGTTGCGCCGACGTCGCCAACGCCCTCATCGAAGACCATGAAGCCTCCAAGGCTGGTCGCACCACTCGCGACATCAACCTCAACTCTCTGCGCAACAAGCTAGCCAAGAAGCACAAGCTCATGAACATTCCGCCCTTGACCGCCATCATCGCCTCTATTCCCGAGCATTACAAGAAGTATATCCTGCCAAAGCTCATCGCGAAGCCTATTCGGACGTCTTCTGGAATTGCCGTCGTTGCTGTCATGTGCAAGCCTCATCGATGCCCTCATATCGCTTATACCGGCAACATCTGCGTCTACTGCCCTGGTGGGCCAGACTCCGATTTCGAATACAGTACACAGTCATATACTGGATACGAGCCGACTTCAATGCGAGCCATTCGTGCGCGATACGACCCCTTTGAGCAGGCGCGAGGACGAGTCGACCAGCTCAAGTCTCTTGGTCACTCTGTTGACAAGGTCGAATATATCATCATGGGAGGCACCTTTATGTCATTGCCCGAGTCATACCGAAATGAGTTTATTGCGCAGCTTCACAATGCGCTGAGCGGATACCAAACAACCAATGTGGATGAAGCTGTGGAGGCTGGCGAGATGAGCAACATCAAGTGTGTCGGTATTACAATTGAGACACGACCCGACTATTGTCTACAGCCTCACCTTTCCGATATGCTGCGATATGGCTGCACAAGATTGGAGGTTGGAGTTCAGTCGCTTTACGAAGATGTGGCACGAGACACAAACCGAGGACACACAGTAGCTGCTGTCGCAGAGACATTCTGCCTTGCCAAGGATGCTGGATACAAGGTCGTCAGCCACATGATGCCTGACTTGCCTAACGTGGGCATGGAGCGAGACATTGACCAATTCCGAGAGTATTTCGAGAACCCTGCCTTCAGAACGGACGGTCTCAAGATCTACCCGACCCTTGTCATCCGAGGCACAGGCCTTTACGAGTTGTGGCGGACGGGGCGGTACCAGAACTACACACCAAATGGCCTGATCGATCTGGTGGCTCGGATCTTGGCCTTGATCCCACCCTGGACGCGCATCTACCGAGTGCAGCGAGATATTCCCATGCCCCTGGTCACATCTGGAGTTGAGAACGGCAACTTGCGTGAGTTGGCTTTGGCTCGGATGAAGGACTTTGGCACGACTTGCCGAGATGTGCGGACGAGAGAGGTTGGTGTCAATGAGATCAAGAACAAGATTCGACCCAATCAGATTGAACTTGTTCGAAGAGACTATGTCGCCAATGGTGGCTGGGAGACCTTCCTTGCCTACGAGGACCCCAAACAGGATATCCTCGTTGCTCTACTACGGTTGCGAAAGTGCACAGAAAAGTACACTTACAGGGAGGAGCTCATCGGCCAACCCACCAGTATGGTCAGAGAGCTTCACGTCTACGGCACAGCCGTCCCCGTGCACGCCCGCGACCCCCGCAAGTTCCAGCACCAGGGTTTCGGTACACTACTTATGGAAGAGGCCGAGAGGATCGCACGGGAGGAGCACGGCAGCGACAAGATCAGCGTCATCTCTGGTGTCGGTGTGAGGAGTTACTACAAGAAGCTCGGATTCTGGCTTGATGGGCCTTATATGAGCAAGTGGTTGGATGGACGGGAGGGTCCTCAGTGATGGGACTTGGACTTGGGATAGGACTTATAAATACCTCGGGGCGGGGAAAAGCATGGGTTTATAGAATAGGCGCAATTGGGGATTGGTATCATGAGACATGGTCAATGAGAGTTATTTACTTGATGTTTTGGTGTTGTTTTCACTGACTCTTTGTTGTGAAGATTGTACACTTTTGCAAGACTTGGCACGGGCATTCCATACTGTTGCCTTGCATTTATCTTTTCAGTTCTACATGAACATGTGGCTTGCATCTCTTGACTCTCTCCTCAGCATCAAGTGACCATTTAGTGAGCGCGTGAGTGCCGAATGACGCCTCAGATCTAAGGATCTCGAACCTCAGATTAGCAAACCCGATTGGTCAATCTAGCTTAGTCATGCTTCAACGTCGCCGCGTTCCGGGTTACCTCTCAACGGCCTCAACTCGATCCCTCTCAAGCTTGGAAACCCCCCGCCGTCATGAAAGCCGCCCAACGCCATGAACATCGGCCGCCGCCATGACGTCCCGGACTCCCGAACCGGCGTCCTCCCCGTCATACCCCCCGAGGCCCTCCCGGACCGCGACCCCCGCAGCAACGCCGCCACAGCCGCCTCGGCAGCCGGTGTGCGTGCCCTGAGCGCCCAGGTCGTCGCCTTTTACTTTCGCGCTCCCGCAAAGGCGTTTTTCCGCACCAGGGTGGATTACCTCGCTTATGCGAGGACTATTCACCAAGCCAGGACGAAGCGGCTCATGAAGGCTGTTATGAGTGATGCTAATGCTTCGCCGCTTACTGTGTTTTTGAAGAGGAGTTGGTTGTTGTTGAGAAGTACGACGCCGGGTGTGTTGACTTCGGCTATTAGTCAACAGGGATGGGGGATTATTCCTCATCAGATTTTACCGCCTCTTATTGCGAATGTTGGTGTTGGTGCTGTGTTGTATACGAGTTACCTGCAAATCCTAGGACGTCTACACGAAGAGAGTGGCCAAGCGAGAAAGAGGGTGTATCCTCCACCGCAACCAGTGCACACCTTTACAGCAGGTCTACTCGCGGGTGGTTTACAGAGCGTTGTCGCAGCTCCGCTGGATGCCCTCCAGGCAAGGTACGACCACCGTGATATGATGCCCAACGACGGCAGTGGCAAGCCTCGGAGTATGTGGACGTTTGGCTCTGAGAAGCTGCGTGAAATTGGTCTGAGGGGAATATTTGCTGGATGGGGACTTTCCCTCGCAAAGGACAGTCTAGGGAGCGCCATCTTCTTCAGTATATTCGAGTACGTCAAGGCGCAGGGTTATTATCGCTTTGTAACCTGGTACTATGGTGGTCTTGCGGAGGACATTGTCGACGTGCTCGCCATGAAGCGGCCAACTCACCAACACAAAAACGAGGGCATCACACTCATCCGACCTCATTATACGATCGAGCCAATGTTTCTCCTCATGGCCGGCATCAGCGCCTCCTTCTCCCAACAAGTCCTCCTCCACCCCCTGACACACTTCCAAGTCAAGCACTGGGACCACCTCGAAGACCTCGACGCAAAAGCCGCCAAGCTGCGCGCCTCGGCAGTAGCAAACCCCGACAAACCACGTCGGCACTGGAGGATGCTTCGAGCCTATTACCACGCGTATCAAGAGTCTCTCGCGGTCTGCACAGCCGAGGCGAAGAGCGAAGGTCTAAGCCTGACAAAGTGGCTGTACCGAGGATTCTGGTGGAACGCGATCCGGCAGGTGCCGAGCACGAGTGCGGGATTGATCATCTTTGAGCTGATTCGGCGCAAGTATGGATTTGGACAGGAGGAGGTGAGGATCACCAAGGATGGGTACGATATTCTTCTCCACTGAGCGTGTGGTCTTGGCGTTGGGTATTTTGATGGTAGACCCGTCTCCCCTTTGTTGTAGAGTGATGGATAATCGCATAGAAATGGTACATGGTTTGAGAGCTTGTTTCTTGTGTTCAGCGGTGTTCTTGACATGTGTTTATGGTGGCGTATGGGTCTGGTGAGACGGCAGATGACAAAGGAGCGACAGGATTAATGAGCTCCTCTAACGAGACACGCTTTCAGCTAGCCAACAACACATCACATATCACGTCAAGATGAGCCCATTCAGTCAAAAAACGCAAAGTAATCCCGCTCCCCCGGGGTCCTTAAATGTAGACCTGCAACTCCGTGCTATCATCATACAAGCGTCGTCAAACAAGAAGAGAAGGAAAAGAAAAGAAGAAGTAAGAAAAGAAACCGAACCTGAACCCGAAAGAGAAGGAAGCATAAAGAACGAACAAGAGGTAAAGAAAAGAAAAGTGAAAATAAACAAAGCTCGCACATCCTGCTGTCCATCCTGCCCCTTAATGTTGTTACATGCGAATAGGTTGATCCAGTAAGAGAGTATGTCCATGCCAGCAACGGCACTGCCACCAGTCCAGATGTTTCCGTCAACAACCCACTTCTTGTCTTGTCGTTGGCTCACTCAACATTGGGATACGTCTGCTTCATCACATAGAACGCCAAGTTGCTGATGGTGACATTCCCCTTTGGTCTTGGCCATACGTCCTGATAGCACCCACCATCAACCTTGAAGGGGCGGAAGCGCAGCGGGGAAACGTTGGAACCAACCATCAGTGAAGTTGGAGTCATCCCCATTCATCTGGCGCAAGAAAGTAGTTACCTCTCTCCGATTGCGGCTAATCTGCGCTAGGAAACGCGGGTTAGAGTAGTCCTCGCCCTCTTGCGGAAGACAAAGTGCGACTCCTTGTACTCCCAGCTCGTACAAGTTCATCCATTCGAGTCCCCGGAGGAGCCGATTCGCTTGCTCCTCGTCGAGATTGAGCCTGGCGCAGATGGAGATTCCTCGGGTATTCACCACAGCCCAGTGGAATTCATTGACTGGTGTCCAGGTGTCTTTCCATTGGCGAAGGAGTGCTCTGGACTCAGTGAGATCAATAATGCCCCTGCTATGGAGGCCCAGAAGGTGGCACGATCGCTGGCCTCTCTCCTCTTCCCAGTTGAGGCGAAGTGCTTCGTGAAACATTGCTGTTTCGACGAGTTGTCCTGAGGCGTCTTTGGGGGGTTGACCAGGGGTGTTGGCCTCCAAATTTCTCATCAGAACTCGTCGGACGATCCCGGTAACGCATCGTCTGGGTAAGGCCTCAGGCTCGGTCAAGTCGTCTTCTCCGACGGGTTGGCCAACCTGAGCATTGGCTTCGTTCCAAAGCCGGTCCATAAGCAACCAAGAGGTTTCGGGGTCCGTCATGTAACAGTACGCAGTTGCTAATTGTCGGACCTTATCCGCGAGTTCTAGGAACTCGCGGAACTTGTCCCAGTTGCCGAATACATCGGTGAAATAGTGAGCAATGTTCCAAGCATTGGTTAGCTTGAGCCGGTTCGGCAGCAAGCTAGTTGCGAAGGAATCGCCAGCTGGTCGCTGGGTCTGGAAGGGAATCCTGACCAAGTTAAATGTGGTCATCGCGAGATCCATCAGTTCCAGCGGGACGTATTCTTCGATAACCGTCCCAAAGGTATCGTAGTTACCCGCCTCCCAATCCCTCTTGACGTGCTCCACCTTGTCTGCGATCAACGCAGATCTAGGACTATTTTCTCGCATTGCATCGATGAGATTGACATGTTCTTCCTCAGCTTCTCAAGGGGCACCGGAAGCCGTGAAAGAAGTCATCTTTGTAATGCGAAATGATGTAGAGTAGGGATTGCGTCTGGGGGGAATGCTCTTTGGTTCGAAAGATTTGGCAAATGTCTGATGCACTGGTAGGCTTAGTGGTTAGTATTAAGGTCTAAGTATCGCGAGGAAAGAAGTATTTACCAAGTCGTATAAGGCTGTAATAAAGCTGGGAAGAATCCAGCTGCCTATTGGGAGAAGTAATGGAAGATACGGTATCGCTTGGAAGACGGCGGCGAAGACTTCTTAATCTCGAAGAGTGAACTCGTGGGACCAGTGGAAAGATGTTTCGTCCGAGATCTTCTTAGCGATGAAAGAAGGATGTCTCAAACAGAAAAACGCGCTGCGGAGAGAGAGGGCAGAAAGCAAGAGAGGACCCGTAGGCCAAGGTAGAAGTAGGAAGCGACGTTGATCGAAGGCCTGCGAATTCCAAGAAGGAGTAATGTTAGAAGTGATGAAGAGAGGAGAGAGAAGCTCCACGAGGAAGCATGGGGTATTTGTACCTTGAAAAGCCAACGATGGCCTGGTTCTACGACGAACGAATGTGTCGATGAATGGGAATAATGAACCAACAGGATAAGCTTTTGTTGTGCTGTAGAAAAAGAAGCTTTCGCGATACTGGTTTGTGTGTGTGGAAAAGAAGAAGAGTAGACTGCGACCTCCGTTGTTTTCTTAGGCAACGCGGTAAACGTGTGGACCTACCAGCGTTTGAATCGGTGCTAAAAGAGGTAGATAGACTGGTATTGTTGACCTACAAACGACTCTTGTTCTGCCGGCATGAATAAACTTGGGAGGTGCATCTGAATGACCGCGTTCACGTCTGTTCACGCACGTGGACAATGACTCCAAACGAACCGGACACTGGCACCGTTGGTCTGTCACTGCAAGTTTTATCTATGGGCTAGGTAGTGTGCCGTTGGGCACGAGTGGCAGCGCAGTGGCAAGACCTGGCGATACGTTAGAAGTGCCTCAGGAGGTCTTTGATGGGAAACTTTTGGCTTTTTGAGATGCGCCTGACATCTCTAATAAACATATTGACATTTTACGCACTCCCCAAAGCGTACTTTTTATCATAAACCCTCGGCCGAAACTCTTCGATAGACTCTATTTGACATAGCTCCGATGGGGTGGATTCCCAGAGAACTTACGCTGTTAGAAAAGACCCCCTAAGAAGATCGCAAATGCCCTTATGCCTGTTTAAATCAAGGAACACGAGGTCGGTCTCTGCGATTCTCAGGTGAGGAGCTTCATGATAGCGCTGTTTGGACTGCCGAGGTTGTCGTGGATGGGCTCGGACGGTTCTTCGGAACTTACTTCCAGGCATCGACACATCCACGATAATGGACAAGGCCGAGACGACGATGATAGCGGCGAAGAGCCCTTTGAGATGCGCTTCGAAAATGAAAACACCCAGGGACCTCTCATTAAGTCGTAGCACCCGCCTTCTGTGACCCCCCTTTGACACTGAGATGACTATGTACGGGGATGTTCTGCAGATGGCGTAACAGGCTCGATGGAAACAAGGTATAGAAGAGAAACATCTCATCAGAGATTGAGTTCCTTCATCTAAATTAGTCTGGCCTCTTTCCTGAGCATCATGAGACTCATAACTAATCCGCCTGATTGAGGCGGTCAGGGGAAGCACCTCAATTCCATCAACAAGATCGTCCACAACATCTCCGCCTCTTCAGCCGAAGACTCAAACGTCAATTACTCTTAGACCAGATATAGAAGTACCATGAGGCGAAAGCATCTTGAAAGTTATGTTCAAACTTTGGAATAGGGGCTGGGGAGGTGATGCAGGCGGCCTCGTGTCGCAAACTTTGGTGATGGCTTCACGAGCTACGAACAAAACGCCAACAAAACTTCGAGTATAAGGTAGCGCAAGCGTAATGTGAACTGAGAGGAGACCTTAAAGGACACTAGACCATCTGCTCGCTTCAAGACCACGATGAGACTCACTGGAGACTTCTCCTTATACGACCGCCCCAAGACCACGCCAACACCACTGACATCCATCACACGCAAGGCATCGCCTCAAACCCAAATGAATTGGCAAACATCCTCGAGCAGTCACAACGCAGGGCTACAATCACAAAGTGGCAGCAAGACCCAGTTTGAAGTCGCAAAAGAGCATGATGAATCAATTCCTACAGTTCCTCCCAACTCGCTTCCCCCAAACCGCTTCCTCTATCTCCGCTGCATATACATTCCATCGGATACATCGCCATGCATCAATACCCCCGTCCCGTCCACCGCCCCAAGAACCGTGCAAGATCCTTAAAACTCCGTGTGTTGTTTCGCAAAACCAAAAACACTACATCCAGATGGTATGGGCATCAACTGTCCGGACGAGTCCGAGCAATTTTGGCCTTGGTGAGCTTTTGGGCGCTACCGGCTCGGCTGCTAGCCTCGTGGTCCGCTGGAGCCGCCTCCAAAATCGGGTTCTCGGTCCGGCAGGTGCTTCTTCTCCTTGCGCCCCTTGATCACAAATTCGGACATGATCTGGATGTGATCCGCCGGGAAGTGCCAGTTGGGGAACGCAGGCACTCGCTTAAGATATTCGGGGTCAGGGGGTCCGAGAAGGTCCACCACCTCGAGTGTGTTGGTCGAATACCAGATATAGTCAATCACGTCAGCAAAGCCTGGCGTGTAGTTGGTGAACGGCATCTCATCAGCCGTGTGCTTGGTGTGGGCGTAGGCGTCTCGGAGGCTGAAGGGATGCTCGATACCGTCTCGTGTGAAGCTTCCGTACTGGAAGTTGCTCAACTCGAGATGATCCGGAGGTACTCGGCCCATGGACATCAACTCGTACACCGAAGAGTCTTCAGTCGAGTTGAAATCACCACAAACCAAAAGAGGTATCTCTGTGTTGACCCGGTACTCTTGGCTGGGGCCCGGTTCGATTTGGGGCGTGGGAACCTCATCGTCCGTTGGCAGAACAATCATCTTCTTGTCCTTCACCGCTGGCCACCTAGCATACTTCTCGGCGAGCTTGGTAACGTGCTCCATCAGGATACCCGTCTGGATAACCTTGACATCGGCCAACGCAGAGTCCCAGGTGAGATGGACGTTGACCAAGATGATGCGCGCTCCTGTCAGCCGTGACTCAAAGAAGCAGATGACGGCAATGTTGTCCTTGGGCATCACACGGTTGAAGACGTCGTGCTGGTTCTTCATGTCGGGTCGGTTGATAGCAATAGTAGCAAACTCGATCAACTGCTTATCCAGCAGGATAAACTTGCTCTGCTTGTAAAAGACGGCACATCCATCCACAGACTGGGCATCCTTTTCTGACATGGTCTTTGCTCGGGACTTGGGCCAGTGAACACCCTTGTAGTCCATTTGCGCCAGGTCGGGGCTGAGATCCTCCTTGAACGCATCCGTGGAGACCTCCTGAAGAGCAAGAAAGTCTGCGTCGCGGATTCGAAGCTCCTCCAAGATACAGTCCTTGCGATACTCCCAGTTGAGGGCACCCGTGGGGGTGTAGCCGTATGTCTGTGGAGTCGCGTACTTGTCGCAGAGAATGTTCCATGAGAAAACCTTGATCTTTTCCAAGTTGGGTGACACGTCTTCCTGGATGACGATGGGCTTGCGGTGTGCAGGAGCCAGGGGAACTGTTTGCGTTCAGCATAAACTCTGTTGTCAAGATATGTATGTATAAACTTACTCGGAGCGCCTTCTCTCAGTGCATTGACCAGGCTCTTTGTTCCCTTCTCCATAATCTCCTGCTTCACGTCATGTTCCAGGGGGTTTCCTTCGATGCCCAGCATCTCAAGAAGGTGGAGCGATCCCAGTTCAAAAGGCAATGTCTGGATATTGTTGTTGAATAGCAGCAGCTGCTTCAGGTAGGTACACATTCCGACTTCAGGGGGGATCTCTGAAATCTGGTTAAAGGAGGCGTCAAGATGGCGTAACTGGCGTAGCTCTCCAATGGCATTGGGAAGTCGAGTGAGCTTGTTTGAAGCAATGTATAGCTCGTTCAGGAACTGATACCTGAACAGCTCTGGTGCCAAGTTTCGCAGACCCTGGCCGCTCATGTCCATATTATGCCAATCCTGGCGCCGGGTCTCCTTCTCCACAGGCGCGGGACGCCGTCGGTCAACACTATCGTTCTCGCTATCCGCCTGGGCGCGCAAGGTGGTGGGTGGAGGGCCGCCAATGCCTCTGTTTTCCGACGCCTTGAGCCTAGCATAGTAGTGCGGTTGTTGTTGATCGGTCATGGCAGCATGCGCTCGCTCAGCCTCCTTGTGCATCCTCAATTGCTCCTGCCACATCTCGTTCGGGGGTGCTTGTCCTCGCCCTGTTGCCGAATGGCCATTCTGGAGAGCGTTCGTATTGAAAGGACTCGAGTTTGAGAGTACGCCGGAGGCGAAGCTCGAGTGGTGGCTCAATCCATTGGCGTTGGGCATGCCATGGTCATGCTGAAGCCCCTGGTGGTGTTGGGTCTGAGAAGGGTGTTGATGTTGAGAGTGTTGGAAGTTGTACAGCAGGTTGGGCATGCCTCGCCCGGCGCCATTGATCCGGGCATGTTGACCTTGCCCGGAGTGTTGGGTAAACATCCCGGCAGGGGTATGTCAGTCTGATGGTTGGTTATAGATTTGGGGGTGGTTTTGATAACTGCGCCGGCGAGCAGCACGGCAGCAGGTGGCGCTTTTCGGCAGTCTTTATCGATGGTGGGGGGTGTATCAAGCGACTAGACCAGCTCATCGGCCGTCGAGTGAGCGCGAAGGGATGGGTTGGTGCGATTTGCGATCGTAGTGGCGCGGGGGACTCGACAAGTGTGGAGTGACTCGACACCTCACCCAAGATTCAAAAGGAGAGATGGCAATAGTAGCTCGCGTTTGCGCATGGGCCCGTCGGGTCAGCCGCTCTGCGTATGCAGTTTCGTGGTGAAGAATAGAATTCCGGCTCGAATGTCGATTCGTCGCAGGTCAAGAGCTCATCGAAAGGTCGTGTCGCAGCAGTTTCCGGGGAAGGCTGGGGTGTTTTGGCGTTTATCCAGCAGCTTAGAATGAGCCACAGACGTTGGAGCGACGTTGCTTTCGGGGTCAAGAGGAGGATCGCGAGGAGTATGCGAGGGTCAAGAAATGCAGCTACAAAGACATGTCAGTCAAAGCTTGAGGCAAAGGTCATCATGGGAGGGGATCCAAGCTTTTGCGACACGTGGAGGTGTCCTCAGCTCTTCAGGGACCACACACAGAAAAGAGCGAACGCAGCAATGCGAAATATTCACTGAAAGGTCAACTGATACTTGGACAGAAGAGTAGTGGGCGATATCAAGGGAGCATCCGGGTCGTGACTGTGATGCTGGTGGCACTGCGACGACGGACGAGTGCCAGAGCGAGCGATATGGAATCACGTGCAACTGCTCCGCATCTCGATGGCTCGTGCGGCTGAGAGGTCACGTGCAGCCTTATTGGCCTTGAAGGGCGAATTCAGTAGGGCAACAACAACCACAACTCGCCTAGCATTGACGGAAAACACAGAAACATGAATAGAAATTGCTTCACCTTGGAGAATCGCAAGTTTCCGGCTTTTTTCTCGCATTCAAGAGATGGTTGCGCATCGTGATCCAAGTTCGCATTCTTCGAATTCACACAACTCTTCCGCCCAGCCTGCAGCTACAACAACCAACTCCGTACAAGCATTGCGGGTGCGGGACTGACTAGGATTCTCGCAGCATCTCAAGCGTCTATCTCGATGGCATCGACAGGGACAGAAACAACGCACAGGCCTCGTCACTCCCACAACATTCCATGAGGACGGTACGGAAACATGGATTTGAACTCCTAGAGCTAGTCCAGCGCTGCAAGAAGACCGTCGGATAGGAACTGGGATTCCGCAACCACAACAGTGACGCAATGAGCTCAACTCCTCAGCGAAAGCGATGGCGCCTTCAGCTCCCGGCGGAAGCGTTTCGATCAAGCTTGTTTATTGGCGTTTTGCCGACGTGATTTGATCCACTAGGATCAGCCGCACCCATTTCGGGGCCTTCTTCGAATGAGGTCTGGCCGACAAGCTAGGCCAAGCATTGCCCGAGTCAGGCGTTTCCAGCTAGCGACTGCATTTGATATTCGGTCAATGCCATTCACATCGCAATCACGGTCCTCCCGACGGTACTTCCGAGAAATTGGAACTTGCCAAACATCGCGAAAAGCAGCATGGGATTGATCGCAAAAGTCCGGAATGAAGAGTTCCATTACTGACGTCCTAAGCATGCACGAGTCCGGATTGCTGGGCCTCTTAGGCAACAACAAACCCGAGTGGTACTGGGGGTGACACCTCTAACTAATCTGCCGAAAATAGCACCGTTCTCCAGGAAAAGTGGTGCAACCAGTGGTACGAGGACCGTGAGTCTATGTGTACCGTTCCGTGCTTGCTTTCAGACAACTCGAGTTCTCCTGAATACGGTCCGTGAGAAGAGGCTGTTTGAGACTCGAAGCGCGGTTGCAAATAGAAGCCTCGGTGTCTCGGCTAGCAATCATTGAGACGACCCGCCATGGAGAAGAGATGCATTCGATCACCCATCGTGCAGGTCACTGGGACACTCGGACAAGGCTAATCCTAGCAGCAATGCCAAAGTCGCATCACCATGTCCGTTGCAGATTGCGCCGGTTGCGGTTCAAGTTGCAGGACGGATCCTTTGGCATGGATATTTCAACCGCCATTGAAGACGCTGACGGGCTTCACGAGCCACGACCCCTCTTGGGCCAACCAAACAGGCCTCGGAACGCCCTGGCGCCAGGCTGAGGTTGATAATTCGATACGCGTCAAGAGCACATCAGCGACCCGGATGATGGGCGGGAAAAGGGCCTCTCATGTGCGGGGGAGAGCCAACGGACGGCCGCTCCTCCACACCCCAGAACCCAGACTCGCTCCGCAGTCGAATGGGAATCTGGCTCTGCAGGGCTAATGACAGCCGAATTGTCCGTCCGTCCTGGGAAAAAGCATCGCCCCGGGAGAAGCAGGCGAGTAGAGGAGGGGAGGGGAGGATGTGTGTCCCTTCTGATCTCGTCGGGTTCCGTATATAGAATGTGACTGCTGCCGCCGCCCTCTGCCGCGACCTGAAACTCTACAGTTGGCTTGCCATCCGCTCCGCCGTGTGCAAACGCAAACGCAAACCGCGCCAAACTCTATCACCCGCGACAGTGACTCGTTTTCAGTGCGAGTACTGTTCTGTTTGAGGCGCCGACGCCATAGCCCCTTCAGGCGAGAGGGTTTACTGTATTGTCGATCTGACATTGACACGGGAGGCGCTGGTCGCCAGCTCGCTCAACTTGACAGAGCCAAGCATCACGAGGCCGAGAAGCGACGCCATCATCACAGACTACTAGATCGGGCTGGTCTCACCATAGAGTCGGAGGCTACGGCATCGTCAACGCCTTGTCCAAACAGCCTGACGCCGTCCAAGAGACAATCATTGAGGGCGTGAAAGATGACAGTCACGCCAGCGCGCCTCTACCAGGAAGAGAACCACCCGGGCGCGCAACTCAACGAACAAACGAGTGCCAACGGATAGGAGGATCCACGGTTGCGAGCGCTTCCGATACATCACATTTAGCAGGCCATCTGCCCGAAATCCACGTTTCAGTTCTCGCCTCTGGTGGTTGGTTTTACACCGATCATCTCTATCGGCATACATACGATACGACAGTACCATTCGGGGGGCCCGTTTGACGGAAGGATCTGTTTCGAAGCCGTCGGGTCCCAGCAGTCCCAAACGGAAAAGAGGCACCGTTTCCGACATCATCTCCTGACGTCGTCTGTCTCCGTCTGGTCAACGGTCCATCTTCCCAAGAACGGGTAGGGCACGATCAGCTGCTGCTGAGCATCGACAAAAGGGCCAAAGTAACGCAAAGCAGGGGGCTTCTCATCTTGGATCAGCCAGACCGACCAGTGCCCAGTGTTGTTTCCCCTGCACGGTCAGCGCCCTAGTAGGGGATTCCTTCCGGAGGCAATCCGGACCAGGTCCGGGCTTCACAACCCAGTTACGCGGTGAGAGAAGGGTTCTAGAAGCACCATCTTTCGGCGAAGGCGGTGGATACGTCCAGGCACAGGACGCTCCCAGGCTCTGCAGCAGCAGCAATTGGGTGCCGCGGTTCCAGCGTCTTTCTTTAGCGGCGGTGGAACGCCTCAGCCACCCCTGTTTGCTTGAGGTGGGCTTGTGCTTGGCTTGGGTAGGGTACCGCACCGCACACGGAGGTAGCCCTGGCCTAACCCCCCATCCATCGGCCAGCTTGCGCCAAAGAGGATAGCCCAGAACCGTGACAATGTCGGAATGGAGCGGATTTATCTACGCCTCTGCCGCCCCTTTACCCACCTTCAGTCGACGGACGCAGGGTGAAAAGGAGTGGCAGCGCCCCGAGACTCCCCCACGATCCAATTCGGCCTCACAAGACCCCAACCGCAGTCGACGTCCGTTTCGACACACGAGGACGTCCAGCGGCAGCCAGGGTAGCCGCTCGTCGCACGAGTCGTCCCTGCTGCATTCCAGCAGCCCCGCCGTGGGGGAAGACGACACACATCACACTCGTCCTCAGTCCAAGGTGGTGTCATCTGACTCGCGTGTGTCTGCTCCTTCGACCTCGACCTTGAGCGCTTCCAACAAATCTCTCCTGAGCCTCGGGACCGGCAGCACAGCGTCGTCCATCTTCTTCAACCGTCCTCTGGTGGCAGCCGACAAGAACCGACAGCGCGACCGACAGATTCGCCATCGTCACCCCGAGACCCCTTCGTCTGCTTCTGTTGATCTGAAAAATGTCGCCATGTATTCCGAGCTGGAAGCCAGTAACAAGCCCATGTCGGGCGTCACTAAGCAGATAAACCTTTCCTTTCCTCGAACCGACTCTGTATCATCAGCCAGCGGCACCACGATACTGTCAACACACACCATGACCTCAACCGACCATGCCAACTCGACCGAGAACCCCGCAACAAAACCCTTTGTCGTCCGGAATGGACGCACTTACTTTAACGACCCCGGGGCAGCCTATCCTCTCCCCGCCGACCTGACCGAGCTCCATCGACAGTCCCTTCGAACTCTGCTCTTGATACAAGTTTATGGCGCGCCCGTGGTTACCCCGTCATTGAGGGTAAATCCGCCACAGCGCGTGTTGGACCTAGGATGTGGTACTGGGTTCTGGAGTATGATGTGCCACCGGTACTTTAAGGAGCGAGGCCACAGCGGGATCTCGTTCACAGGCGTCGACATCGCACCCCTAGCACCTGGGAGTGCTGGGTCACCAGCCGAGCTCTGCAAGCCTGACAAGGATATGAATTGGCGGTTCGTCCAGCACGATCTTCGTCAGTTCCCCTGGCCTTTCGCAGAGGAGGAATTTGACCTCATCATGGTCAAAGACTCGTGCATGATGGTTCCAAGTCATGTCTACCAGCTTTTCATCGAGGAGTACCTACGCATGCTCAAGCCGGGCGGTGTGATTGAGATATGGGACAGCGACCCGACGTTCCGTATGCTTCGACCACATGTACCCAGCGCGGTACCCGGCTCCAATGAAGCAGAGGAGCATGAAGCAGCTCTAGACCTCGGCGCCTATCTGATGACACCAAAGACACCACTCTCAGCACCACTGAACGCATATCTAGTCGAGTACAATACCTGGATATCACGTGCTCTCGAAGCTCGGCAACTTTCGCCTGTACCTTGCTCCCTCATCAAGGCCTACCTTATGCAGGAAGCCGAGATTTTGACCGAGATCCGATCAAAGCGGTTAGCTATTCCCCTAAGCGAAGTCCGATGGGAGCGAGAGGGTGTCGGCGGTGTTGTAACCAAGGACGGTAAATCGTACGTGGAGATGAAGGCCAAGTCAACGCCTCACCAAAAGGTCGAGAAGAAGACCTTGACAGCAGGGCAAGCCGCGCTACGCAAGACTGCTCTTCTGACAGTTGCGCAGCTAGTGCAGGGGCTGGAACCGATTCTCCGAGAAGCGAGCGGTAAGAGCCAGGACGAGTGGGATGTCTGGCTCAGCAAGATGATGGCGGACCTTATGAGTGAAAGTGGGACAAGTTGGGGAGAATGCTTGGAGGTGGGAGCATGGACAGCGAAGAAGAGACTCGTTCCCGCTGGTTAAGTCACGGGGGCATCAACCAAAAGCAAAGAAAGTCACCCACGTGGGTGACGGCAGACGATCTGGCAATAGTTTCTATCTGATGCCAGGGCTGGAATGCTCCCGCGGTCACAACGTGGGGGCACATGTCTTATATCCCAATACGGCTTGGCTACTCGACTGCTCCGTCACCTCGTCTCTCTCTCAACTTCCTCACGCCTTTCGATACCATACCAGCATCTTCTACATACCCCCTTTACGCGTCGGCATCATACCGTTTTCTCAAAGTGCGATACCTTTTTAAATAGTACCTATACCCAGATGATTAGCAAAAACAGCAAGGACCAGGCTTGGAATTTTGGAAGGGGATGAGGGCGAGGTTGGAGAATGATGAGAATATGTTTTTTTCTTCTGGACATGGCTTTGCCTCGGGACAAACGAGGTTGCTTGGATATTTTCTTTTGCTTGTGTAAACAGCAACACACCGAGACGCTGATGCCGTACATACTCATGTCATCTTCGGCTTGCAGCTTTTTTTCCCATGTTTTTATGGAGGCTTTTTGATGAGGTGGTTTGGACGGATGGGTGGGAAAATGATATGAATTTGGGTAGTGTTTTCCGAATAGAGGGATGAATTGATGCTTGAACCAACATCTTGATGACCGAACATGAAGGGATGCCCCGTGAAGATAGTTGTTGGTGGTGAAGCGAGTGAGTCCGCTCCCACGTAGCACATTCAACAGTAAAGGAACAGCCTCACTTACAATGCCTCGATCTCTGCAACAAGTCAGTACGTGTGATCCACGAGTCTAGCTAGGTGATCTCACCCTTCTTGACATATTCAGCCTGCGCAATGCCCTGCCGGATCTTATCCTCGTCACGCTCAGCAGCCTTGGAGATGAAGGCCTTGTGCAGACGAGGACGAAAGTAGTCGAAGCCGAGGGGGTATTCTCGGCCAAGATATAGCAGCTCTACCGAGGCATCAGTATATCCCCTCTCGACGGAGAACGAGGCTCAGACCTTTGTAGATGGCAATGACTTGCCGGCGTAGCTCGGGGTTAAGACTCGCCATCTTGCTTCTGCATGATCCAACGCCGACAGGTTCAATAGCAACTACGTCAAGTATGAAGCCGAATGTATGATGCCGAGTCGACATCCTCCCCAGGTTGTGGCTCAACCACCCCCGCATCGCCACATCAGCCTCCACCCATGCAAGGCTACCCTCACGTTATTCCACCCCGCTACAGCTTCAGCCACAAACCAACCTTTCCAAACGAACCTCGCATCATCAAACCAACCCACAAAGATACTCCTCCCCCAATTGACCGTTCACCATGGTTCCGAAACCTCCGAGGCTGTTTGTGCAGCGCGCAACACCCGCAACAAGACATTTTCCGAACCTTAGGCGCATCCAGCCCGGCCTGCAAGCCCGACGAGGCGCTATCCCCAAGGACCCGAACGATGCGGACCGGAGGAGGAGCCTGCGCTCCATGTATCACGACATGGGCGTCTTGGTGTACTCGGGCGTCAGCACGGAAAAGGTCAACAAGATTGGAGACCTGCTGAAAGACGCCATCAACCCGGGTCTGTGGCTCACTACCGCCCCGGGGGGCAACACCGACGCCCCGTTTGACAAGTTCACCGTGTACCGGCTGCAGACGGAGGAGTGGCATATCGACCAGTCTTTCAGGCCCAAGGTTTGTTTGAAGTTGAACTAGTCTTCTTCTAGTTCAGATGCTGACTTATTTCTTCTTTTCCCCAGCGTGGATCCATCAATATCGAAGGACTGGTGGACTTGGCTCTCAAAGCGGTGCGGCAATGGACAGGTCACATCATGGAAAAGGCCAAGGACGTAGAGTCGTTGAAGGACTCTTTTACGCTTACAGAAGCAAGCTTGAGAATAACCGACGATTTTGCCAATCGTGGCGGTGTCCTCATTGTAAGTTATATAGCTCTTCCCTTGGAGTGGACGGATGGTAAACCAACAATGATGCAGTACACAGCCAACGGATCCCGACGTCTCCCCGTCGATGCATACGTCCTCGCGGCAGGAGGTAACAGGTTCTCACTCAAGGTGAACCTCGTCGCCGTCGGCACGAGGAAATTCCTCGGGACGGTACACATTAGTATTCTGCCATTCAGGACGAAAAATGGCCGGATCGGCGGCGGGACGACGTGGGAGACGCAGGTGCGAGACATATTCAACCTCGCCCCGAACGACTATTCCCCTAATCTTGCGCTACTACGAGAGACAACGGACAGCTTTTACGAGCTGGAGCGTGAGGTTTGGCACAATATCTACGTGAAGGAGGCTGAGGCCAAAGCAAGGGAGCAGGTCGCCGCCAAAGCCAAAGAGGATGCAGAGGCCAAGGCCAAGATAGAGGAAGAGGCCAGGGCCCGAGTGGAGGGAGAAGCCGAGTCTCAATCTAAAACGCCAGAAGAGATTGATTCTCAGCCAGAGCAAGACAGTGCTGAGCCTTCCACCAAAAGTTGAGGACATGAGCGTTGAGTTCGGGGGGGATACTGTACAATGACAGCATATCACTGCTTGATAGAGCAAGCCAGCGGAGACAAGATGACATCAAAGAAATGGGGTCATCTAGAGACGTCAGTTGCTAAAAGCTCGATACGATCTCCGTATCTCACCGTGCTCACCTTGACAAGCCCTGCTCACCTTGACAATACCCCATGTCCGGGATTTCATTCATCCATAGACAGCCCTTGTCTCGCAAGCACGCGACACCCGGAAGACCCGCGAAGATAAAACGGCGCGGAAAAGGGGAAAAAAGCAAGTACAAAACGGTGTGGCTAAACGCTTCGCAGCACCAAGTTATCGTGTAACGGGCGCGGCAACCTCCCAACACACCGTCCTTGTTTCCCATCGGCGTGGTCGGGGTTGATTGGTGCCGAGTTGTCGTCACGCGCAGCAAAGAGATGCGACGTGTGCAGGAGGATGGTGGGAGGCACTTGAAGGGGAGCATCCCACGAAAATAGCATGATGCTAGGTATCCCCAAGTGTTGCGATCCAATCGTCATGGTGTTGTGGTTGTTTCAAGCCTGTAGGATGGGACGGGATGTTTCAAGCAACCTCCGGTTTACCTATTATGGAAGTAGGTCAAGAGACACTCCATCGCGATAACGCAAGACGATCCGGAGAGGATTTGCATCCATTGTCAATCAAGTCCCATATCAGGAAGCATCCAACGTCAGCTCCCCAGAGAAAACCACGCATCGGGATCGTTACCGGGCGCTTCTGCAGAGACAACCTGACAAGCCATGGATGTCTCTGACAGACACCAGAGCCTCCCAGCTAAAAACGCCAGCCTGGAGTGGCGCCCTTCATGCAGCACGGCGCATCCCGCGTGCGGCCAGAGCTACTGTACAGCGATCCCCGCCCTCGAAAAGGGTCCAGACCAGGGAGCTGGTGGTGCTTGTCGCTTCGACTGCCGTTGGGGGCTTCAGGGTTCGGCTCCGGACTGTGACCGTGGAGAAGCTCGAGACGATCAGCGAGGCAAACGACATTAGAGTCAGGCCACCGCCGCCAGAGACTGCCGCCGTAGGCAAGTAAATCACTGCCTAGAGGAGACCGTCACGGTAACCCAGCAGCAACCGGATAACCCCTCACCGTCATTTGACCATGACCACCCCGCGGGCTCTGCTCTTGCACACGGCTTGTTGCTAGCATCACCGCAGTGCGTGATGGAGGATGTTGTGCAGGGACGGCGTGATAAGGCGGACCAAAGAAAATCAAGACAAGTGCCGGCGCCGGCGGCATCAAAGGGACCAAGGCCAAAGCCAAGATGCGGGCGTAGTGTTGCGATTTGCTAGAGCCACCATGATCGTCGTCCTCCTTGCAAGTATCGGCCAACTCATCCCTGTATTGTTGAAGCGAGACCCGAGCATGTGAGTTGGAAATCCAAGGCGAGCTGAATCTATCTACCGAGAATCGAGGACAAATTACCGAGAAGCACGATCGTGCATTCTCGTTATGGGATAGTCCTCACTTGGCCAAGGAAAAAGGCCTCGGAAAATAACAGAGACCAAGGCCAAGGTGAAAGCGGCGGTCTGACACGACAGACATGGCTCCAGGGCTGGTCCTTGCCATAGCGCACATGCCAGGCCCTGAGTGGATGGGATCTGTCGTGTGGAGAGGGCACAAGCATGGATGAGCATGGCCTTGCACCCTGACCGTTTATGCCGTGGCAGCAGATCTGGTTCACGGCGAGATACTCCATTCGCAGAGCGGGACGATCGGCGCGTCTATTGTCGGTCGTGACTGAGTAATGAGGGGGTTTTGTTGGTGTTGTTGCGGCCAGTGGCCGGCATCATTTACCAGGGGTGGGGACTTGAAGAGACTTGTGCGTTCTAGCAGGGGTCTTGTGAGTGCGACATGCTGCAACTGAGTAGTATTCTGGATAAAGACAACAGGCGAAAGTTCCTAAAGAGTAAGTACAGCGTAGGATTGGACAAGAAGGCCTGCGATGCTGGTCACAATCGGCGATGGCCCAAGTTAAGCCAAGGATCGTTCGTGATAATGTTGGTCAAAAGCGGGACGAGAGATTGAAGGATGCGAGAGACCGGGTTTTAAACGAGGAGACTGAAAGAGTTGAAGAGGATCTGAAGCAATTGAGATCTGATATCTCAGAGTTACACAGACTGTGACTGTGTGACGGCCAACTTACCTGACACAACATCAACCAACCCACGTTGTTCGTTCAAAATCAGCCACCACGCTTTCTGCATGGCATGGGCGTTTCGACACGACTCAAGCCAAAGGACTTTCATCGTCCGTGTCCGTACCGTACGAAGCCAGGTATTGATGATCCTGGAAACATGGTTCAATAACCCTTGCTGCCATGCCCATGGCCGGCCCATTTCCCCTTGATCGACCCAGGCCCTTTCCCCCAATCGGCAGTCCGTGGCGTAAACGACGTCAGTAGCAAAACACAGGCCTTGGAGGGAAAAATGACCAAGAGGTGGTATCGGCCGTCTTCCCAAGTTTCACCTTGATCCGGCCGAGCTGAGGGGCGACCGCCAAAAGCTTAACATCTGGGGCGCTACTCGGCGATTCGTCCAAAGCTAGCCAGCAATGTGGCCACCGGAGGCTGCCGAGGTGAGGGCTTCGCTCCAGGGCCAGGCAGGTATGTAACCAGGTGAGAGTACTCCGTAAAGAAGACAGGTACCGCGCCGTACCATCTGATGAGGCTGGATGTTGTCTGTTTTTGCGGAGGGAGCTGAGACGAGACCGGGAGTCCCGGGGTGAACCCTGGCCAAGCCCGTGACAGAGAGTGCAAGCGATGGCGTGCGCACGCACGCACACACACGTTGCGTTGTGTTTGTCTTATGAAAGGCAGAAGCCATCTTATGAGAAGATCCGGATACGCGGATGCAGGCAAAGGGAGTCAGGTCAGTCATGCCGTACCGTTGTCGTGGTATTGATGGTCATCTTGAGACACGAGGCCAAGTCGCAATAATAATCGATTGTCTCCTCACGTCATGAATAGACCAAGACGCGATGATGCGCCAATCAACGTGGTTTGTTTATGAAGGAGTGAGACTGTCAACTTTGTTGTCTGTCTGTCAATCAATCAAAGCTTTGGTCTTGTGACGGATGTGGATGGAGTACCTCGTGCCTGCCAATTGTTTCGCGCCTTCTTTCCTTTACCAAAAGCAGGGCTCGCACAGTATCCAAGACGGTGCGATTGATTGTGGAGAGGACTCCAAGCCCTCCTCCAACTTGATTTTGCAGGCAAAACAAAACGCCGTCGCGGAGTTCGAGAGCCAGCCTCGGTATTTGAACAGTGGTGTTTCTACATTGATGGTCCTTATCATATGCCATGGATGGACGAATGGATGCATTGAGAGATGAGCTCCCCGTGTCATGAGTTGATTAGGGCTGGTCGATTGGTCGATCGTGGACACAGTCAGCGCAGAGCAGCGCCTCGTCTCATCCGACCCAACCTTGTTCCTGGGTACCTGATCCGTTGGCATTTGATCAAGGAAGCACCGGGAAGTTTATGGATCTGCTCTTGAATCTTCTCTGTTGGAAGACAAGACCAACGTTTAACCGCTCGCAAGAGAAAGAAACGCGGCGCAGCAAAACTTGACACGCTCCTCGCTGACCCGACGGCCCAGGGCCAATTATCGACTCACTGACACGAATCGGTACCCACCGATACCTGCAACGCTCGTACTTCCCCACCTATTGACACGCCTTTAGCGCTCACCTCAGGTAGACCCAGGTCCCCCTCAATTCCGCCCTCCATCCTGACATGGACCCCTCGCGGCTCGTGATAATGTGGTTCTGAACGCAGCTGGCCTCGAGCCCTGGACCTAACCTGTTCAGCCACTAAATCTACAGTGGGCTCAGTGGACCATGGCCCTATGGCAGCCCCCCGTGGCACAGTGCGAATCCGCATCCCAGCACCCCGCCCACTGCTCGCTCGCTATTCCCGTTCCCGTCCATCCATCCTTTTGCATTCGGTCGCTCCATTCCTTTCCATTTCTCTTACTTCCACAAGCACGAGCCTGGCCTCGACAGCCAAAAATCTCCCACCTCCACCAACTTCAACTCTTATCCACATCAGCAACAACCTCGCACAGTTTGTAGCGTCTCGTAAATCAGGCAGAACTACACGACACATTCGCTCCCTTCCCTGAGGCCCTCCGGCCGATACTAGCCACATTTTTCGCTTCTCAAGCCGACGAGAAGTCCCCCTCCTTGCCGGTCCTTATCGTTTTCACGTCAGGTCCCTCGACCGTTGTTTTTGCTGTGATCCGTCTGGACGCCCACCGATTCGAATGCATATGTCGACCCCGAACTCTATTGTCGCAACGACTTTCCTACATTTCCTACCGACTTCGACTCCGATATCAGATTCTCTGCCCCTCGGTTCGTACTCGTACTAGGTGGCCGACAAAATCAGTCTGGGCTTGCAACTAGCCAAATCCCTCGACCTTTCAAGCCCTTCATCTCGAAAGGCTTGCCCCGGCTGCTGGCCCTGGTCCGAAGAGGTGCTTGGGTCCGTCAGACTGTGGCAAGAGGTCAAAGTCGTTGCGCATGCCTCGCGCTCCAGGTTCGGGCAAGCGACAGCAAGGCGCCGCCAGTCACCGCGACACTCGTCATGAGAATGGCCTTGTAGGCCCGGCCAAGCGATCTTCAGACAAGAAGGGCTCAGGGCAGCTCGACAGCTCTGCTCGCCGATCCGACCAAGGCGTCGCCGGCGCTGCAGGGCAGTCGACGCCAGCCAACGGCCTTACCAACGGTTCCTTCAAGCACTGCGTTTATGATGCCTCCAACGATTCTCGCGCCAACGACGATCCCCGCCGCTCCTCACTCGGCGCCGTATCCGAAATGTCTACCGATTCGTCCAACTCCGGCGGCGCCAATGGTGTCGTCGACGCCGGCCACCGTCAGATCGATGTCAATGCCATGAAGAACGCCGACGTTCACCGCGACTCGGGTCCATTCGATCTTGCCACCACCGTCCTCAAGACTCTGCCCATGCAGGATACGCTCGCGATTCTCATCATCCTCATGCACGTCCCGTCGCTCTCACTCACGGTCATCTACACCATCTTCACGTTCCTCACCTTTGTCCCTCCCGTCACGACCAGCTCGGGCATGAACATCAACCTCGCCGAGATCTTTGACGGAAACTCTACTATGCCGTCCTTGGTCACTGTTTTGTGTATGGATTTCTTCTTCCTTCTGATATGGCTTTTCCTGTGGGGTCCAATCCAGGATGCAATTCTAGATTTCGCCAAACCAGTCATTGCCATCACTCTAGGAGGAGGGACTAGCACGAGGGACGGAACTTCAAGAGGACTCACCACATGCTTCATGTGGGTCGTTGGCCATCATCTACTCCGGGGTACTAAAGCTCACTGGGGTCGCGTGGCTCGCCACATTCCGGAGCATTGGCGAATCCCTCATGTTTTCAACAGCTCTCTCAACCCCACCTCGAGCGTGTACGATAAGAGGAGTGCATACGGGTGGGTGAGGAGCGTTTTGGCTATTCACATCTTGACACAGGGCATCGTACGATATGTTCGAGAATGGTATCTGAGGCGCGAAAAGGCCAATGCCTCTGTCGGAGCCAACGATCCCGAGGCCGGAAAGCCACCCAGTGTGGTAGGTGACACGGCCAACGAGGGAGGATTCGCGACGCCCGATACAGAGACAGGGCTGCAATCAGCGCCTCCTGTGTCAACAAGCAAAAAAAGAAGAAAGCAAAGCACTCAAGTTCGCCTACAGCAACCGCTGTGGGCAGCACTAGCGAGCACAAAGATTGTTGTAGTGAAGGAATATGAGTTGTCTCATGCGGCCTCAGAGTCGGCTGGGACCAACGCAACTGACATTCACAACCTTGGAAACGCTCCTTTCAACAACCAACCCAGCCAAATATGGATATCCTACATCGGAAGCGATGAAGTATGTTTTAGCACCAGCCATTTCCCCGAAATCGATGACGACGCACCGCGATCCGTCGAGTCTTCAGGCGAGGACTCGCGACCTTCCAATATCGACACTTCGAAGCCTTTCTACGTCCGGGTTAACAACGCTGTGTGGCAGCCTACGCGCATGTTTCCTATCGAGGAATCCCCGGAGGATTCACAAGAGGGTGTGCGTTGGACAGGTGATATCTACGGACTCCGACCTGCTTCCAAGTACGAGTGCGAGTTTCTCGACAGCCAGACGGACAAGGTTCTTTTCTCCACCAGCATCAGGACCATCCAGGCTACTCAGCGAGAGGCGGACGGTGTCCCCCCTCCTGTGGCCAATGGACAGCGTTCTCTTCGACCGGATTCTCCCGCCACGACTCTCAGGACTTCGCTTGCTGCGGTTGAGCTGAAGTTTAACGAGGAAAAGTCACGCCTCAAGACTCTTCGAAAGGAGTTTAAGAACCGGGCCAGCAGTCTCAGAAAGGACAATGAGCTTTTGGATAACCAACTTGCGTCTGCCGGAAACCACGACGAAAAATTCAGACAAAAGATTCGCCAACAGGAACTTGGAAAAGCGCAAGCCGAGCGGGAGACCAAGGAGATTACTGAACAGCTCAAAAACTTTGACCACTCGCCTGACCTCCTCGAGCATAAGAAGAGAGTCGAGAGACAATACAGCAGTGAGAAGAAGGTTTTCGATACAGCTCAGAAGGCGTTCAAGGAACACAAGGTCGGGTTGGAGAAAGAGATCAAGGCCAAGGAGGTTGAAAAGTCCAACCTCAACACTCGCCGAAACAAGGTCGCCACGCGCATTGCCAAGGTTGAGAATGAGCTTGCCAACATCACCGATGCTAACAACCGTGGTCTTGACGAAGCCGAACGACGCAACCAGGAACGTAATGTCTGGCAGGATCATGTAGCCGGCATCGAAGCGAACTACAATGAGCGACTTGCCCAAGTCCGTGCTGACAACGCGGCTCGGGCTGAGCACATCAGGAACGCCCAGATGCAGCTGCAGAGCTTCCACGAGTTCATCAACTCGGCCAACGGCATGGCGTATGAGATGGCTGATGCAGGCCACCCGCACCTTGGTCCTCCTTTTCAGCCCACCACGACGAGTACTTGGAATCCTGATCCCACAGCTCCTCCGCATTACCCGACTGGTCTCTGGCAAGGTTCCGGCGATGTCCTTCCTTCAGTTTCTGCTCCTGCACTCCCTTCCATGTCGCTTTGGCAGCCCCCGCCGACTGCATCTTCTTTTGAGCCACGAGTGACCCGATCTAGAGGACGCAGCTCCAGCATGCTGAGTAACGTCAGCGGCTTCACTCAGTCGAGCGATGAGGAGTATGCGTCGCCACCCATGGAGTCTCATCGAGTCAGACACATCTGGGCGAGTCGTACCAGGGCCAGCGGAAGCGGTGGCGGTAGCACCGGCAGCAGCGGTGATCCGACAAGCCCTTGAGTGTCTGCACAGTTGTGTGAGCGATTCGTTTGGACTTGATGGAGATCTGCAACTGGTGGAAGCGGCTGTTTGGTTTGATTCGAGGTAGCTTGGCTGTGAATAGCTCTTGCAGGTGAATAAAAGTAGTGCCTTTGTTATATGTTTTCCCAACCAGCTTGAGGCGGTGTACCGTGACCGCTTCCCTTTGTTCTATGTGATGTTTGTTGAGCCGCGATTGGACAGATGCCGTGGTCTTGGCAGAGGTGAATGGGGTGGACCCTTGAAGCTAACCCAGCCTGGATTTGACGACATATCACAACGACAAGGTATCCTTTACGCTTTTGCTCTAGGCAATGATATCTTGACAAGGTTCAGGATGTGTGGGCGCGAGGAGCCCTTCTCGGTGTGTCTTTGACGTCTTCCAGACAGGCTTGCTATACAGCGTGGAATTCATGGCGATGCCCAAGACAGACCGCCAAGTGGCCAACCTGAGTAAATGAACGTCAAGAGTGAAGTTGGTTTGGTCAAGTGACGGCTGGCATCACATTGGCTGGATACCTATCCCACTGGCAAAGCAACCTATGATGGCCATGGCGCTTAAATCCCGACAAGTGTCGAGATCTTCACGGAGTGCTGACCCGTGCCAGCTGTATCTTTTGCTATTGTCGCTGATGGTCTCTCGCAGACTCGTCATTAAAAACAATACTTAACCGACCCGTGCTACCTCAGCCCAGTTTCCTATTCATCTCTCTGTGTTTTCTCCCGAGGGAAGAAACCATTGGCACCCCCCGCCCCCGTCTTACTAGAAAAGAAAACACCGCGAGGGTCCCTCTAGATATAAAATCGTTGCTTTTCCATCGACATCTCTGGAGATTGAAGAGTAATTCGACCTCATAGTATACCCAGAGGGTAGATCAAGGCAACCCAGTCAAATAGATACAGTTTTACACAGTCAAGCCATCATGACATCTCTGGAGATTGCTGATGGCATCACAAAGTTTCGAAACAGCTAGCTCGATTTGGTTCGCCGACACCAGGAGCATAAGAATATTCCCGGGCGCTTTTGTCTCATACATGTGCTTCACAACACGTAAAGCGAGCTCAGCATAGTCTGGAGTAGGCGCTTGGAGATGTTGGATCTGGACTGGGAAAGCTCTTCCCTTGATCTCTACGATATCAGAGACAACATCTCTGGCAAGTCATCATTCTCGCTCTGGCCTGTCACGTCTTTATTTCCATTGGATTCCATTAATTATTTGACATCAAAAATAATATCCATCTCTACATGGCTCCTAACGATAGGTATATCTCCGAACATGGATTGAGTGAATTGGGCGGTAATCGCTGTCACATTCGCACTTGCTCAATAATCTCATTGTCCCTAATGGTCTTAATCCCTGGCTTCAGCCTTTATTATTCTTTGTTTATGATTGTAGGTTATCCATAGTCGGCTTGGTAGAATCCTTTGTGTCACAGCCGCTGTGTCTGGCCTGGCGGGGGACAAAATACACGAGACTGAAATGGCTATGCCCTCACCTCTCTGACTCGTGTTTTATGTCCCCCTCTGGCTGGCTTCACTTGTCAGTCGCGCCACCTGGCACAGCTACAGCCATCATCTCGAAGTCGGTCACTGGAAAGGACAGGGGACAAAGATGTTATCGTCATGAAATGATCAACAGTTTCGATCGCTCAATTGTTCTACTTTTGGTGTGCCATTTGATCAGGGTCACCTGGCACAGCTACAGCCATCATCTCGAAGTCGGTCATTGGAAAGGACAGGGGACAAAGATTATCGTCGTGAAATGATCAACAGTTTCGATCGCTCAATTGTTCTACTTTGGTGTGCCATTTGATCAGGGTATCATCACCATCCATCATTATTACAAGGCCACATCCAATCCTCCGAGTCCCTCAAACAGTCATCTTTCCCATCGCCACGGTGTTCAGGTGGGCCACGATAGCCGTCACCCTCTCGTCGAGTCGGGCCAAACTGGCCTCGATCCCATCGAGTTGGGCCAGTCTGGCCTCAATCCCATCGAGTCTGGCCTCGATCGCAGTCAGTCTGGAGGTAGTGCTGTTCTACAGCCTCTCCTCCCTTTCGTCCCGGGCCAGAATCTGTGGGTAGGCAAAACAGTCAGCTTGGTCGTGATTCAAGACTTGGGAGTAAGGTGACTTACCAGCTCAGCCAGCGTCGTGATCCTGTTGTTCTGGCGTGCGATTTGCTCATTGACATGGCGTTCATGTCTCAGCATGATGTTGTTGACGTTGTCGTTGTCGGCCTCGATGCGAGAGAACTCTTGGTCGCAGACGGAGATCTGTTCGCCAATCTCCTTGATCTTTTCGTCATATTCCTTGAGAACCTTGCGGTGCTTCCGTTCGATCTCCTCGAGTCGCGTGTTCGTGTCGTCGTCGTTCTCGTCGGAGGCAGCCGTGGCGAGGTCGGTAGTGGTCGTGGCGAGTTCGGTAGAGGTTGTCTGTTCACATCCGGTCAGCCAAGAGTGCAATGAGCTGAGTATGTCTGCACCTCGTTATGCACTTTGGATCCTGTTTGGACAAGCACTTCTGAACCTCGCCTTCCAGCCCCAGAACACACCAAGTGACATCTGGACGCCCTCCACAAGAGCCATGACGGCGCGCAACTAGGCAAATGTGGAGCGTACTCTCGGGGTAAGCTGGTATGAAGCCACGATTCCCAAAGCCAAGTATTCAAGACTGAGCTTGAAGACACCCATTCGTTGCCTGGGGCGTAAGACTGAAGAGCCGAGTCTCCCCTGGATAAGATACAGCTCTCCAGGCAAGGTGTCTTGGGAAGGCTTTGAGAATCTAGAAGCGACCCGATCTGCGAGTCCAAGCTGGGCTTGGAGATGTTCATGTGGGCTTTGCCCGAACATCTGGATCGCAGGTCAGGACTCAGCTTCCGATGGCAGCATCAGATGATGCCGTCACCTGTCGCCGAGCTGAGGGGCTTTGTGCTTCTGGCTCATGTGCAAGGAAGAAACGCGTCCTTGAGGAGTGCAAGCGAGGGTGGATGAGAAAAGAAAAGCAGACATACCTGATGAGGAGGGGAGGTAGGAGTCGACATTTCGACGTCATTCTGTACAAGTCTGATCAGCAAAGTCCAAGCCATGGAGACCAGGGCGGATGACTTACAACCTCAGGGGTGGATGTGCGGCCGGCATCGCGTTGAGCCCGGGTGCGCATCTGAGCAAAGATACGACGCTCCTCGCTGTTCAGATTGTCCATGTTGGGCATGTTGAGCTGGTTGATGTTGGACATGGTGAATGGTGTGGGTGAATCGGATGTGCGAAGAGTTGAAGATGGGTTGGGCGAATGCAAGGCAAGGTCGAAGGTAGAGAAGAGAAAGTAAGAAGAGAAAGGCTGTTGTCCTTGCCAGGTGTGATGAAGTAGGAAGAAAGAAGAGATGGTGAGGGGGGGGGAGAGGGGTAAATATAGGCAGCCAGCTGGGCGGTGGGAGGAGGGCTGATTGCGCGGTGATTCTGCCGGCGTGTGCCCTATTTTTCCTGATTCGGTTGACTGATTTTCTGATTTCCTATTGTTCTCTATTGTTCAGGCAGAAAAATGGCTGAAAGTGGATCTTTTTCTCTCCGCGACGCGTGTTGACCGCGAGGGGCGGCAGAAAGTGAGGTTGAAGTGAGGAGGTGGTGATGCCGGCTGGCCAGCACTGCCAGCACTGCCAGCGGAGGTTGACCCCCACACAGCGCAAAAAGTAACAAGCCGTGCTTCCCTTGGGTGATTTATACCTTTCTTCATCTTCATACTCCAGACTAAATCATTTTGGCCTGGCTTTGAAGATATCATTCTTCAGTTCCCCTTTACCCCTGAATCAGTACCGGAACACGAACATCCAACCAGACACCACCATGTCACGAGCTCGGAAAACGAAAAACCCCAAGCGGCGCAGAAGAAAGCGCAAAAAACGTCTTCTCCGAGAATACTGCGCTCGTATCGACCAGCAGGCTGCCCAGACCGGTGGCGCTGAGCAAGATGGCGCGGAACCATCCACCACTGCTCTGCCCTCGGACAAAGACGCACCCGGCCCAAAGACCGCATCGACAGCCGATCAGAAGACGTCTTCCTCGGAGTCTAAGCAGCGGTTCAAGCCCCGCAAAGTCCCCGTGAGTTTTTCTTTGCTTCCCTTTATGCCTGTTCATCCCCTAATCCCCTCTGACAGGACCGCGACTACTATCCTCGCCCTGGCAAGATGGAGCGCCAGTATCTGGGCTTCCAGCGCCGCGTCACAGCCCTCATTGATGAGAAGATTGCGAAGGGGTCCGCTACCCTCGACAAGTGGAAGCGGGATGCCGGTGCCTTCATGGAAGAGTTCCAGCGCAAGGAGAAGATACAGCGGGAAGAATTGGAACTTGACCTGGGCCGCATGCGAGTAAACCACAGAGAGATGCTTGACATGCAGGCAAGACAGATCGGCCGTCTGAAGAAGAAGTTTGAGGAGATCAATGGATAGGTATGCGCTAAGTGCGCTACGTTACGCAACTGAGGCAATGGCACGGGATGATCTCGTCGGTGTCGACAGGGCACGCCGGTAAATGGTTCTTTGCTATGAGGAAAGGATTTCGAATGGCCGATTAGCGGCGGGTTACTTGGCACAGCTTCAGTTGAAAAATGTACCTTCTATGCGATAGTGAGTGTGCTTCTGTGATTTGCTATTTCGCATGATGTCGCATGAAGTTGAATCAAGAGCCTCAAACATCAGTGTGGAGCCCTTGGCATTATTGTAACACTTGATCGTACAACTCAACACACGTCCACTACATAGAAAGGAGAAAAGGAGAAATTGAAGGAGAAGAATAAAGAACTGAGATAATAATATCAATAAAAAACACCATAATTAAACACCCAATGCATCCCCAATCCCCCATCTTGTTCAAACAGACCGACCTCAAAGAACCCAGCAAAGCTAACTACCCTGGACCTCAGCATCAGCCACACTTTTCAGCCACAGCCACACTCTCCAGGGACATGCCTCCTGAGACTGGACAGCGACGCCAGCTCTCAACACGACAACTTACAAGTATCCCCCGCGGCGGAATGCGGTCAAGGTCACGTATTTTCTCACCATAGTCGCCTGGAGATGACTCCAAAAGCGCCATGGATTTTGTGAGTCTCCCGTAGACGTGCTTCACCCGCAGATCTGGGGTCCCCCTCCCCTACCTAGGTAGCTAACTGTCCCTCGTCATGATAGTGGTCGCGCCTGTTGAGCCCCCTCTCCTCCGGGACCTCCCGCAAGGATCAGGCAAAGGATCCCGCGAAGCGTCTTCACCGGTTCGAGAAGGAATACGGCCATTTACTTGTGAGACTCGGCCAACATGCCCTCATGCCACCTTTGCTGACCGACCCAGTCGACTTGGAGGACCTCGTCCAACCTGTCCCGAGATAGCGACGCTGCCGAGACACTCGAGATCCGCCTCCAAGAGCTCACCAACATCCTAAGCGACGAGAGCCGCCGACCTCTTCCACATCCATGCATCCAGTACTGCTCGCTCAAGCAGATCTACATCCCCATCGGCAAGATCGCCACGACTTCGTACAATGAGTGGATCATCAAGGAAGCTGTCCTCTTCTTTGCGACTCTGATTGAGAGCGAAGAGGAAGCTTTCGTCGAGAACCAGACCTTTGCCGCCAGCTTGACCAACCTCCTCGTCCGCATCACCGGCGTTAATAGTGTGCGCCTCGGCCTGGATACCGAGTCGCGCGTTGTCGAGCTTGCATTCAACATCACCACCAAGATCCGGCTGGACCCGAGTATCTTGCCAGCATGGTTCAAGACGCACCGCGGCGTGGCGCTCCAGCAGAGGGAGAAGGACGACGATACTCGCGAGGCGTTTGTTGGGCGGACGCAACGAGCCGACTTTCCTCTGTTTTACATTCTCATGGATTATATCCATCATGAGGGCAAGGTGGGCGACTTTGCACGGACGGGCTTGCTCTACATCATCGAGGCGGCGTCGAGCTCTGGACCGTTGGAGCAGTGGATTGTCGAGAGCGATCTGTCGACCTTGATGGCCACTGGTCTCGGTGCTCTGTACAGCCAGCTGAGCCGCAAGTTGGTGATCGACCATCTCCCTCATGACCTACCTCCTATTCTTGCCTTCTCCGACTACGAACATCCTACTTCTAATTATGAGATTATCAGCTCGTGCTCCCCCGAGTTTCAGTCCCACCTTGAGGTTTTCCTATCGCATCTTTTGTTTTGGCAGGATGTCTTGAACCACTGTCGGTCGGTGGAGGTCAAGTCGACTCTGCTGGAACACTTTCAAGTTATTTTTCTACAACAGCTATTGTGAGTGTGTCCTACACATGCTGTTGATTCCTACTAACAGCTTAGATACCCCTCACTGCTCGAATCCTCTGATATTGATGGAGGCTCGTCAGTGGCTGTATTGACTTATCTACGACGCATCCTCGAATCCCTTGATCACCCTGATATGATTAACCTTATTCTTCACTACCTTCTGGCCCTGCCCGACTCTGTATCCTCTGGGCGACCAGGCTCGAGCTCCTCAGTTAGCAAGGCACGAAAGCGCAAGTCGATGGATCTTGCTACCATGCTGGCCGAGAAGTCTGACATTACGGCCACTCCTTTACTGTTCAACCTCGTGGATCTCATTCTTGCGTGTTTGAGGTCGCAAAACCAGCAGACAATTCACGTCACTCTACAGCTGGTGTCGGCTATTCTCAAGCGACACCACAGATATGCTGTCATTACTCTCCTCAAAACCGAGATCCTCCCTCTCCAGAATACGGTTCGAACAGTTGGAGCGCAAGAACAAGAGGTCGAATATATCATGTCATTGGCTGCAACAATAGGAGGAGATGACAACTTTGACGAGGTGTACGAGGCTGTTCTGAGGGATACAATGTCCAAGCTTGAAAGCCACCCATGCTCACTCAAGCTTGTTGCGCCAAGGGTGTCGACAACCAACCAGCGACTCCCTGACAGCCTCCCTGGAGCTCCCAGGGACGTTGGAGAACATACTCTCCGACCTGACGATCCTCTCCTCAATGCGCTACTGGATCTTCTCGAGAACTTCTTTGTTAACCCAGTGGAGACCAATCTCTCTGTGACGGAAACACTTGTCAACCTAGCCATCTGCGGTTTTATGAAGATTGAAGGATGGCTGGCGCGTAACCCAACTACGTACAAGTATGATGAGGATGAAAAGAAGCAACGCAAGCATGAAGATGATGAGACAGTGGACACCGAGATGGACGAAGACCTTGAAGAGCTACCGACGTCTCCTGAGCAGGAGCAACTCAAGGCCATGGAAAAGTGCCGACAACGGCCGCAATGGTCACAAGCTTCTCTGCCGCGAGTGTTCAACGTCCTCAAGCTATTGGAGGAGCAGGTTTTATCATACAAGCAGACCATACCTCGCTTTGAAGAATTGGTACAGCAACGGCGTGATGCCTTTAAGACAGCAGATCAGATGCTGCACAGCTCAGGCCCTACTCCAAAGCCCACTCCCGCACAGCAGGACACGCCCGATCGACGGAGCCTCGAGGAAGCCTCTCGCAATGGATCTCCATCTCGACCTTCGGCGCTAGAGGGTCTAGCCCACCGTCTACTTTCAGAATTGGGAACGCCTAGCCGCCCCAACAGTCCTCGAGGACGCAAAGAGCTATCTCGAAGCTCTGGAAGCGGTAGCGGGACACATGGCAAGTCAGGCTTGGCTCCCTCGAAGGAGCTCTCGCACAGCAGAGGACGAGGCACGCCGGGGCGTAGTCGGTCTCCAAACAAGGGACGGGATCACACCGACCCAACCCAGAAGGCCAAGGAGGAGGCGCTTGCCCGACAGATGGCAGAGTTTGCGGCGATGGATCAGACCATTCTTGCTAAGAGGGTTGGTTTACCAGAACCTAAAATCGACCCCATTCCTCTTACGTTTGATAAGAAGCCAATGCCCGAGCCGGTTGAGACAGCAGAGGCGGAGGAATTTGAAGATGCTAATCCAGCGTCCCCTGCTGCTGAGAACAAGGACGAAACAAAGACGGAGGGTGATGAGATTGGGGCTGTCGAAGCCGTTTCCCCTGAACAGGAGGACTCTAAACCCGAGGCTGGAGAGACTGCGAAGGTTGAAGAGGCTGACAAAGTCGAAGAGGTCGCTCAAACCGAGGATAAGGAGGTTGCCAAGACTACTGAAGCTGATGCCCCTGAAGTGGATGCCCTTGAAGCTGAAGCTCCAACTGATGCTCTAGCTGAGACTCTAAAGGCCCTAGAGGCTGAGGCTCCCGATGCTGTCGCCTCCAAAGAAGAGAACATCCCAGAGATTATCGAACCCCCAACCCCTGAGGCCAAGACGGAGAAGGAGCCTCCAGTCACAGTGTCGGTCTCTCACATCGTCACCAACGTCATCATCCTACAATCCTTCCTGTTCGAACTGGCGAGTCTTGTCCAAGTCAGGGCGGGTCTATTCGACGAGGTGCGGTTCGTGTAGCACTGCGTCGCGAGGGTAGAAGTGGTCAACCGTTCCTCGAAACAAGATCGAAGAAGTATTCTTACGATTGATGAGTATCTGTTAGTAGACGGCGTGGGGGGTGCTTTTTGCTTTGTAGACTAGGCGCGAATGGGTGGATAAGTGATTGAATTACTGAAGCCGAGGCCATGTTCTCGGGTCTGGTTGAACGTAACATTTCAGGTCTACGAAAGTGTGACTTGATCTTGTGCTTGTGATTCGTGTATTCGTGATATGCTTGTAACTCAATGCCCGCTTATGCTATAAATCATGCCATCATCATCGTTAACTTGATGGATTCGTCTCATCCCATTCAATCCATCTCCTTATGACTCCATCTACTGCCCTGATGCCCTCTCTCGTCGCCTCCACTTCGAACCACTCTCTGTGCTCCCTCCCGCACGCTTCACACTTGCCGCCGTTTGCTTTGAGCCCCATACCCGCAAGCTCAATGTGCACTAGTCGCTCAACACGGTGCACGTGGGTCGTCATATGTGGTACAACACCCGATGACTCCTGCGACCCGGGAATGTAAGGGTAGTACCGTAGCATCTCCACCTCATGGCCACACTGCCGCTGCCATTGATTTAGACGGCGCTGGACGTTGGAGGCGCGGCCAATCTTGAGGAGCATGGTGGAGCGGGCGGTTGATGGGTCCGTGGCCGCGAATGAGGAGACCACATCGCTGGGACGGCGGGATCGTGAAGGACGGGATGGCGACGGAGGGGCGAGGAGTGAGCGGGCGGCGTCGACGGGTGCAGAGGTTGAATCGGAGGTTGGCGTGAGCCAGAACATGTAGATGAAGCCTGGTTCTTCTGAATCTACAAATGGCCGTGCCAGCTCTGTCAAGAGGGCAGAGACAGTTGATGTGTCTAGAGAATCGGGGATAAAGTCCTTGATCTGCGAGCCTGTAGACTTGCAAGTCCGGCGAGAGGATTTGCCGGGGGATGTATCCTGCGAGGCGGATAGGTGCTGCTTGGAGTTGCGCTTCGGAGGAACGGGTATGGAGGATCGCTGAACGGGACGCGGTTGAGGACGCGCCGGACGAGTCTCAGGAACTTCCTCGAGAGGGATGGAGAAGCAGAAGCAGCAGGAAAGAGTCTGCTTTGGCTTTGGCTTTGGCGTGCTCGTCTTCCGTCCTCCACCATCCGTCCTCTGCCTCCTCTTCTTCTTATCCTGCAACTCGATCAACCCAAGCCTATCCGCCAACGTATCAAGACTCGTGCGTCCCTCAAGTATAGGCGTCGCAGTGGCTCTCGGGCCAGGACTCGAGTGTGCAGACATGGTCGCCTGCTCACGGTGCTGCCAGCAGTAGAGGGACTCATCGCGGGGGTCGGGCGTGCTGGGTCTTGAGGTTGCTGGCTTTGCAGGCACGGGACGACGGCAAGGTCGACCGTTGGAGGTTATGCCGCGACATGTTGAGGATGGGTTCTTGGAGTCGGAGCGGGAGAGGAGGGATTCGGGGGTGTTGGCGACAAAGGGCATTGTTGGAGTTGTCCTTTGTTTGGTGTTTAAACTGGGGATTGAAGCCAAGTTCCAAGAAGGAGGAAGGGCCCCCTTTTTGAATAAGGATCGAACCGAGGAAAGTGATTCAGGGACAAGGCCCGCTCGGGGACCGCCCAAAAGCTTGGTTTTTTCACATCTTGGTTGGTGGGCGAAGCGCGGTGAACCAGCGAGGCTGGGCTGGTGGATGGATTGGGGGAGTGTCTGGTAGTGAGTTGTCGTCGTGGCTTGGTCGTGTGGCTGTGCAGGGGCGGCGAAGATGGGGAGGCAGCCACGAAAGAAGTGATGATGTGTTGAATGTATTGGTTTGAGGATGAAAGTGACTGATTGATTGTGAGACGGGTACTTACGGTGTTAATCACGGTCGAGAATAGCTGTTGGGAGAGAAATGGATGCTTAGTATGACATCGTGATGGGGCACACAAGGAGGTCATCATGAGAACTCTCGTGCACAAATATGGGTGTCATGACATGACATGAATCGTCAAGAAAAAAAAAACATATTATAGCAAAGAGAACATGAAGAATATTCTAACCATATTTTTAATATCTTGTTGAGTAACCTATCTGCTCTTGATGCAAGGTGAGCCCTGCAAGAGACTGAGAACAGTGGCTTGAAGACATTGGATGGAGTCTCTTGCACTTGCAGAGTAAACCGCGACGACATATCTTTCGTATCCTCATTACTGGAAAACTCACTTGATACGTGCCGGGAAAGGGAGATGAAATAGATACATAGATACTATCTTGATTCTCTAGCGCCGTCGCGAGGATGATGTCGGGACCGGCACTGGAAGTTGAGCGAGGTGAGCATTCGTTCTGACTGGTCGATGTAACCGTGCGGCGGCCAGTATTGAGTCGCGAGCCAAGGAAATAGCTTGACGTATGTAGACAAAATCTGTTGGAGAAGTGAAAGGAAATATTAAAATTCGAAAATCAGTATGAATTGTCCAAGTTCAAGTCACGTCGTCGAGTTAAACTGGAAACACAGGCTGAGAGGATTGAATGTCTTGTATAGGGTTGTCGCTGACGCCATGGAGCCATCAAGGTTCTTCGAATCTTCACATGGCTAACAAGGTAATTCCGCCTCAATGCATAGAAGCAAATACTCATCGTTAATTATTCGTTTATTGTCAAAGCAATCCGTGATTTATTCGCCTTCCGTAGCTATGCAGCAGTCATTGTGCGATGCCCCCGTCCATGGAACCGGCCATGAACAATTCCCATGATTACTCTCCAAATTAGAGACCCAATGATAGTTCTCATTATCAACGCCTGCATGGGTTGTGCAGGCCCCGTCGTTGTTATCGGCCATCTTGTAATTCACACCAGGTAGCGAGGACACCTTGATGGCCTATCCCCAGCACGGCGCTTCAGATTGACGGTGATGGTGAAGATGGGGCTGGTGATGCTTCGCTCAAGAAGTTGAACCCGACAATGCCTTCGGCCACGATCTTATCTTGGCCAGATTTAAGCCGTGAGTAGAGGGACACGCGACGACCGATGATGCCATCGTTGCCGACTTCGATTGAGAGTGGCCTCTCCAAGGGGAGCTCGACAAAGGTGTCTTGAGGTGTTGGTCTGGTAGCTGGGAGGGCAAATTGGCGAAATAGTCCGCAGTCGGTCGCTTTTCTTGTCATGTCGCCGCTGGAACTGTCCACATATCAGTATGCGTAGAGTATGGCTTGTGGAGGTTGGCTCACTGGATGACTACGCGGAGATCTGAGAGATTGTTGATGTCGCACTCATCGCTCGGCGTCAATCTTGCATGTGTTGCGTTTGAGCTCCCAGGACATCCAGGAGTATGAAAGGCGAGGTCGGCGCAGAGGTTTGAAGTGGTTGTGTTGATGGGAGGGTTGAGAGCCGCCAGGGCGCCTCCTCGGGGTCGGTTTGAGTTGTCAGGGCCACACATGATGATTGATGTTGTGAAGATGTTGAAGATGTTTGAAAGAAGAACAAGAGAACAGTTACAGCTTTAAAGGACAGTTCATCATAGGATCTCTCTCATAGTCTCTCACTCACACAGACCAGAGTTTCATAGCTCGGAATCGCTTTGTCCGCCAAACTTGCTCACTTGACATTGACCAATCACGACACCGCATTCGGCAGCGCTGTTCCCGAATCGGGCAATCGACGGTGAGCAAGTTTGAGCACCTTGATGACCTCTTGAACAGATTTACCTGCGCTTCGATAAATGCATTTTGATGATGCTATTCCTTTGTTTATGAATAGGATTAATAATTACCCCTCTGACGCAATTCGGTGCTTGATTGCCGTCTCGGTCTTTGTCCTTCCGTCATGTTCCTCAATATCCTCCAGCTCCCACTTCTACCCCTCTTCTTTGCCTCTGCTTCTTCATCGTCTTTCTCTCTTGACTGTCTTGAACAATACTCTCTGATCGAGAATACCTGTTATCTGCCCGCCATGTCTGTTGGAACCTACTCTCTCCCGGCGCTGCCGTACGCCTACGATGTGAGCAACACCACACCCCGGACTTGTTCACAGTACCCCGGACAATGAGCTGATTTTATGTATCACAGGCCCTTGAGCCTAGCATCTCGGCCCAGATCATGGAGCTCCACCACAGCAAGCACCACCAGGCCTACGTCAACAACCTCAACGCTGCTCTCAAGACATACGCCTCGGCTACATCGTCCAACGATATTGCAGGCCAGATCGCCCTCCAGTCAGCTATCAAGTTCAACGGAGGCGGCCACATCAACCACTCTCTCTTCTGGGAGAACCTGAGCCCCTCCAGCTCCCCAGACTCCAAGCCCGACAGCGCCCCCACCCTGGTCGCCGAGATCTCCAAGACCTGGGGCAGCCTCGAGGCCTTCCAGGAGACCTTCAAGAAGACCCTGCTGGGTCTGCAGGGAAGTGGCTGGGGATGGTTGGTCAAGGATACTCAGGGCCTGCGCATCGTCACCACAAAGGACCAGGATCCCGTCGTTGGGGGTGAGGTGCCCATCTTTGGCGTTGACATGTGGGAGCATGCCTACTACCTGCAGGTGAGTTGTGACACAAGTTTCATCACATACCGGGTCCGGGAGCTGACTGGGTTGGATAGTACCTCAACGGCAAGGCTGCCTACGTCGACAACATTTGGAACGTCATTAACTGGAAGACATCTGAGGCACGATTCGTCGGTACCCGGGAGGATGCTTTCAAGGTTCTGCGGGCTTCCATTTGAGTTGATGGAGGGAAAAGAAATGAGCAGGGGCACAGCATTAAACAGCTTCACAAGGTGAACAATGTAGATTCACGTTCCCTTTGGTGGGATTAGTCCTACACGCACAAAGCATGGCAAGACTTATTCAGCTGAATGTTGTCATTCTTCATCACTCATCTCCCAGTGACACTATCAACGTGCTCAACGTCTGACACTCTTAGTCTTAGTCTCGGCTGGTTACCAAGGCCACGGCCAGCATATGACTCGCCCAGCAGACGCTGCGTAACTTTCTGACCGCCAAGTAGGCCTCCAATTCTGTGACAAGCTGCTGATTAATTACGTACGATGGTTGTTGTCTCCCCCTTTTTTCGAGTCATATTTTTAACTGACCTGCGTGTCATGCAGTCTTCCGTTCGGAGCTGAAAAGGACGGGGGAAAACGACGTTTTTTGTCACGGGTGAATCGAGGCTGTAGACATGCATGTTTCCACCCACCACCGTCAGCCACACGCGCCAAGATCTAATCCTGCTTGTCAACCCCCAGCCTCTCCTGACAAGGGTGAAGCTGTGTGTAACCATACAAAGACAAGGTTATAGAATTTGGAACAACGTATCTGCGACACTGCTGCGCGTTTGTGTGGCGGGCTGAACCGGGAGTGTGCATCGTGGCTGTTTGGACGCAGGTACCGGGGGGTCTTTGGCTGCACAGTTAGTTCTGCACGGTCAAAGAAAAGCTTGATTGACTTTTTGTATCTGTGAATAATGATAGATAATCAGAAAATGAACTTTTGGTGTAGACGGGATAGTCCGTGGTAGACGTGATACTAACTGCGTAGTTGTGCGTGATAAAACCGTGACACGTCTGACTGACTCAACCTGTGCTCAGAGTATGTATAATAGTGCTGGCGAGGGCTGAAGAAGGTTGGGCACGTTGGCTTGGTCTATTGACTCGGCCCCCACCACGGGTCGAGGCATGTATACGCTGTTAAAGATTATTTTAAGAAACGGGCTTGTGCTGATGGAGAGGACAAGGCAAACAATGGCGTCTAGTCAAAACGAGTCGAAATAGTGTAGATCGACGGAAAGGCGAAACTTGGCGTCTGTTGCCGTCCGCCCGTATACTAAATCTAGCTCTCCCCCTTCAAACGACGTCCCGATAATGGGTCAAGATAATGACAACGGCCTTGCCGTGCGGCCTGCGCTTGGTCCCTCGCGTCCCTGGTGCGACGGCAGCTTGCAGCTGGACTTGTAGACGTCGAGAGATGTAGACTTGTGCGAGGGACGTGTCGAGCAAGGGAAAGAATTGGGTATAAAGAGGGGAGGATGAGGAGGATGGAAGATGGGAAAGATTCCAAGTCAGTGAGACCAGAACAACTGGTACGCTATTGTCATTCGTTCATCTTCCCCTCCCCTCTGTCGTTACCTTCTCTACTCTACCTTCGCTTTTTAACCCTTCTACTCTCGAGATCATGTCTCGTCTTTCTCGCTTCGCCCTTGTCGGGCTTGGGTACGTGAAGAAGCTTCTCCTGTCTTGAACTTGACTAACGTTTTATCTTGTCTAGGGCTTCGGTCGCTTGGGGTCAGACCTACACTACCACCGTCACCGAGACTGTCACCGAGTGTGCTTCGTCTTGCTACTCTGTGGTCTCGCAGTGTACCTCGACCGAGTACCCTACCTCTTGTGCTGGGACCGTGACTTCTACTCTCGGCTCTGACACTTCTGTCGAGGTTCCGAGTGGTTCTTCGTCTGAGACCTTTGTCGTTGTGACTACTCCTCGAACCAAGATTGTCATTCCTACTTCTTCTTCGACTCTTCCTGGAAACACCACTTCTGATGCTGGCCCTTCTACCCTCTCCTCCGGCACTTCTTCTTCCGAGACTACTCTTGTCGTTTCTGATTCTACCACTGTGTCGGAGGCCTCTAGCGCTCGTCCTGAAGGGACTTCCTCTTCCTCTGATGTCTGCACCGAGCCCTATGGATGCTCCTCTAGCGCCCCCTCCCAGAGCGTGGAGACCTCCACCTCAGTGACCAACCTCGAGACCATGCCTACCTTTATCCAGAGCGTCGACTCTAGCGCTCTGCCTTCCGGCACTTCGGCTGAGACTGAGGTTACCACTTCCGCCTCTAGCAAGGAGACATCTGACTTGGGATCGTCTACCCCTTCAGTTGCTAGCACGGAGACCTCTGGCTCGGGATCTTCGTTCGCTACTACGCAGACATCTGCTCTTCCATCTGCGCCAACTGGTAGTGAGAGCTCCAGCATTGTCTCTGAGCAGGACACCACCTCCACCGAGGACGCTGGCAGCTCCACCACTGAGGGAGTCTCCACAACTACTCTTCGATCAGTCATCACTAGCCAAGTCACCATCTCCGAGAGTGTTTCTACCACCTACGAAGAGAGCTCAGGCACTTTCTCCGAGCAAGGCAGCTCTACCTTGACCGAGGACACTGGTAGCTCTACTGCCACTGACGAGATCTCTACAACTACTCTCAGATCCGTCATTACCAGCCAAGTCACTGTTTCTGAGAGTGCTTCTACCACCGATGAGGACTTCACTACGCTTTCGCAGACATCCGAAGGGGGTTTCTCCATCAAGACTCGCAAGACTTCCTCCAAGGCTAGCTCTGCCAGCACTAGTGAGGACACCAGCACCGAGACGGACCAGAGCACCTTCTCTACCGACTCGGTCTCATCTGAGGGAACCACTGTCACCAAACTGACGTCCCAGATTACCATCACCCAAACTGAGTCTTCCTCTGGTGTTGAGTCGACTGATACCCCTGAGGACACCAGCTCTAGCGTAGTTTCCTCTGGCAAGCCATCCAGCACTGGAGCTACAGCCTCCGAGACAGACTCTTTGTCCACCCAGAGCACTGGCGCTGTTGAGAGTTCCTCTTCCAAGACTTCTATCACTACTGGATCCACTGGCAGCGTTGTCAATCCCGAGTCCACCTCAAAGGTCCCCTCTGGCACCGGCGAGACCAAGTCCACCAAGACTCCCTGCCCACCGTACTCTCACACTCATGTCTACCCCAACACGACTGTTGTTTATAACACCGTTGAGCAAGGAACCGACTCTTCTGCTCTCCCTGGCAGCTTCACGTCTACCTCCCTCCTTGACAATGGGGACAGCTCTTCGACTACTCCAGACGTGACTGTGGAGACCGCCACCACTGGTGTCCAGACTTCTGAGAGTGAGCTTCCTGGAACTTCGAGCACTGAAGAGGCACCTAGCACCGAGTCCACCTTTGGAAGCGTTGGTACCGAGTCTTCCTGGCTGCCCACTCCATCTTCTGATACCTGGGAGTCTACCCCTGGAGTCGCGACCACTGAGTCTACCATCGAATCAACTGGCACTTTCATCTCTTCTTTGTCTACGCCTGTCTCCCAGACCACCCCCACTGGTACTGAGCCCATTGAAACCTCTACCCTCTCCGAGTCTTCTGCCTTGTCCACTACTAGCGCTGCCGACGCAGAGACAACCGGCCCATATGGATACGACTTTGGCACAGAGAGCGACTGGGAAACTTCAACCATCAGCCCCGACACCACCAGCGACCTCTTCGCCTCCAGCGCCGACGCCGTTGGTTCCTCCTCCTTCTTCCCCACCACCTTCATGACAACCAGCAAGGCCGACACCTCAGCCGCGAGCACCACCACTGAGCCTCCCTACCAGCCTCCAGCCTACGAGCCCCCCTCGTACCGCGCTCCCGCTGGTAAGCGCTGGGGTTTCGGGTGGTAAAGAGGAGGAAAAAAAAGTACAAAACAGGGTGTGTGTCGTTTTGTTGTATTGTCAAATGAGTTGACGTCTTCTTTTTCATTCTTGACTTTCTTTCGTGTATCTGGGATAATTGATCTTTGGGATACTTGATACTTGACATACTTTTGGGGGTTAGATAATGGTGAGGTAGAAAATAAGTAGGCTTTGATCCTTGACTGTGTCTCCATGTGCTTGACCTCAAATCTAGGCATTTGTTTGTGATCCCTTTTCTGTTAGTAGAAGATTCCGTATTCGTGGGCATCTTTTAGTGAACGACTCGCCATTTGCTCGGCACACTACACGTATCTTCTCTGACACGATTGCTACCTTTCCAATGCCTTTGTAGTTACCATCTCCCCCAACCTTATACGTCGTATCTCTAAGGTGTCGAGGGTAGCGTCTCGGCCTGGTCTCAAGGGCTCTTCGAGGGACCCAGGTGAAGTGACGATCGATCAATCATTATGATTGTAAATATGAAGATATTTAAGTGGTTGTAAAGCCATTGCAGGAAAAAGGATCAAGAGTTTGCAAACAGAATTCCCCTTTTACATCAATTGTGCTCTTGACATCGCTACCTGCTGCCATTGAGACCTACATTTAGATCAGCCAATGATAATGTCAGGGGGGTCGATCCGATCGCGATAAAAATTAGACGGACCTAAACCTTAATGTGCGCCACACCTGGAGTAATTGCCAATATCTCAAGCCTCGATGTCTTCTACTGCCCTTTCATTGTCCAAATAATCGGTACCCATAGAACTCAAGAGCTCCTCCTTGAGTTCCTTTTACATTTATTTTTCTTTTCTTTTGACCGGGTTTTCTCTGGAAGCAAAGATGTTATCCGCCATTTCAAGGTCCAGGTTGATGATCTCATTACCCCAAAGTCCTGAGTCAGGGTCGATATGTTGGCGGGTAGGGATCATTCATGTTCACGGACATATTCACATCCGCTTTGTTCCTATTTCCTTTTAGTTAATAATGTTTCATCCATCACCCTGGGTCACACAGCAGATAAGTATGGCCGTTGCGGTTTGCAAGTGCCTGGGGCGTGGGACTAGAATAGGGTTCACGCCTTGTCATCTAAGAGACACTCGTTCAGCCTCATGTTACTGGTGTGTTGTGCGACAAGCCAGCTAGAGTTTGCTGCTCCTTCGTCTAAGCTTGGCGAGAAGAGATGGCGATTTGATGCTGTGCTGGAGAAACATATCATCAGACAAGCCCTAACCTACCGAGAACAGGGAATTCACTCAGCAACATCCAATGCGATCTTGCCAATGCCATGTTTGTTTCAGAAGCAGCGTTCTTGGTTTTCAAGGTAGGCGCTCTAATATACACGCCTGACATGACTTATAGAGTCTTCTGGAATTCGCTACTGGGCGAGGTACGTTTTGTTCCCTGACCTTGGGAGGCCAAGTCCATGGATGAACCAACATGGCGTGGCATAAACTGTGGGCTAAATCCACCATAAAGGCCGGAGCAAGTTTGAATCCACTGATTGTTTGTGACTGACAATGAAATCGATGCTCAAAGAGACATCATATCATTGAAAAAGTGGGGGGTGATCATACATTCCCATGCCGGTTCCCCTAACCACCAGTGAATGTCGGTTTATTCGCATCGTAACCAGACAAGGGATCACTGGCCTCGCTTGAGCTAGGCTCCAGATTTTCTCATTGAGCTTATTCCAGTTTCTATTCTTCCCGAACTGCCCCTCATCTCGCCATGCGTCTCTAACCTCTAGCTGCCTACTACGTCGATCGAGACTAGAATGGGTGGCAGAATAATGGTCTCACTTGGCACTCTGCAATCTAGCGAGGGGTATAAAAAGGTACAATGAAACTACAAGGTAATAGCTTTCTTTATGAGCTTTGCTTCATAATATTCTACCACCATCTCACTATCTGCTTTCTTCAAGCCGTGTTTGATATGAGTCAGGCTACCTAAAAGAGAGCTCTGTATTTACCCCTTTGGCATCTCATATGCTTCTCAGTCTCCATGGTGCTCTCAGACATTGGATCTATGCCAAGTCAAGACTGGACGGAACTGCTTCTGTGCCCGACAGAGCCGAAGACCACCTTGCTACCCGTTCGCCCAGGCCATGATGTGACACAATAGAAGACCGGCATTGTTCATTCATTCAACGACATAATATCGTACCAACGACTCCTAGGCGCCTTCAGCTTCATCTCACCAGATCAATTACGCCATCACGCCGCCTCCCAGTCCATCGGTTCCACCATCCACTCCCACTCATCATCCACGACCATGGCCTCATCCAGACTCTCATGCTGCTGAGCCAGCTCCTGCTCAACATGCGACGAAGCTATGCCGTACGCGACCTCTAACCCGCGCAACACCTCCGTCACGATCCACGTCAGATCGTACATCTTAAGTGGTGGCGTCTCTTTTCCCTCACTGGCATCTTTCCATCGGTTCCGTAGTTCTTTGGCTTTCCATAGCGCTTGGTTCACTTCTCCCTTTCCTAGTGCATTGTACACAGGACACGCTTCATCTTCAAGCGCTTTCAACACGTTGTGGTGATACGCATGTCCCGCAGCCACATAGTTTCCCCTGCCAAAGTTCCCTCTGGAGATGTTATCCTCAGGTCTCGCAGATTTAGAGACTGTAACACCAAAGATGAGAAGAAGTAACACGATGGCTTGCTCAATCCACACATAAAACTCATGAAAGTCAACCTTGAAGTTCTGCTCCGCATCCCCTTTCGTAAAGCCAAACTCGTCCGGATTCGTAGCCCGTTGATAAGAGGCGTGGAGATCGATAAACTTCCACCGCAGTCTTTGACACGCCTGCTCAAAGCGGTGAAACGCTTGCGCTGGTGTTAAGCGTGTTGTCGAGGTGAGGGCAGGTTTGGGTGCTGATGAGGATGCCAGTGGAGGCGGTTGTGAGGGGGGGCGTGAGATGGCTCGGTTTGAGATGGCAGGTGAGCTGCGGCTAGAGCGACCGTTTGCCCATATTGAGCCGTCTAGGCCAGAGGGTTTGTTGGTCATGATTGAGTGGAAAAGACTCTATCGCGAGCTAGAGATGGAGGAGGGGAATCAAGACGCAGGGGAATGGATCCCACTGCGTCGCGCTCAATGACCTCGTCGCTGTGAGAACTGAATGACCGTCACTTTAAGTCCTTGTCGTTCGCTAGATCCGTAGAGCCGTTCGGTAAGATACGATATGGCGTCTTTGAGCTTCTCTGGTTCTTTGATCCAAATGTCGCGTGTGGAGGGTGCAGCGCGTCAATGACGCCTTCAAACCGCGCAATTTATAACTCCGACACCGAAATGAATCCTACAAGGATAACAGCACACAGTCAATGAAGAAGATGAGCGCTTATAGAAGCGGTATCAAAGAACGTGCGGGGCAGATATCTGATGGTGAAAGACCTGAGAGACAGCGATCGGAATGGATGGAGATTCAATGATCAGAGGTGACCCTGATTGGCTGGCCTGCCCCTAGCGCAACAGCTGAGCAAGCGCTGAAGTCGAGCGCTAAGAAGTGATGTGATGCAGACCCCTGGCGATGGCGGGATCCGTTTGATGGCCGAGCGGGGCTCCGGCTCCGGATGGCTTCCATGGCAACCGGCCCGGGGCCGAAGCGGCTTCAATGAGATTGAAGAGAATGGCCAGGTATCACCGCTCATGATGGCTTCACTATGGATGTTGCCATCCCTCAAACTACCAAGAAGTCAATGGAGCATGGATCTAGTGATTGACTAGCAGGAAGAAAATGACAGAGAAATCGGGTATTCATTCAGGACACTTGCTCATCTCCCACCATTATACAATCCCCAACCCTTCAACAATGCATCTCGTAATCATTCCATATCGATATATACAATCTTCATGTTGAAAAAAGCAAACAGCTGAGTAGGGTCTCAATCCAGCTGTCCCAAACCCATGTCCAGAAATAACAAGATAAAAACCTGCCTGCCATAAACACTTTCATAATCGTCAACCTTTTTTGACACAACCACTCAATCAATAATGCGCCGCCAACTCCCGCAACCCGGATGCGCTATCCTTGGTGAACCAACTTGAACAAACAAAATCAACAGGTTCATCGCTACCTTGGGTTCCCAGGCGACGAGGTCCTGCTGAGGCAAGTCTGGGACTTTTTCACCTCCTATGAAGAGTCTCTGATCTTCTTTGTTGCCTTGGCTGTGCCAATGTGAGTGTTGTGCACCTAGTCTTTGTTAGCTTGGTCACTTCATAAAACAAACACTACATACCTTGGTTGCGAATCGAAGACTTGTCAATGTCTCCTTCAGATGCGTCTCAAGCGGTGAAACCATGACAAACATCAGAGTCTTGCTGTTGCCACCCAAGCTGTACTGCAGAAGGTGGGTCAACTTTGAGTTTCGGTACGGCACATGACCAGATCCTCGTCCAAGAGCTTCAATGACATCGCCCAGGCAGCTCAGACTCTTGTTGATGTTCTGGGTCTCCTTCATACGGTCGCCCTCGGCCTGCGAGTGCTTGAGACGCTCGGAACCTGCAAGATCCACGAGGTTGAGTGTGCCTTCGCATCGCTCTCCTGTTGCCGAGTTCTCGCCAACCAGCTTGAGGATGAACACACTGTGAGAACGGGATGATCGCTCGTTGGCCTTGGTTGCAGCCACCGATCGGTTGTTTTGCGCCTCCTCAAGCATAGTCTCCACGCTAGACGGGCTGTTAAGCCGTACTGACTTGCAGTTCATGATGACTGTCTGCTTGCGGGACTCGTCGTGTCGGATCTCGAGCTTCTTCGGTCGGCCTTCAGACGATCGCTCGTTGGGGGTTAGCAGGTCGTTGAGCTCCTCGTTGTACACTTCAACAAACGAGCCCTCCATCGTGTACTCCCAGGACTTCTCCTTGAGCTTGGTGATGGTATCGTAGATCATGTGCGTGGCACGAGGAATCATGCCGTCTGCTGAAGACATGGTAAAGGTCTTTCCAGATCCTGTCTGGCCATAGCAGAAGATGCACACGTTGTAACCGTCAAGGGCACTCTGGACAAGCTGAGAAATCTCGCCAAAGATCTCATGGTTCTGAGTGCCGGGGATGAAGACTCGGTCAAACTCGAAAGGATAGTTCTTCCGTGTTACATTGCCAAGGCTGCTCTTCTCCTCAGGTCCAGCGAGCACAATCTCAGCAGATGTCTTGTCATCAGGGAAGGACATCTGTGCCTGCTCGCCCTCACCATCACCCAGAGGGGGTCGGACTCGACACATGACACGGATGTTGCCCTTGAGCTCCTGATACTTGTTGAATAGAACTCGGCGCTCCGTCTCCTCCTTGATGAGCTTCTGCTGGGCCTCCTCAGCTGCGCGAAGGGCATCCTGGAGCCTTGACTCCATGTTGGCAAACGAGTCAGACTGAGCCTTGCTATCAGACTCGAGGAATTCGACGTGCGACCGTAGTGAGTTGATCTTGGCCTCCAGTGTTGTGTTGGCTGCCGACAGTTCGGCAATGTTGGTTTGTAGACTGTTCTTGAGAGTCCTCTCTCGCTCGAGATCTCCTTGCAGGGTTTCGACTTGGGAGTTGACCTCCTTGAGTTCTCGTTCCTTCTTTTGCAGAGCCATGCCCATGTCTTGGTACTCGTTGCCCATTCGAGTTCGCAGCTCTTGAATTTCGCGGTCCTTCCTTGATCGTTCCGCTTCAAGCTCTTGCTGGTATTGTCGTGTGAGATCCTCGATCTTCTGCTCATTGTTCCTGGCCTCGTGCTCCTTTAGTCGGTCCAGTTCTCGTCTCATTTCGTCAACCGCTGATCTGTGTTGTCGCGCCATGTCGTCCATTACTTCTCGGTGCTTTCGTTCTTGATCTTCCATTCGTCGCGTCTGTTCCCACTGTTGCTTCTCCATCTGATGTCGGATGTGACGTCCCTCTTCTCTGGCCATGTCGAGATCTGCCTTTAGCGACTCATTCCTCAAGCCAAGCTTCTCTCTGTCGTTTTCGAGCTCCTTGACTACAAAACCGTCAACTTTTGGACTTTCACAGTGAAGGCGTACTCACCTCGAGTCTTTGCAAGTTCGAGTGCATCATCTTGCCCCTTTCGCTCGATCAGAGTGGTGTTTACCATCTCTTTCAACTCCTTGAACTGGGACTCCATGTCCACGACTCGACCGTCGACATCCCAGGCTACATATGATGTCAGTTTAGAATCCTTGGTGAGAAACGCTTTACTTGGACAAGGGGACTTGATGGGTGAGGTAAACGTCTTGACAGGCGACAAGGACAGCGACTCCTGAAACTGGTCAAGCTTTCGCTGTACCTGCTGCTCCTTGCTCGGCTTCGGGGGAACCGCCTAGGTCTGTCCTGAAGAGTCGATACGAGAGCACGCAGGAATCTTGTTCTGATCTCTGTCGTAACGCTTGGTGGTCATGTTGGAAATCTGAGAAGCGACTGATGACAGAGACGACTGTCGTGTCAAGGGGCGAGAAAACACTTGATTCCCGCTGGGAGGCGAATTGTCGTCTTCGAGGCTTAGTTGAGTAAATCTCGAAGTCAGAGAACTATCTCTGCTGGCCGTCACAGTTGAATATGACTGGGCCTTTCTGACTTTGTTGTTGTGGAGTGGAGCAAGAGGTTGAGAACTGTTTGGCTGGAAAGTGGTCGGCATACCATTGCTAGGCCCCGAGTAATCTCTGTCCTCCTCGCGAAGCCCGTGAGCCGTCTTTGGTCGTGGGGCTTGGCTCTTCGATCGCATGTGTCCAGGACGAGTGGCTGTTCGTGGGGGATTCGAGGGGGCATATCGATTGGGGCCGACGCTCTTAGCGAAGTTGCTCGATGTGGACGTTCCAAGTCGAGATTGGGAAGCCGAGGGTTGTTTGAGCTGAGAGGATAGTTAGCAGAGTTCCAAGTGCATGATCATCCGCCAGTACGAAGGAAAGCCTTTCAACGCCATTCCCAGCAGTAACCACAAGTCCTTTATTGCATGTCGGGAGGTTGCTAGAAGCCGTTCGCTTCTGAGCTCCCGGTCTCCGTGCAGGCAAGGTGTGACTAGTACTGAAAGACCTCATATTGCAATTGTCGACATGAAACACAACCAAAGACCCCTTGCAGTAGGTACTCGTCGAGACAATCGAAAAGACGAGGAGGAAAGCAATAGAGATGATGGGAAGAGGCGGCGGCTTGCCAATCGAACAAGATGGCATTGATCATGACAACAGACAAGTACTCACCCCGGACATGCCCGCAAGACTCTGGGGCTTCATGTTGGATCGGACGGCCGACGGGGCAGCTGCAAGGGACGTCGGCTTTGCGGGATACTCGAGGGCTCGATCGGAAAGAGGCTTGCGCTTCGCTTCGGATTGTGATGCTGCTTGTTCGTCAGTAGGAGCGACCGTGAGGAGATTCAATTTGCAAGTACCTGGCTGAGGAATCTCGCGCTTGAGATTCTTGAGAGATGCCAGAGAGGTCATTGTTGACTGAATGCGTGCATTGTGCTGTGACTCGCTCCATTCTGTGAGTCCTCCCCCTATTTGCGTCGACGGTGCGGGCAGCCTGCTCATCTTGGAGCTTCGAAACGACTATTCAGGGTCAGCAATGTGTCTTGTTGCATAAACATATGTCTTTGATTCAAACATACGGTGTCCATGGCGAGTAGAGCACGCGCGCGGTGCAAAAGCAAAGGAACTAGTACGTGGACAACAAAGAGTAGCGCGCTGCCAGCAGTGGTAGAAGGCGTGATGAAAGATGAAGTGGATGGAAGCAGGATGCGTAGCTTAGTATAACCCACCTCGCAACCAAGAGTGTTATTTTGGTTGGAGGTTCCAAATGCGTGTTAGCTCCGCTCAAGACTTGGTGCTGTTGGCTTTAGATTGGCGATGAGGCGGCTTGTTTATCGGCGTGATGCGGGCGTGAATCTGTTGCCCAGGCGACGTGGGTCCCGAAACGGCCTACGCTATTCCCGCACTTGTGTGGCTTGATCTTGCATCGTGGCTTGACTCCCTGCTGCTGACTCAGACGCCAGCCAGCTTGTTCAACGTCAGTTGCAACGTGGGGGCTTTTCTACAGTACGTCCACGTCGTCGTTGAATATTCACATGTCATGACGTCCAAGCAGATGCGCTGTCGCAGACTCTAACCTAGACTCGCAATCCCTTGTCCCTTTGTTAGGTGAACCTGAGTCGCGTCTGCATCCTTGAACTTTGGGTCAGATCATAAAGAGACCGGGTCTTGCACAATCTCTTGTTCCCCATGTCTTGATAGACCATCTCCAACCTCTTTCATCCTTTGTCCAACACACGCGAGCGAAAACACCATGGAAAAATATAGCCAATTTCGAGATCGAGGTAAGCAGGATCTACAATTCAACCCCTTGCTCACATGCTAATCTCTTCTAGCTACGGGCATTTCGCCCTTTCTCCCCGTCTCGACACCCCTCTCCGCTGTCGCAATATTCACCCACGGCGCCCTCTTCCTCTTCCGCCTCCCATTCTTCATCTTCTTCTTCCTGGGCTACTTCCTCATATTCCACTTCCTACCATTGCCCGTCATCTTCCGCAAGGTGGCCCTCTGGGGTTTGATGGCCATCCCGGGCATCTGGTGGGTAGATCTTCAACTCGACGGTGTCAAGCGCGGCACCCTCGCCGACCAACCCCGAGAGCGCTTCCCGCATCCTGGATCCGTCATCGCCGCCAACTTTACGAGTCCTGTTGACGCTATCTACCTCGCCGCTATTTTCGATCCCATCTTTACCGTTTCGTACCCCGAGACTCGTCAAGTGCAGCGTCTCAGTCTTCTCGGCGCCGTCTTGATGGCCCTATCGCCTGTGCGAACCGCTCCCCCGAAGAACGCCAAACTCGTCGATATCAGCGATCTCCTAGCCGACAACCCGAGCCGAGTCATTGCCATTTTCCCCGAGTGTGGTACCACCAACGGAAAGGCCATTCTGCCTTTCAGCCCGAGTATTCTCCAATGCCCGCCCGACGTCCACATCTTCCCTGTCAGCATTCGTTACACGCCACCCGATGTTACGACCCCTGTGCCTGGAAGATGGTTTAAATTTCTGTGGAACCTGCTCTCCCGGCCTACAACTTGTATCCGCGTTCGCATTGCTGAGGGTCAGATGAACTCGGCTGCCGCAAAGACCAACGGCGCTTCATCTGTTCCCTCTGATCTGCGTTATCGAAATGACGTGGGCGCCGCTGTCTCTGGAGATGAACAGCGTGTGTTGGATCGCATAGGCGAGGCACTTGCCAGACTCGGCCGTGTCAAGCGAGTTGGTCTCACCATGAAGGACAAGTCCGCCTTTGTGGAGGCTCTCAAGGGCAAGAAGAACTAAATATGTAAGAAAGGAAAATGTTATAGTCTTTGTTGAAGCGGTATCGGTTTGGCTTAGAGAAGGCGGACTTGATCTCTTTCTCAGATGGGATGGGATGGAATATGGAGTTCGCATTGCAAGGAGCTATTTTGGTGGTTGGCTTTTTTACCTTGATCTCGCGAAATACCCACAATCACTCGTGGAGCGGGGGGTTACGTTTCCGCTTGTTCTTGTGTTTTTTCAATCTCTTTAGGGCTTGTATTGGTCTTGTTTGTACTTTATCTTTGTTGTAACGTAGCTTGTACGTAGACAAGAGGCCCATGGCACGTTGAAGCCTCATATCATCACACTGAGATTCACACAACAGTCATGACTGTGTAATAAGAAATCATTGGGATATAAAAACTGACCCAGAAAATCTAAATTCGCCTTTTCCGATCCCGGACAAAACACAAACATTACATGATTCGAGGACATCTTTGGCTTCCTCGCTGTGCCTTTTAGTTGGACAGACCGCTGTCGGTGACGCAGCCCTCGCTCGCGTTCCTGACGAGCTGGGCATACTTGCTGAGAGTGCCCTTGGTGTAACGAGGAGCAGGGGCCTTCCATGCCTTGCGACGGCGGTCAAACTCCTCATCAGAGATCTCAAGGTCGATGGCGCGCTTCTCGGCGTCAATGACGATAGAGTCACCGTCCTCGACGAGGGCGATGGGACCACCCTCCATGGCCTCGGGAACGATGTGACCAATGATGAAACCGTGAGAACCACCAGAGAAACGGCCGTCAGTAAGAAGAGCAACGTCCTTGCCGAGACCAGCACCCATAATAGCAGAAGAGGGCTTCAGCATCTCAGGCATACCGGGACCACCCTTGGGGCCGTCATACCGGATGATAACGACAGTCTTCTCGCCCTTCTTAATCTCACCAGCCTCGAGACTGGCGATAAAGGCAGGCTCCGAGTCGTAAACGCGAGCCTTACCCGCGAATCGGAGACCCTCCTTGCCGGTAATCTTGCCGACACAGCCGCCAGGGGCCAGCGAACCGCGGAGGATCTGGATGTGACCGGTTGGCTTGATGGGGTTGCTGAGGGGTCGGATAATGGTCTGGTCCTCGGGGAAGCTGGGCATGTTCTCGACGTTCTCCTTCAGGGTCTTGCCGGTAACGGTCATACCGGAGCCATCGATGATGCCCTCCCCGATGAGGAACTTGAGCAGAGCAGGAGTACCACCAATCTTGTGCATATCCGCCATGACCCACTTGCCGGAAGGCTTCAAGTCAGCGAGGAAAGGAGTGCGGTCAGAGACCTTCTGGAAGTCCTCAATGTCAAGCTTGATACCAACAGAGTCGGCGATAGCAATCAAGTGGAGGACAGCGTTGGTGCTGCCACCAAGGATGGTGGTGACAATCATAGCATTCTCAAAGGCCTGGCGGGTCATGATATCGCGGGGTCGGATGTCCTCCTTGAGAATGTTGCGGATAGCAGGTCCAATCTTTTCACACTCGGCCTTCTTGCTGGGGTCCTCAGCAGGGCTGCTGCTGCTACCGGGAAGGGTCAGACCGAGAGTCTCAATAGCGGTGGCCATAGTGTTGGCAGTGTACATGCCACCGCAAGCACCGCCACCAGGGCAGGCGTGTCGGATAATGTCGAATCGCTCTTCTTCGGTGATCTCGCCAGTGATGTACTGACCATAGGCCTGGAAAGCAGAGACGATATCAATGGGCTCACCACCCTTGGTGCAGCCTGGGCGGATAGTTCCACCATAGACCATAATGCTGGGGCGGTTCACACGACCCATGGCGATAGCAACACCAGGCATGTTCTTGTCGCAACCGGGCAAGCTGATGTTGCCGTCGTACCATTGGCCGTTCATGACAGTCTCGATACTATCGGCGATAATCTCTCTACTCTGGAGAGAGTATCGCATACCAGTAGTACCCATGGAGATACCATCAGAAACACCAATGGTGTTGAAGCGGTAGGGAATCAGACCAGCCTTGGCCACCGATTCTCTGACAATGGCAGACAGGTCCATCAGGTGCATGTTGCAAGGGTTTCCCTCGTACCAGACGGACGAGATACCGACCTGAGCCTTGTTCATGTCATCCTCAGAGAGGCCGGTGGCGTACAGCATGGCCTGGGAGGCACCCTGGGCCTTGGGCTGGGTGATGTTGGCGGAGACCTTGTTGAGCTTGTCATCGGCGGCTCGGAGGGCAGTGGTGGAGAGGAGGCGGCTGCTGGAGAGGAAATGTTAGCATTAATCGACAATGTACAATTGCTGACGATGAATTCGTTCTTGTGGGTGGTGAGGTCACATACCCATGACTCCTCGAAGAGAGGGGGAGAGCTCCAAGAGCTCTCGACCGCAGGCGCAGGGAGCGGGAGAGCATTGTGACGGCCAAGAAGGTATCCAAAGCCAATTGAGGCGTTAATTCGATCAAACAAGCCTCTTAGACTTTGATTCCACAGAACACAAGGTCAAGGCGGTGTCTTGCAAGTCAGAGTTTCTTTTCTTTCGGTGCGTCGCTGCGATGTCGGCTCGCCTTTTTACCAAAAATTCCACGCCCACCTTCCCTGTGATCTTCCCTGTGACCACTGGGCGCTCCCTCCCCGCTGGAACGCTCCCCGCATGACAATTCGGTCGGTGTGATTGGCTCGGGGGTCAAGTGAGGGGCTACTTGCAGCAGCCACCTGCGCCGCCAAGGATGCTCCCGGGGAAACTGCTTCAACTCCGGAGGCGAGCCCACAGTAAACTCACCGAAACAATATCACCACCAATGATTGCCGACGCATCCGCTTTTCATTAACTGGAGCTCTCTTGTGTGTTTCCACCTCGTTTAGATAGCTATTGCCGACTATCCAGACCCCGAGAAGCTTCAGAGTACCCTGGTCAAGCTTATCATTGGGCCAGAGCGACACTAGGCTGGCTCACTTCCTGGATAGCTGCGTTGACGTCAAGCTTGTGGAAGTCAAGACTTGGCATTCATGACTGACCAGACATTTTATTTACTTTTCGGCATCCTAATGAGACTCTATATGCTTCCTCCTCTATGCATCAATTGGGAAAGCCAGTTCAACCATGTCACAACCAAACCTCGCCCTCCCATATTGCCAACCAATATGTAGATACTTGCTGAAGCAATACCTAGTCGCCAGACTTGTGGGGCAGAAGTGGCTTACGGCTCCATCTCAGCTCCAATGGCTTCTCAGCTACCAACCACAACCGCTCAACTGCTTAGGTAGACACAATTCACCACCTCGCCTTCGGTAGTATTCTTCTACATATTGCCTCGGCAACGCAGTTCCACCAAGTCGACTTCACTCACGCTGGTGATGCAATCATGCATCTGAAGGAAGAGAGTCATGCTGGGCATTGAAGTTGGTTGTCGTTCCGAGAGCATATGAAATTTCACTTGACTAACATGACAACAGGAATCAGGGTCTGGCCAACATCAAAGTCTTGGGCGAGAGTACAAGGGAAGAACATCTTGGAAGACTTGCCTTGGATCCGAGTCGCGATTTATCCTTTTTGGCCGAGAATGTTCATGAACAACTATTGGCTCTTCATGGCTTCTCCGTTGCAGGTGTCTCGCCATCCTCCTTGACCAGAGTGATGTCAGTGCCCTTGACCACCACCAGCTTTACCACTTCTACAAACCTGTCAACCCCTATCCGAGCTGCGACCCTCTTATCCTCCGATAAATCGTCGCCTTGACCACCTTGTCTATCTGGGCGCCAGCCTTCTAGCGTCGAGTTCCTACTGCCCTCGAGTTTGCAAGGGCCTCACTCGCTGGCAGTCTATCGACGATTTTGTTGGTTCACAGACTTTCGTCATGCTCACCAATGGACGCATGGCGTGCACACTTCCGGAACACATTTTCTCGGGCCACAATCCGGGCATCCACTGCTGTGCGGTCCGCCATCCCCAACATGACCCTTGGTATCAAATACTGCCCATCAGGCTCAAAAACACCTCGCCGTCCGCCATTGCCACGCTCAAGTCATACGTCGGCTTGAATACCCAGATAAGGGCGCCAGTGGGGGAGGAAATAATACAGGAGACTGGTTTGGGTGACCAGCCGCCTAAATAGTCTCCTGTTTCCTTTCCATCCCTGCCTAGGCGCGGCACATGCCCGGCCCGCCCCGTCCTCTTGGCGTCTAGCCGCCGTCCATGCATCTCGGCTCCGTCACCCCCGTCCTCCGTCCTCCATGACCATCGGCCCCACGCGACCTCCAGAACCTTGAACCAGTTCCCCTGCGCACCTGACATCACGCCGCTTGAGTGGTAGCGAGCTTGCCCTCGCCAGGTTCCTTCTATTGCAATGCCGAGTTTTTGAAGAGCGTGCGGCGCGTGCGCTTGGCGTTCTGCAAGCGCGCGCTGCGCCGTGCTGCCGCTTGATGTCGGTTGCACCGATACCCAGGTTTCTCTTCGCTTATATTTCTCGTAAATGCCCCACCAAGTGGTCAGGATGGTGTTGTTGGCTGGGTCTCGGTTGATACCGATCTGCCGTCCCAAGTCAGGGGGATGGTCGGTTATAGGAAGTGGTCGTGTGGGGGATCCTACGTTACAGCACAAACATACATCAACTCGCGGAACCGAGTATCTATTGCCATGATCCTGGCTTCGATCGATTCCAGCCACTTACGACCTAGTCCACCATGTGATACACAAGCCCATCCGCTCTCCCATAGTCAACCCGTAGGACCATTCACAGCGTGACCCTGTCCACGCTAGTCCATTCAATGGGAATAACCTCTTTGATCGGCTCACCTTCCTCTTCTGCCGGGCTGCGGTGGCGCTCAGGGACCTTCCTGATTTCTGATAGCATTCACGGTATTCTCGCAGAGTCTGGACGCCTCTCGACATGGGGTGGCCTCTGGCGGGCACGTGGTAGATCCAGCAGGGGGCTGGATAGGAGGGTTCGTATCAAGCTTGAAAGAGGAAGGCAGGTACCTGGGTTAAAGAGTTTGTATGAGGCCGGGGGGTTTCAGGGCAACTTACACAGATGGAACAGCCGTAGCATCACTAAAGCTTATACCCAAGCTTAAATAACATACAATAACATGTCAGTAAAGTTTACAAGTGCTATAGATGGCGCTTTAATGGCCTTGGGAGACGGTAAACGAGCTCTTAATATCCTGAAAAGGCTTATTCTATGATGGCTTCCTTTCCTATCGCAAGGGATGAAGCCGTAGTAACTCATATGCCAAGAACCAGCAACAACCAACATGCAACGGATCTATCTGCAATGGGCTAAGCGAAACAACCCAGAAGTTACAGTTAGTTACCGGAGAGGAAGGTGGCTGTCTACTTCTCTGAACCCCTTCTCGTCCTCTGTATGTTCTAGAAGTCTAGACTACCCGTGGGCCCCTTTTCCTAACCCGGGCCCACGAGTAACAGTCTGGAAGTTTGGGCCGACATTCCGATAGTCCTCCCTAGGCGTCATCAAACTTATTCACAGTTCTAAACCTTTGCTATTCAAGGCGAGGTATTCATTCTGACGATCAGCTAAGAAAACTTGCTCTTGAATAGACATTTCCATTATGATATGGTAGGCTTATAGCCGCCCATAGAGTTTAACCTTTCAGGTTTAAACACGAGATCAATGTCAAAGCAAGAATTTGAAGAAAACTTTGAAAAGGCGTAAGTGCGTCGCTCATGAGTGTCGAAATCCATGGCAGGGGTTCAAATTTGTCACGCGTGTGAAATCCTTATACTGTTCCGTTGGGGATGTCTCATTTTTCGAAAAGCAGGCGTTGACCATGGGTGAATCATACCATAACACTCCTGTTGAACGGTATCACGGGCCGTTGTCAATAAATAACTCATAAACTCAAGATATAAAGGGTCGGGTCCTCTGCGTCTTTCCTGCCTGCTCTATCACTCTCATCATCCACTCATCCTCAACTATCAACTATCACTCACAGCTTCGACACTTGTGTCCTCCACAAGTAAGTTTACCTTATCCACATCGTTAGCGTCTAGACATAGCTCACCGAACTGTGTAGTCACAATGAAGTTCTCTCTCCCAGCCGTGGTCTTTGGCCTCTCCCTTCTCGGCGCTGGTGATGCCGCCAAGATCGAGATCAGGACCACAACTGGACCCGGACTCATCCCTGTTTCCTCAACCGCTTACATTGGCGACGATGGTATCAACTACCCTGTGGGTGGCAACTTCCTCGATGGTTGCAGAAAGACTAGCTACAATTGGATCAAGGAGATTTGTATCGATGACAAGAAGGGAAGAGCACACATCATCTATTCTGGTGGCACCAAGAAGTGCTTCAAGCGAACCCGCTCATGGTCTTACCTTTGCGGAGGAAGTGAGAGCTGCCACGCTGGCGTTTGCAACAGGTGTTGGGAGTATGATTTCACCGTGGTCAAGTGCACCTGGTGAGGTGTGAGGGAGGTCAGCGCAGCTACCCTTCACTAAGAGCTCAACTGTACTCACTGGGGGGCTTCCGAAGAAACCCGTTATTTCCTGTCTTTACGCCATACCTTCCGTTTTTAATTCTGCTTCTTTAATTAACCATAAGTAACATACCCGTCTTTCCACACCATGGCCAGGCCCGTGACACCAGATAGAAGTCAAGACTTGGCTTTCATGAGTAACCAAGCCACAGGTTATTTCATTTATTCTTCTTCTAGCATCTATTTAACACACTGGATATACTCCCTCGTTTATTCATTAAGTGGGAAAGTCAAGCTGACTCCAAGCAACACCCATCCTCAGCCCTCCCTTTGTCAACCGTCTTTTCGTCTACATACCCTCAACAACTCTCGATTCCAGACTCAGCTTCACGCTCCCAAGCCAGCCAGTTCTAGCTTGACCAGTCCCTCCTTCATCGCCTTGGTGATCTCCTCAATGTTCTCAAAAGAGAACAGATTAAAGTGATGTCCCTCTACGTCAAAGATTTGGGCAAACATGTCCTTCTCGTACGCATCCCATCCTAGGTTGCGCTCCTCACGGCTCAGATCCACAAGACTGACCCCGTCTCCTTCCATCGGCACCGTCTCCTTGGCTCGGACCAACATGATGCGTGGCCGCTTTCCGGCCTCCCAGACTGGAGGAGTCCAGTCGGTGATCATCCGCCGGGCGTCGGCCATGGCACGGTCGGCCAGGATCTGGTTCTTTGACTTGCCCTCCTCCTTTGAATCATCTTTGGTGATCTTGGCAGTCTTGGATCGCGCGAGGGGGAAGATGGTGTCGACCATGAGAATCCCAATGACTTGGACTCCACTGCCGTCCTGCTCGAGCTGCTTCGCCATCTCAAGACTCAAGTGTCCTCCAAAGCTCCACCCGCCAAGGATGACTCGTACTTTTCCTTCTGCATTGCGTCGCTTGGGAAACTCGGGACTCTTGACGGCTTCCTTTACGAAACCGCAGTACAGACGAGCCAGGTCAGACAGGCCACCCTCAAAAGGCTCTCCGCTGCGAAAGTTGGGGTTGTGGATGCCGTACACGGGTCGGGATAGTGAGTTTAGGCAGTGGTAGGCAAAGGTTGTGCCGCCGCCATCGTGCATGAGGATGGCTGGGATAGAATGGCCGCTGGCGCCAGGACTGAGCCAGTCCTCTGGCTGGATGAGCTCTGGGTTTGAGTCCATGGCTCAAATTGTGGAGGGAATTAGTTGCGATGATGCTTGGCTTGTTCAACGAGAGGACAATGGGAGTTTGCAAGGGCACTTGACCAGCTCGTGAGCATGGGGAGATGTACCAAGAGCAAACGACTCAGGTTGCCAACAGGCAATAATTCGCTCAATGGCGAGATCCAATCAGGAATGCAAACCAAGACCAGATAATAGGAGAGGGACAAACAGGACAACAGCTGGTTAAACAGATAGAGACGATTGAGTGCATTGATTGTGATATCACCAAGTCAGATACACCCATGTCGCGTGGTGCAGTGCGCGTTGGGGCAAGTATCGGCGGTGAAACGTGGGTCCCACCGGCGCCTTACGGACCCAATCTTCGGAGGCCGGCCGGCGACACGGCATCATCACGGAAAACAGAGGCTTGGTTTGTTTTACACATTTATTCGTTTTAATGTTACATGGGCATCATTTCCCGCTACCAGTTAATTTTGGGTTTCCGCCTAGGCTTGCTCTCGGACTCTGTCGTCGGCTGAGGCTTGGACTCTCTCGTTGATCGAATTTCGGGCTCTCTCGTTGATCGAGCCTCGAACTCTGTCGTTGGCTGATCCTTGGACTCTCCCGTTGATCCAGCCTTGTCAATGCCCAAGCTGGTAAAGTCCGTCTCCATGACCTTAGGATCCGCCAGATATCCCTGCAGCTTCCAAAGCAGTAGATGGAGGTTCCTCATAGCCCGAGATTTCCATGGCTTCAATATCAAGACCTCCCGACCTCGGAAGACCCAAGTCTCTTTTCTTAGCTTCCTCACTCCCTTCTCGCCCAGCAGCCACATCAGGTCATGAACTGGCACCTTTTCGGCTCCAAATTTGGGATCACCGTCAAGGGTCTGATAGACTGACTTTTTACCCTGCCACCGCTTGGGGAGCCATAGTATACATCCGCCCTTGTAAGCCATTTTTGTATCCTCCCAACCCGCGCAAGGGTGGATGAATTTGTAAATTGGGGGGTCACTGCTATTGGCACGCAGGATGAGAGTGTTGATGGCCTCTTTTCTCATCATCTCGAGGAGTATCTCGTCCATGGCCTCCCGCCATATTCTCCGCTCTCCTTTCGCGAGCATAGCCATTCCGTGACGGCTAGAAGTCAGGTTGGATAAATATTTGTGGTTAGAGCCGGGCGTGCTCAGGATCTCGATGGCCTTCTTCCGAGCGAGGACGTAAACTGTCAATGGCGCTCGTCGAGGTCGTCGTTCCTGAGATGATGCATCCTCGACCGCGGTAGACTCTGATATACCCTCGATGGCGGCAGATTCTGCTGTACCCTCGACGGTGTCGGACTCTGCTGGAGACGATTCTGCTTCTGCAGTGATGGCCTCTGATCCCAAGGAGGCACCTTCGGCTGGCAATTTGTCCTCGATAGCAGCAGACTCTGATGTGCCTTCGACACCGGCAGATTCTGACGTACCCTCAACAGCAGTAGCCTCTCCTGGAGACGATTTTGCTTCCGCGGCAATAGCCTCTGATCTCAGGGAGGCGCCTTTGGTTGGCAACTCGTCCTCGACATCCTCCTCGACATCTTCCTCGACATCCTCCTCGACATCCTCTTCAACATCCTCCTCACCATCCTCCTCAACAACTTTCTCGAAAACCTCCTCCAAATCCTCCTCGCCTTCGACTAGATATTTTTCGCGCTTCACTCGAGGTAGTGAAAGGTTGGGATCGTGAAACGGTTCGAGGTTTTCAAAGGTCAGCGGGCCGGGTGCCCACCATCCAGCCTTGATGTTTGGATCTGGGTTGTCAACCAGTTCAAAGTCCTGGTAAAAGTATCGAGGGAGAGAGGTGTTTGAGTTGTTGCAGCGTCTCATGGGGGTCATGAGCGCCAATGCTATACACGGCGTCAGTAAGAACGCCTCCATCATGGAATATCATGCCTACCGAATGGGTTGTTGGACAACTTTTTCCGGAACTGCCCTGATATCTTTCCCGCAGTCTTCTTTTTCGGTCGACGTTTCGCCTTCATCCATTTTGGATCCAAGACCGGAGACAAGGGTAGCGATCCGCTTGCCGTCTTGACCGTCTTGGATTCAATGTCAATCTTGAGGGGGTTGCCCTCCGCATCATGGCCGAGTCCAGATTCGACCTGCTTGGTGAGGGCCTCCTCCGTGAGGTCGGACCTATCCCAGGACGCCCATCGCTTCTGGGCTTCGGCGCTCAGGCGATTGACCTGAAAGCGGCCTGTGCAGGTTATTGCGCATCGTTTCATGGCGGTCGGAGGGTATGTCGTCAATCCGTCACCCGTCGCGAGCCATCGCGTGGGCGTTGAGAAGATGGAAATTTGTGGTTGCCAGATCTGAGATCTGAGTGGCTGCGTCGACGCTCCTAAACGTTAGGGTGGGGCCTAAGAGCGCCGTAAATAATGGAATCTAAGAGCAATGCCTTGATAGCACGTGAAAGGGGGTTTTATTCCATGAGGATTAAATAAAAAATACCATTCAAACTGGCTTATAATTTACTTAGACTTCTTGAACTTTCCTATTATTTCCTGCATAAAAACTTCATAGCATGAGCTTGTGGGAGTTGGGTCTGATCAGCTTTGTCTAAATCCATTCAAAACTTGAGAGAATACGGTAGGCGTTGCGCATCTGCGCTTGGAGAAAAGCAAGGAAGATACACGCGATGCAACCTCGACGTCTATGATAATAATCTAGACAGGTCTGGTAGACGGGAGTTTACCGACGGCTAAGAACAGGGTCATATCAAAAGGTCACAACTCATCAAGCAGATCCAGGAATAGAGGGCCTCACAAATCTAGATTCAGTAGCTCTATAAAACCCGTCGCGTTGGAACTGGGGTACGGGGGTTTTTTCTCCTAGCAATACTTCGATTGGCATAGTCAGATCGATAGTGTCGGAGGGGAGATGCAAGGCATGGGGTGCTCAGATCTTATACCAAATGAATGGGTCAACCCACTTCCCGGGACCCCTGACTTTTCTCTTGTTGACCACGATTCAGCCCCAGACTATTGACAGTCTAGATTCTAAGAGTACGTAGGCGAATATAGGAAATGACCGCGTGAGCAATCAGCTCTCCATGGATGATGATGAATCTCATCTTGGGTCCAGATCTTGGGGCCCGGCACGTCAGTGTGGATTCTGTATATTTAACCCGGGGTCTTGGCTCCTTTGTTGTGGCTTTCTGTGACACTGCGCTCATCTGCATGAAACTTGCTCGATATTTGTTGGTCTTTTATTACAAAGACAGCAAATATGGTTGCATTCAAGTCGACGCTGCTATTGCTCAGCGCAGCAAGCACCATTTTCGCGTTGCCTGCCAGCACCAATAACCCTGAATACGGTATCAATGGCGAGTTGCTAGACTCGGATATCGACAAGAGGTCAAACTATTACGCCCCTCCATACCCAGGTATGCGGCAGTTGGAATATGTCTCGAGTACCCCTTCCGATTCCTTTATCCAGTCTGCAATTCTCGTGACCAGAATTATCGGGCCTTGAAGAACAACAAGGCAAAGGGATCGGCTTTCTGTTCTGCCTACCTTCGAACCACCAAGACCAAGACAGTGACTCCGGTTGTTCGCAAGACCACCACGAAAACAACCACCAAAGTCGCCACGGTCCAGAAGACTGGCACTGTCAAAGCCAAGGCTTCCTACACAGTCACAGCCAAAGCGACAAGAACGGCCCAAGCAACTGTCACAAAGACTCGCACTAACCAACTCACCGATACTACCACCAAGAAGGTCACGGGCACTTTCACGAACAAGGTCACCAGCACTGCTACAGCTCAGATTACCGAAACTGTGACAGAGCAAGTCACGGACAGCGTGACGAAGCAGGTTACCAGCACTGCTGCTTACACTATCACGAATACCGTCACAAAGCAGGTCACCAGCACTAAAACTGAGGAGATCACAAACACGGATTCGTCCACGGTTACCTTAACGTAAGTATCTCCGCTGCTCTCCTTCTTTTTCAGACCTTAGGTCACTAACATATACTCCTATAGCTCTACGTAAGCTTCTCTTATTCCTAGGGTCACGAATCTCTTACTAAAACACCATCCAGAGCGGACACTCCCACAGCGACTGTCAGCCAGGGTATGTTATCATCGCACACATGTCCCTCGAGACAATCACTGACACATTTATCCAGAGTACCATTGTGCCATCAACGGCTATGGAACTGCCACCTACAGTCTTGCAGGGACCAGCGGCAGCGGTATCACTTTTGACACCTGCAAAGAGTACTGCTCTGGCGTTTCCGGCACCATCAGCTTCGGCTTTGGTGGTGAGCAGTGCGCTTGCTACAACCAACCAGCGTAAGTGAACTATCTCATTTTCCCCATCTTCCTCCCGGGGTTTCACTATCATGTTCGAAAGCGACAATGACTAAAAACGAAATAGCCAGGTCAATGCTAGACCACAAGCCTCTCAGACCGAATACTATTTCTATGACATGGGTTGTCCCTCTGCCAATCAGGTAAGCCAATTCAACTATTCTTGACAAGCCACCAGATTAATCGGGCTGAGCTAACTCTGACAACCAGCCTGCCAAGAGAGACTTGACCAAGCGTGTTCAAGTCCCTGCATATCTACCACGCCACAATCCCCGCGAAGTGAGCAGCGCCTGTTCGTGCCTCGTCACCAAGGCGCCAGCTCCAGCCACTACCACCGTTACCGCCAAGTATCCCAAAACGGTTGTGTCTACGGTGCTCAAGTGCAAGACTATCACAACGACGAAGCAGAGAACCGTTACTGTCACCGATCGCAAGATCTACACGGCTACAAGCTACGAAACTGAGATCGATAAACACTACAAGACGATCACGGTAATCAATCGCAACACAGCCACAGCCACCAGCCCGGTCACTGTAACGACGACTCAATACATTACCGTTACCGTCACGAACCGTAACACGGCTCACGCCACCAATTATAATACGGCCTACTTCACCAATGTCAACACGGTCTCCAGCACGGACACTGAAGTTGTTACTGCCACGAGCACAGATTACGTCACAATCACCCAGTATGATACCGTAACGAATACGGCTGTCGCTTATGCTACGGTGACGCCTGATACTGTTACTGTGACGCAGGGAACTACCTACATCTACGGGTCTTGAGACTGCTGAAGCGATGAAGTAGATGGGATAGATCAGAAAAGGCAGAGCAGCGGATGAGTAACTGAAGAAATAAAAAAGACCCAAAAATAATGAATTAAAATATCTTTAGATAAATTAGAAGCGTTTGTTATGATTTAGAGATTTTTAATATTTCACAGCTTTTGATCTTTGTCCGTGTAATTCCTTATGGCGTTTATGAGACCTAACCTGAGCTGCCACCGTCCCACGGGCCGAGCTCCGATCTAGCTCCCCCACCAATTCCGGTCGCCTGCCTAGACTTTCCATCACCAACTCCCTCGACCTCTACCACAATGCTTCTACGACCTAGGACGTTGCGCGTACTTCGCGGTGTGTCGCAGCAACATGTGAGGGCATTTGGCTTCTCTAGCTCTTCTGCGCCGCCATCGGCGCCCCCAATGGCCAACATTCCCATGCCCTACATTGAGGAATCATCGGTGAGCCAAGCTCGGTTACTTGCGATTGCTCATGTCTAACGGTCTCAGGCTGCTGGAAGAAAGACCTGTCCGTTTTTTCCGACTGTCGCGACCGGCTAGAGATGCTAATGGGTTGCAGGGGACATCTTTTCCAAGCTCCTACAGGTAAGGTCCTGTTCATCGTGTCGAGTCCCAGCTTACATTTGTAGGAACGCATCATCTGTCTCAATGGCGAAATCAACGATTATATGTCCGCTTCCATAGTCTCCCAGCTACTATGGCTCGAGTCCGATACCCCCGATAAGCCCATCACGATGTACATCAACTCTCCCGGCGGCTCGGTCACGTCAGGTACGATCGCTCGAATACACGCCCCGGTCGAAGCTCACCAGGTGTAGGAATGGCGATTTACGATACAATGTCATACATCAAATCCCCCGTGTCGACGGTCTGTGTTGGTGGCGCCGCGTCTATGGCCGCGATCCTCTTGGCGGGAGGTGAAGCTGGTAAGCGGTTCTCGCTACCGCATAGTTCCATCATGATCCACCAGCCATTGGGAGGAACCCGAGGACAAGCTTCGGATATCCTGATTTATGCGAACCAGATCCAAAAGATACGAGAGCAGTCGAACCACATCATGCAGTACCACCTCAACAAGGCCAAGGGTCACGACAAGTACACGATCGAGGAGATTAATGACTTGATGGAGCGAGACAAGTACCTGTCGCCAGATGAGGCCTTGGAGCTGGGTGTTATTGATGAGATTCTGACGAAGCGACCTGAGTCGGAGCAGGAGAAGAAGGACGGACAATCGGAAGCTCCCAAGACCAGCTAGGAAAGTGTTGAGGGAGGAAAAGGACGGCAATGTCGGTGAGAATCAGACATGCCGCTGACGTTCAAGCAGAACATGTTTGTCAGTTTTATGCTGACTGTTTAGCCCACGCCATGTACAACTAGATACTGATTAACCTAGCAATACATCTGTTTTGGCTGATTTAGTTAAGACATCAACGCGGCTTACCCGCCAAGGGCGCAAATCTCGGACTCACGGCTCGGTTTACTACTTTCTTCAATCCGAAACAGACTGAGATAAGCCTAGAGCAGAACCGCATCATCAAGGTCCTCCCCAGACGAATGAGGTTCAAACGTTCCAGACTGAGCGATTATTAGCAATGCCAGGGGCTGGGAGACGTCAATCCTTGAGAGAAAACCGCGCGCCCAGCCAGAGCGGATGGCTTAGTTCTGCTGTCAGATTGGTTAAGACGAGGGATGGCGGTTTGACTCGTAGGGAAATAGAGTGGGACGCTCTCCAGTTCACGGCGTCTTGCGCGGTTACTGGGGTTCGGAGATGTTTTGGGTTGGTGATGCAGGGGAACTTGAGTTGGTGTTCCATGAGTACAAACTTGGGAGGCGAAGTGTTCATGATCAGTAACCCTCCTCAAAGAAGAAGAACACAATTGAAGCCATAATCTCTTGCCCCCATTCAAAAGCCGAGCTTCATGAGAATTCCTCTCCTCATGAACGAGAAAATGCCGGTATCGAGATCAACGCACCTAACGAGGCTTGACGTCATGCCTTTATCCACAAGCCCCACTCAAGGTACCCCTCGATGCCCCTCCATGTTCGAGCGGGAAGTTTTGGAGGGGAACCCTTAAAGCCACCAGTTGCCTGAAGATCCTCGAGGAAGATCAGCCATATTTTCCGTGTTTCTTTCGTTTTTTCTTCTCATCTTTTGCGCGGTAAGAGCTTTTCAAGATGGAGTACGATACCAAGACCCGTGAGTGTCTCGAAGCGTTGGTAGAGCTGCGACTAACTGCCTGATTACAGCCGTGTCTGTCACCAGCGATCCCAAGTCGTTTGCTAGCGACTCGGTCCGACAGCGATGGCCTGTTATTCTGGTGAGAAGTCTGGATGTGCTAAATTGAGTCCAGCTGTTGACGCGACTAGACCCAATCCATTGACGACGTTTATCGAGCTGTCACCAAGGCCACCGACCCCGAGGCCATCGCAGAGGGCAAGAAGATCATTGAGCAGCTGGCTGGCCTCAAGTACGAGGTCGAGCACGACCGAAAGCTTACGTACGGAATTCCCTCACCGTCGAACACCTCGACGCTGACCCCTATAGTCCTATCCCCGACGATGGCTTCACAGACGAGATTACGGCATACAACAAGGAGGTTGAGGCCCTAGGCCCTGATGCCCACTGGTACGATGTGCCGTGGCTCTTCTCCGAGTGCTACATGTATAGGTACGAAGCTCAAGAAGCTTCTAACAGAACCAATGCTTACACCCAACAGACGCATCAGCACCTTCTTCCGCCTGACCAAGCACTGGAAAAACTACGACATGTTTGCCCGCCAAAAGATGGACACGTTCCGATCGTCACGTCCCGCCGTCCTTGAGCTCGCCAGCAAGTACAGGCAGTTTATCGAGCAGCTCCGCGCCGACAAGGACTCGACCCACGACGCCAACGCCGAGAGGCTCCTCTTCACCGAAATGTTTGAGATTTGCCTCTGGGGCAACGCCACCGACCTTTCCCTGCTCACAAACCTGACCTACGAGGATATTCAGAAGCTGCAGGGTGCTGAGGCTCGTAAGGCGGCTGAAAAGAATATTCTGGTTAATGATCTTCCCAAGGCGTATGAGATTCTGAAGAAGGCTCAGGCTGAGGGCAAGAAGGAGCGTCGTGTTGACTTTGTTCTTGATAATGCTGGTTTTGAGCTGTATGTCGACCTTATCTTGGCCGGCTACCTGCTTTCTTCCGGCCTTGCTACCCAGATCGTCCTCCGACCCAAGTCCATCCCCTGGTTCGTTTCGGATGTGCTGCCTAGCGATTTCAGCGGCCTCCTTAACGCCATCGCCAACCCTCGTGCCCTGTACGAGACTGCATCTGAGGATGAGGAGCTTCAGGGAAAGACCCCTGAGCCTCTGTCCGACGAGGCCGAGGGAGACCTCAAGCTCCTTTTTCAGGAGTGGGCCACATTCCACTCTGAGGGTCAGCTTATTCTCCGCCCTAACCGATACTGGACTGCTGGCGGTAGCTTCTGGCGTCTGCCTCATGAGAACCCTGAGCTGCACGAGGAGCTCAAGCCTTCGGAGCTTATCATCTTTAAGGGTGACCTGAACTACCGAAAGCTGACTGGTGATGTAAGTTATTCCACTCCACTGAGAAGTACAACGCTGACAAATAATTAGGCCTGGTGGCCGGCCACCACACCCTTCACCGAGGCTCTTGGCCCCATGGGTCCCTCCTCAGGCCTCAACGTCCTATCTCTACGAACCTGCAAGGCCGACGTTGTCGTTGGTCTCCCTGAGGGCAAGGACGAGGAGCTTAGGAACCTCGAGGGCGGCGGCGGCGACACTGGTGCCCGACGATGGGCTTGGCACGGAAAGTGGGCAGTCGTTTGCCTATCCCAAGGTCATTAAAAGTGCTTTTTTCATCAGATGAATATTGATGATGCAGTTTCTTGTTGATATGAAGGAATGATAGACTTATAGAGAAGGAAAATAACCGAGACAAGGTGCAGCTAGGATGTAGACGATCTATACGATCCATGCCTTTGAAGCTCGGAAATGACCCACAGTAGGATTCACATCCTTGCCGCCATCTCAGGTACTTTGACTTGATTGGTCGCAGTGACCGCCGTTGGTGACCTGATTGCATTATTGCTTCTTATTTGCAGTCGAGAGAATGGGCCTTTAAAGAGAGTGAAAGTCCCGTGCTGTTGCCTTGGGGCTCTTGGATTCTTCTTCTTTGTGGCTTTGTCCAGCATAGTCGCGACAATGGGTATCCTCTTCTCTCGTCCGGCCCAGGAAACCTTTCCCGATGGAGCATTTCCCGTTGGGAACATTTCATCCCTCAACGCTTCTTCCATCGCACCTTATATCGGAGTCAACACGGGCTTATACGGCGGCATCTCAAAGTCCAATCTTCCTCCGATACCCTTCGAGTGGATCGTCTCCCCAGATGCAGACCGAGTCACGGATTCATGTCCCAACGGAGACAATATCCTCACCTTCTTTGGTGTTTCGGAGGGTGTCATTAGTATTCTTGTGCCCTTATTTGCATATCGCCCTTTGATATACAAACTCTCTCGAGGATATTTTGGTCGACGCACAAAGAACTCTATCATTGTGGCATGGACAGTTACATTTGCCTGTCAACTCCTAGCCAACGCCATCATCGCTGGCATGATTGGCAACACGCCTGGTTATGGTCATCTCAACATGCTTCACATCTTTACAGTCTACATGACTCGTCCCCGCTTTCATTTCATCGTCTTGGCTCTTCTGCGCAGTCTTGTTGGAATAAAGCGCCCTCGCGAATGGGACAAAACAACCATCATCAATCGCCGCCTGGACAACCGAGTCGAGTTTCCTTTTACAGATTCTTACATCGCTACTGTCGCTTCTGAAATGCTCATGTTCATCATCTCGGCAATCTTTACGGGAGTGACATGGCATCGGTACCCAAAATTCGAAATGTCGGCTCGCGAGTACATGGACGACCACATCAACTACGTCTCGAGCATTCCGGGAGTCATGTGCCTATGTATTCTTGGGTTTGTACCCATTTACAAGCGCTATGGCGACGCTTTTCCGGTCGAGGGGAGGAGATACGAGGCGGCCCGGCGCTGGGGTGCGAGTGTGGCAGCGGACGGCACGACGAGAATAGGCGTCAAGAGAAATGTATACAAGGGCGCGGCTGTGAAGAGGATTGGAAGCGCAGTGGCTGCAGCGTTATTGATGGGATATGCCACGTTGGTGCAATGGTCATACTGGACGAGGCTCTTGGAGCTGCCGGGTGTTTTGTGAGTACTATGTATGTGACAGACGGCTTGAGCTAACGCAGATAGGTTCTGTCCACCAAAGATGATCGAGACAGGGGTCATTTGGACTGTTTTCACCTTGATAGGTAAGTTAATTGGCCTTGGTTTTGATCTGTTGCTGATGAATGATAGGTGTATTGGCTGGGGCAGCCTCATGATCGTTGGATTTGGCCATCTATGCCCTCAACTGCCAAATGATTGGTTCCCTTTACTCAGATTACCTCTGAATTGCTTTTCATCTGTTTAAGTTAAGCTCAAAATACACTCATAGAGCATGCGTAGTCTCGGAATCTCTGCTGTTTATTATTCGTGGGGTGAAACTCTTCCTGATCTTTCATTCACCATCGTCTCATGGGCTGTTCGAAGTAGTGATTAGAACAAAAAACACACCTCTAGCCATGATTCATTTCTAGAAAATAGTTTAAATCGGCTTTGGCCACCCGATGACCTTGAATCATTCCAACTTGTTCGTGCGAGGTGTAGGTTATACATCAGTAGAGAAGAATTTAGGACACGATCACTTTCCGGCTACACTTCTTCAGAGCAGGTATGCGGACACGGATTTGTTTATAAAACTAATCTCGATGCCATCTCTTTCAACTCCCGTTTACTGAATTGACTATGTCTCATTTTTCGCCTTGGCCTCAGATTCTCGTCTGGCCTTGGTGGCGGCCACCTGCGCTTCGATCTCGGCAGCGATGGAGAATGGAGTGCGAGCGCCCGTGCTTTGAACTCGATTCTATTTCCATATTGTCAGGTTTTTTGTTTTGCATGTGTTGGGAGGACTGGTGTACCTGGTTGGCCTGGAGTCGCCCATCGTCATAGTGCTGTGGACATGACTGCGCGTTCGGCCTAGCTGCGAGGCACTTGTGCTTGGTTATCAGGCCTTGTGGTGTTTCTTTTCCGTGTATTAGCACTTGTCGAGACTCGCAGGGCGCCAAGAACGAGGGAACGAACCAGTTGTAATCTCTTGGATTGGCCCTTCACCCGTGGCTTCTTTGGCAATGTCCTCGAAATGCTGTACGACTTCACGAGAAGGCATTTTGACTGTTCTTTGGAGTAGGATTTCGCGTTGTAAAGATGCTGTAGGGCTTCAGGTGTGTTGATGTAGGTATTGATGGATGGGAGTGAGGGACAGGATGCGGACTAAGAATGAGCTGCTAGTTGCCTGGAGGCATTCCTACTCTCCGTGATTCATGGCCTTACGTCACCGATTTCACAAAATAGAGCGATGAAGGGAATTTGTGGTCTATTTGGCAAGCAGTTGGTCGCACCTGTGTCATCGTGAACACCAGTTATGAGAGGCCACGACGGTGAGCGTAGCTTAGGGGAACAGTTATTGAGCAGGTGAGCCCTAACACTATTCCGAATTAATACACAAGGTATCATAAGCATGGAAGCGTCCTGAATCAATTGGTGTGTGCCCATTGCCCAAAGAGCAAGTTGGATGAGGCTGGAATAGATAACTGTAAAAGGTCCAACATGAGGATACCGATGGCCTGGGCCCTGCCAAACCTACCCCGAATTCCCGGCTTTAAGCGTGCATGATTAGCGGCTCATGTCGCATGGCCGAGACCTCATGAGAACTGGATGGCGGTCAATGGATTGTCAGCCAGTTTACAGGCTAAACGTAGGGTAAGAGATGAGGGAATATGCTCATGGAATATTAAATATTTTTAATAGTCTAGAAGCAGTTTGAATAATCTCTTCACGTCCATCAAGGCTCCCGGACCGGGGTAAGAGTTACCTCGACAACCGGTGCCATCTTCTTTCCCATTCTGGATGCCCCATGCCCCGCAAAATGTTCAGCCGGAGCCGGGGCTGTCAGGTGACGGGGTAATATTGGAGCTCCTTCACCATGAGCCCAGACTCCAACATCTCGACAGTTGCTCAATCCGCGTTGCGCTACTGATCATCATGGAATCAAATGGGTCAAGGCCGCTGATCCCCCGGATTCCAAGCGGAATGACCCCTCAGGATTATGCCGCGTCGCCTCCCCGGCCGAGGAGGCATCTCCGCTCGCGCGAGGGATGCTTGACGTGCAAGTGCGTATAGACTCAATCAATGCAGATTGTAAACTGACAGTTGCGTTAGGAGGAGAAAGGTCAAGTGTGACGAGCAGAGGCCGCGGTGCTCCCATTGCGAGAGACTCAACTTTGAGTGCAAGTGGCGACCTCAGCAACGATCTACGGCTCAAAGGAGGCAGGCAAACAACGACGTGGGCAACCAGCAACCTGATCAAAACCTCTCGCCTGCGACAGATGCATCACCAGGAGCCTCGGTATTTCAGCCTGCACATGCTGTGGATGAAGTGTTTGACTACGCGAGCTTCATGTGGGACTCGGGCGACTTCTGGCAGCAAGTGTCTCCAGATATGAATCCAAATCCAGGGCTCGAGGCGCATATGCTGGTAGGTCTACAGGTGAAGAAGGCCAATGGACATCTAGTAACTTGGTATAGGCTGCACATTCACAAATCACCTTTCCGGACAGGACAACATTTGCAAACCCCTTTCCGGGGTCATCCGTCACACAAAGCAACGACAGTCCAGACAAAGCGCCCTTGCCTCAAGGAACTGGGAGCGACAAGTTGATGGACTTTTTCGCCAGTTCTGTCAATCCCCCTATTATTGCAGAAGTCGAGACACAGAAGAAGTGGGTTTCAATGCGGCAGGCTGTTGTTGAAATGGCCAAGGTCTCCCCAATGGTTCGACACGCGATACTTGCTTTTTCGAACCTATTGCTCTCTCGGAAAGATGGAACGTGGAACACAAACGACCAAGGTCACTATGAGCATGCTGTAGCAGAGGTTGCTAGTCGTGATGGCTCCCTCATGACGGAGCACAGCACTGCACGCGAATACCTCCTTGCAGCTCTATTCTTCCTCGGTTATATCGATATTCTCGAAAGTCGTCTCGACGCGGCGCACTCCAACCTCAAGCGGGCATATATCTTGTTTCAAGCAAGCAATAAAGGCACCTTGACATCGAACGAAAAGCAGTTGCTCCTATGGATTCGACTTTTGGACGGACGAGCGGTATCGGCGGGTGGCGACGGTCTGTTCTTGACAAAGGACGATGAGATTTTGCTTGTGGAAGCGTCACCTGCAAGTCTTGACGGGGAAGTCGACGATGTTTCCAGGCCCGATGGCGCCGACGACATTGAGGATGTCCTCTTCCAAGTGTTGTACCAACCTGGTGTCGTCTTTTATCAAAAGGTGCAGAGCTTCATGGGGAGAATCTCAAAGATCGATCCTTGGCATCGTTCGAGGGGTACTGTCGAGGATGAGATAGAGGTCATGAACATCGGAGCCGTGATTGCAGCTGACCTGCGGACCCTGTACGAGCAGCGTCCTCCGCTGATGGACTATGCAGTTGCAGGGAAGCTGACGGAGCCGCACGTCTCGAAACACTTGGCTTTTGTAATCACGAGGGCTTTCCGCACATATCTCGCCAACTTTCACGCCAGCAAGGTCCACTTACACCGCGTCGCTTACAAGACTCTCCCCCTGACAAAGGAGGCGTCCGAGGCGCTGGATCAGATTCGGAAGTTGGCTCGTCAGATTGTGGAAGACCTGGAACCCGAGGATATCCTACCGGTCAACATGCTCTGGCCTCTGCTGATGCTAGGCGTCGAGGAGCAGGATCCAAACGAAAAGGTGTGGATCAAGACGCAGATTCTCAAGATGGAAAAGGTGGCTACCAACGCTCGCATCACTGCCCAGGTTCTCGAAGAGGTTCAGGCCCGGCAGGAAGCGGGCAAGGTGCGAATGGATATCCGAGCCGTCATGCATGCCGTCTTCAACTCGTGCTTTGCCATCGTCTGAGCTCATGACGCATGCAACAACGGTTCAGCTGCATGGTCTTTGTTCCGAGGAGCCACTCGCCATGTCAACCGGCAGAGCATCACCCTAGAGCCCACCCCAGAATCCACATCGACAATACCGATGACCCGGTCCGGTCGGCTTTAGTCTTTCAAGGCACGAGGTACAGCTTCGATCGCTTCCAAAGACCCCTGCCTGGTGGTCGGCTCGACGCCCCACACACACTCTTGGTGCCGATCGGATGCGGTTGACATGCTATCCCCCAACTTCCCCGCATGAAGCCATTGCCGGAGGTTAGAGCTTCACCGGTACGACAGCTCGCGAGACATGTTGCTGTTGTTGCCTCGAGACGTGGCATGACGTCGTTTGAGCTTGATGGAGACGCCGCTGGAGACTCCGTGGGGGCGGGATTGAGCATGACACGAATAAGTCGCTGTTAGTCCCACGCAGGAAACCAAGTCTTTGTTTCTGGTCCCCAAGGCAACTTTTTCTTTTACTTTACTCTTCGTCTGCATCCTACGGAGTTGGTTTCTTCTTTCAAACTCACATCAAACTCGATCAAAATGGGTTCAATTGCGACGACAAAGGGCAAGCCCTTTCCTCCTGGAATTCACGTTCCTTGTCTTACTTGGTTTGCCAATGATGCGAACCAGGAGATTGACTGGGATCTTCAGAAGAAGCACATTGAGTTCCTTGTGAACTCTGGTCTTGACGGTAGTTCGTGAACCTGACGAGCCTCACTCAATTCATCGCTAACAGTCTGGTAGTCGTCATTGCTGGCACCAACGGCGAGGCCGTGACCCTCACAGCGGCCGAAAAGTCGCAATTGGTACGAACGACTCGAGAGATTGCGACCCTTGCCGGTCGTCCCAACATCACCATCACACTCGGCACCTCGTCGCAATGCACCCGAGAAGTCATCAACGAGACACAGCTTGCCAAGGATGCAGGCGCCGACTTTGTCCTTGTCCTGACACCCAGCTACTTCCACTTTGCCATGACGCAAGATGCTATCGTGGACTTTTTTGAGGAGCTGGCCGACGCGAGCCCTGTGCCCGTTGTCATTTACAACTTTCCCGGTGTCGTCGCTGGACTCGACGTCAACTCGGAGATGCTGGAGCGCCTTGGACAGCACCCCAACATTGTCGGCGTGAAGCTGACATGTGGAGGTATCGCCAAGGTCGCTCGTGTGGCTGCTCAGTACAAGCCCGAAGAGTTTACAGCTCTCGCCGGACAGAGCGATTGGCTCGTCCCCGCCATGGCCGTGGGAGCCACAGGAACCATCACGGGCGTCGCAAACCTGTACCCCAAGGTCTGCACACAGATCTTTGACCTCTACAAGGCCGGCAAGACGCAAGAAGCCGAGGCCGCACAGCTCCGTCTGGCCAAGATGGAATGGGGATTCGCCAAGGGAGGCATCAACGGTACAAAGTGGGTTGTGGCCAAGCTGAGGGGGTATCCTCTTGAGAGCTGTCACTGCAGACGCCCGTATCCCAAGTATAGTGATGAGAGCAAGCAGGAGTGGATTCTCAAGGTTGTAGAGCCGCTTGCTGTTGTTGAGAAGAGTATTGGGAAGAGGGGGATTGATGCTTAAGGCAGTGTGTGGGTTGATAGACTTGGTATAGAGTACATGAATGCAATGGAAATTATGAGCATGAAATGAACTTGTGGTTTTCAATTGTGTGACTACGTCTTGTGGAAGATAATAACTAGTCGCTGTGAGCTAGCTGAGCCCTCAATTGAGCTCCCTGACAGTGCCTTGGAGTGTTGTCATGAGAAACACCACTCTCTCACATTACGTGCCAACCGGTCCTCCTTGACATCATGATACCATTACCTCGGATCCTTTAGGAACTCGAGCATCAACATGATCAAACATCCCTGCTCCATCTGATCTGACCAGACTGAAGAAAAACCATTCCCGAGTCAGAATATCCGATCATCGGCCCAAGCTAACCCGAACGCAACACACTTTGACTCCCCCGCACACCCCAATCCCTCCAATCGCTTCCCTCGCTCGCCTCGGCTCTCGCTACTCGGATGTTATGCCATGGATACAACTTTGGTTCCTAAACTCTGGCATGACTCTCCACCCCTCGTGACAATCCCCAGATTTCCCAAACTGCCCCCTTCTCAGTGGAGCCTATCAGTTTCTCCAACTTTTGACGCACACGGGCTTTCACCGAAAAGTCTGGGGATGATTCCTTTGGTTCTCTTTTCCCCCGCTTTTTACCCCGGTCATGGTTCGTTTCCCAGAAAAACAAGGTCATGGAGAACTTGGGATAAATATGTCTAGCCTCCCCGCGGGGGGGGTAATTGGTTTCTTTCTTATCAGAGCATGAGCAGGGATCGTCCCGTTCAATAATTGAGTTTTTACAAATTTGTTGTTCATCAACCTCACGTACTCACAATGGGTGGCTTTCGCGCTGTCGAGGATCGGCCTACGCCGAAGGAGGTGTATAACTGGCGTCTCTACACTGAAGCCGCTGTCATCGCTACTGGATCACTGCTGTGAGTAACATCTATGGTGAAACTTTTTTTTGTCTCCGTATCTAACTGTTGTAGGTTCGGTTATGACTCTGCTTTTGTCGGCACAACCATTGCCCGTGATAGCTTCAAGCGTGACTTTAAGATCAGCCCGGACGAATCTGCGGATATTTCTAGCAACATTACCGCGACCTTTCAGGCCGGTGCCTTCTTTGGTGCTATCATTTGCTTCCTGGGTATGACTCATTGTAAAAGTTGGATACACAAGACTAATGTTGTCAGTCACTGAAAAGGTCGGTCGCAAGTGGGCACTGCAGGGCAATGTTGTCGTCTTTCTCATTGGTGCCATCCTCATGACGGCTGCTACTCATCAACTCTCTTATATCTGTGAGTATTCATCCCATTGATTTGTCAACACCATCTAACAGTTTCAGATGCTGGCCGTGCTCTTACCGGAATCGCCTGCGGTGCCATCACAGCCACCGTCCCGAGTTACATCGCCGAGCTCTCCATCGTCTCAATCCGCGGTATCCTAACTGGTCTCTTCGAAGTCGCATACCAGATCGGTTCTCTCGTCGGTTTCTGGATCAACTATGGTATCAACCAGAATATGGATCCTCTCAGCGCTACGAGCTGGCGTGTCCCGATGGCTGTGCAGATTATTCCCGCGGGTATCCTCTTGGGTGGTGGATTCTTCCTCCATGAGAGTCCACTATGGTTGATGCGCAAGGATCGTGAGGAGGAGGCTACTCAGGCGCTCGAGAGTCTGCGAAAGCTTTCGCGTGATCACAAGTGTAAGTGGATCAACAGTAGCATACAGAGACAAGTATTGACATATAGTAGATCTTCAGGAGGATCTCGACATGATCCGAAGCCGTCTGGCTGATGAAGCCATCATCGCTGGCAAGTATGGCTCCGGTTCTTGGGCCTTCTTCCGTGGTGCTCTGTATGAGCTGTCTCGCAAGGGCATGTGGAACCGTGTTCTCCTCGTCTTCTGCTCCTTTGCTCTACAGAACATGTCTGGTGCTGCCGGTAAGTTTGATGATGCCTGCGAATTTGCATAGACTAACACGAGACAGCCATCAACTACTACTCTCCCACCCTCTTTGGTTCCCTCGGCATTAGCGATGTAGCTCTGTACACTGGTATCTACGGTCTCGTCAAGGCCGTTGCTTCCATCATCTTCTATGGTGCCCTCATCGACATGTGGGGACGACGCAATCCCACAATCATCTCATCCGCCATGTGCTCTACCTGCCTGTGGATCGTGGGTGCGTACGTCAAGATTGGCCACCCTGCTAGCATCATTGCCGAAGGAAGAGAGCTTTCTCCCTCTACGGCTGCTGGTGGCAAGGCTGCCACAGCCATGATCATGATCTACTCCGTCTTGTAAGGATTGACCCCCTTTCCACCTCGAGCCGTTTCTAACCCTGCTCAGCTGGTCCTTCGGTCTCAACGGTATCCCCTGGATCGTTTCTGCCGAGATCTTCCCCGGTGCCCTGCGAAACTTGACCGGAACATGGGCCGCCTGCATCCAATGGTAAGATCTCCCAAAATCCTCAATCTTGACAATTACTTACACTGTCTCCAGGGTCACCCAATTCGCCATCACCAAGGCCCTCCCCTACATCTTCAAGTCCTTCGGCTACGGAACCTGGTTCTTCTTTGCGTGCTGGATGATCATCGCCGCCATCTGGGCCTTCTTCTTCCTCCCCGAGACCAAGGGCAAGACTCTCGACGAGATGGATGTCATGTTTGGCTACGTTCATGATCGGGCGCCTAGCGAGCACGACGATTTCGTCAAGACGGCTTCAAAGGGCTCTGCGATTGAGCACTCTGAAGAGAGAGTCTAAGAAGGTCGACTGTGTGGGATTGGAGTCTGGTGTGAAGTGTAATGGTTGTGTGGATGTTGGAGTTGTGTTGCGTCGTGGCCATTGTTGGAGTTGAAGCTACTGTCACCTATCAAGGATACCCCTTACATAGCTCCAATGATGTAAGCCATTTCAAGAGCTTGGACGCAACCTGTTCGTGGTTTGATCTATTAAAAGTACCCTTGAATATGCGGGTGGTGCAGATATCCCTGTCGAGTGAACAAAGAACAAGACGCACCTGCAAGGTACAGCCGTCAGCACAAGCCTGTTATAGCAACTTCTTCAAGCCTGATCCGTATGTTCTTTGTATGTTTCGTCTATTAAAAGGAACGGGTGGCGAGGGGTGGTAGGGGATGTAAGAGTCTCAGCTAAACAGAATGAGAGCCTGTCTCGACGGTTATATAGAAGATTATGGTATCCGAGGCAACGAGGAACGTGAAACATCATTCAAGAGACAGCATACGTAATAATGGCATCTACTCGATATTGCGCTGGCGCATTTTCGCAGCCTCGTGCTCAACAGCAACCACAGACCATCAACCCAGCTTTGTTATTGAACCGAGGACCACATGCCCTTCAATCTTCAGAAGCTCCTTCACAATCCCTTCATTCTTCAAACTTCACTCAGCCACAACCTAACATCACCTCAAGTCCCTCTCCATATGCCACCAATGCAAGAGATGCGTGGATGGGTAGCTCAGGGTACCCAATGAGCTTCACAAGGAGTAGCATGGGAAACTTCCGACCAAACTGGGAGTTATCCAGCTACGAACCCGAACCATTAGAACCTCTCTTTGGCCTAGAACAGCATCTCCCACCTCTACCATCCCCTCCTCAGCAGCGAACACCACCGGTGCCACGCTTCAGACCAAACGTTGGATGGGTTCCTCAACACCGTCAACCGACCTACTTTAACGCAAACGTCAAGGTCATGTGTAATGGACAGGAGAGATTGGTTCCACATCGTGCTTATGTCATGCAGACGAGAGTTAGATAGTTTAGAGCCCACTATTTAAATGATCAAGTAGCGAGTTGTCATTATTGATAGAGCGGATATCTGATACATCAACTTGGCTATTGACACATCCCTGGGGCGATCATTTGCAAATCATTGTCATAATTTCTTCCATTTCACTTCAAATAGTAATCATAGGCTGAGAATAATTGGAAATCCACATCAGAGTGTCCTTCTTCCTTGCTACAGGTGTCGTCTCGGTCAAGCATATCCTCATCAGCGTTTCTGCAATTACACACAAAATTAGGACGAGAAACATATAAATCAAACAGAGCTTCGAGGTGATCGCCTCTAACTTTTTATTCAATCATCATGCTAAGATTCAAGTCATGTATCATCAAATAGCCAAGTTCGTACATCCAATATTGCCTCGTATCAAACGCCGAATACAACAAGAGTATCAATCTGGGTATCAATATCTCAATAATCATCGCTCATGCACTCGGCGCCTTGGTATCGCCATCAACCTCGACTATACTAGTCCCATTACTCCCCCTTACCTCGTGCGCTGCCTCACCCCTGTGCGGCTGTTGCTTCCAGTGCCTCGCAGGGATACCATCACGGAAGAAGCCATTGATCTCCTCGATACTGCGACCCGTCACTTCTCCAACGCAGAAGTAGACGTAGGCCCAAGTAACGAAACATAGTCCCGTGTACACAAAACCAGTCTTAGGTCCGAGGTTCGCCGAGTAGTAGAGGTATGGGAGTGTAAAGACGGTCACCCAAACGGTCACCCAGAAGGCAGCGACGGCTACGGCGTAGATCTTGTTGCGGTTCCGACCGACGGCCATTTCAGATGCCTATCATGGATTAGATAGGAGTGTAGGTAGAGAAAGGTGTCCACTTACAATAGTCCAGCCAAGGGGTCCCCAGGCAAAGTTGAAAGCTACAATCTCAATAATAACAAAACTGATAATGACCTTACCGATAGTCTCGCTGGGGTTTCCACCAGGGATACCCAAGCAGCCAACAACAAAGATGGAAACAGTCATGATACCCGTTGTAATCATCAACAATGGCCGTCGAGGAAGCTTGTTAGCCAGCAACACAGCTGCCAAGACGACAAAAACCTGAATGATAAAGACAATCAGAGTCATGAGAAAGGGATCCTTTAGCCCAATGGCTTTGGAAAAGACAGTGCCAAAGTAATAAAACCATTGGATGCCGTTGATTTGCTGCGCAACCAACGCTCCCGCACTATACACCACCTTGCGTCTCTCTATAGGATCCGTAAGGAGCTGTATCCATGCTCCCTCGGTCTCGCTCGCACGTTCCCTCTCGAGATCCTCCTGTATGGAACGCATCACTGGCATCGGGTTGTAAGCCTTGTCTTCGTGATGAAGAAGGCGCAGCGACCTGTCGGCGTCATCGGGACGGCCGCGGCGGAGGAGCCAGCGCGGGGATTCGGGGACCCATGCTATTCCGAGGACGATTACAAGGGGGAAGATGAGCTGGAAGCCGATTGGGAAGCGGTAGGCAAAGGTGGTCTGGTTGTCAACTACGCCGCGGTTTATGGCGGCGGCTATGATCTGCGAGATGGATAGGGTGAGTTGCCAGCACATGAGGAGTGGGCTGCGGAGGGATTCTGGTGCGATTTCCTATACAAGCGTCAAGTCCCCGGGCTTGGTGTTCAGGGGTGGTTCAACCTACGCCCATGTATAGCGGCGACGTGGCCGAGAAGTTACCCACTCCGAAGCCTAGTACAGCTCTTCCGGCAGTCATGAGGGCCTTGCTAGATGTGGTGGAGAGCTGCATGACAACGCCGATGATAATGGCCAAGGTGCCCGATCCAAAGGCCCCCTTTCGGCCGAACAGGTCGTTCAGCGGTGCAGCAGCCAGCGAGCCGACTAGTTCGCCGACGTTGATCATGGACGTCATGACAGCTAGGCTGGCAGGGGAGATTTCGTAATCGCCGTCGGCATTGCGGTGGCCGAAGTGGCGGATGAAGACATCTACACCCATGAGACATTCTACCACTTTCAACACCACAAAGATGCATCACATACCAAGCGTACTAGTACCGTTGAAGTAGACGCCATCATAGCCGTAGAGGCATGCTCCGATAGCTGCGAAGCCGCAGAAAAGCCAGACGTACGGGTGTTGTATCTTGAACATGTCCGGGGCGGTGGGGAGCTCACTCGGGCCCGAGACTCGCGAATACAGGGCTGAAGGACCCAAACTAGTTCAAACGGTCTGGAATCTGGATCAGAAAAAAGGCCGGCACTTGGAAAAGTGTCCAGGATGTCGGCGTAAGATTGGGGGTTGAAGCTCCGGCATTCAATATCAAATGGAGTTGTTGAGCCGCCCGCAATACCACAGGATGAAGAGATAACATTTCTCTCCAATCCCCAATCCTCAGGGTCCCCCCTCGTGAGTAGCCGTCTTTTTCCTCTGCCTTCTTGTCATGCCCAACCTGCGGCGTCTTGCTCTTGTCCCCCCGCCCGCCTCGCTCTCGTTGGCCTGGGCATGCCGGGGTTGTCACAATAGAGTTTCGACGGCTTCGTCGCACGGAACCCGGATTCAGGGATACGCCTTGCTCCTTGGGGAACGCCGCGCCGTGGCTGGAAGGGAGATGAGCTGACGATCGAGACCACACGTGAGATGCCGTCGGCCGGGGGGATCCTTGGTTTGTGCTTTTTCTCCAAAGGTTCGTTTTGGAGTTTGCTCCGGGAAAAGGAGAGAGACGAAACGAAACTACACCTTTTTGCCTTTTTGGAGATGGCACGAGGTTGGGCATGAAGAAGGCGGGCAAAGATAAAATTGGACGTAGTAAGTGAAAGGATGATCGAAATATAAACTTGACTGAAGCAGCTTTGTTATACTTTCTTTGTTGATATGCACAAGACATTACACATTATCTAGCGACAAGACACCCTTGCTTGACTCTTTTTATCCCTGAGACAACCCAACAAAAGTCCCGAGTATGCGGTCCATCCTTCCTGTCCCGACTCCTCCTCCAGAGACTTGTCCCTACTCTCGACCTTCATCTACTGAAGCCTCTGCCGATGTCATCCCTCTTCTCGTCGACGACACGTACCACGCCTTTCACCTTACAACACCTCCTTCGACAAGACATCACCCCGAGCGTCTAAGATCATCATGGTCACGGCTGCGATCAACAAACCTTGTCGAATGGACGAGGGACCCGGAATTTGTCCTGTCGCCTGGGGAGTCTGATCTCGATGATGACGCCGACGGAGCCTGGACGGGCTCTGCCATACTCGGTCCGGACGAGAATATGAACATATTTTATACTGGCTACAATTTATCTCAAAACGGCCGACAGACGATACTTCGGATAAAGGCGACGGATCGACACGGCTCGAGATTCCAGAGGCCTGCGAAGCCTATAACCATTCTCGGCGAGGGGCTCACACGGTTCGAGGAAATTGACTTTCGCGACCCTTTTGTCATGTACAACCGGGGTGAAGGTCGATACTGGATGCTCGTGGGTACTCGTCTCTCCAGCGGTCCATACTGGAGTCGCGGGTGCATTGCCTTGCTCACGTCTCCTGATCTTGAAGCCTGGACTGTAGCTCCAGAGCCACTATACGCGCCCAGTGACGTCTTCTGCCCCGAATGTCCAGAGCTCTTCTCTCTGCCGAATGGCAAATGGTACCTCGTGTACTCGCGGTTCCACGCCCCCAACGCCGGCACCGTATACCGCATCGCCGACACACCCCGGGGACCGTTCCGTGTTCCACGAGACGGTTCCCACGGTCGCCTCGACGGTCGACGCTGGTACGCGGCCAAGTCATGTCCCAAAGCGGGCAACCCAGACAAGAGGGTCTGCTTCGGCTGGATCGGGGACTATGTCGACGACGAGAACAAATGGCTCTGGGGAGGTGATCTCGGCGTCACCAGGGTCATGTGGGCAGACACAAACGCCTGTCTCCGCATAGACGCCTCGCAAGAGTTTAGGAGCTACATCTGGCAGACATCAAGACCCGTGTCCCCCAGCAACGCAGCTCCAAACCTATACCTCTGCTCCCTAGGATCGACGGCCACGCACTTTCCAGAGCTAGGCTCTGCGGAGTGGAGGAGAGATCTCATGGTGGACTTTAAAGTTGCGGCTTGTGATGCTCACAGCTTCGGTGTCATGCTTCAGACTGACGGCTCTGGAAAGGGGCACAGGCTGCAGTTTAGTCCCTCGGGAAACGGCTTGTTTTCTGTTTCTCTGATTACAGATTTTCCTCCCCTCGATGACTTTTGGGCGGACCAGTATCGCCTCCACCTCCCTAGACCTATCGACGGGCCCGAGCTGGTGCGACACGAGAGTGTCAGTCTCGTCGACGGCGTCTTTCTCTTTTTGCGAGGTCAGCTAGTGGAAGCTTTCTGCGGAGGGCGAGCTTTGAGCTTTCGCCTCCCCATACCTGCATCTTGGACGGAGAATAGCCGAGAGGGCGTCCGCCGGTTCGGGTGGTTTGTGGAGGATGGCATGGTTGACATTGTCGACATGTGTATGCGACACTCCATGGGACTCAAAGACCTATCAGTCGAGTCGGACAACGGTCTCGAGGACGCCGAGTAAACATCATTAACATTGCAGCCAATATTTTTCGACTACTACCTTTGTTTTTCACCCCAGGTCCTCTCGCGGCATCATGGGGTTCGGGTTCGGCTGCATCACTAAGCCGCTGAGGAGGTCATACGCCCCGTTTCCGCCTGCGGCCAGATCCCAGTCACCAAAGTCGGTGAATTCGTATATATCTGGGGCGTAGTTGCCCATCATGGGGCTAACCTTGTCGTTGAGGGGTTCGTTGAGGTTGACAGCGAGTGCGTGCTCCAAACCTCGCAAGATTGCGCCTTCGAGACGGTTCACGGCGTATTGCATTGGCTCATGGCTCTTGCTCATCATCCGGAGATTCCAGAGGTACGAGTTGAGGGTTTCTTGCCAGAAATGACGCTCCTGGGATGATAGAGAGGTGACAAGGAGGAGAGTGGTAAAGGAGCCAAGGAGCGAGAAGAGGTAGGGCGATGTGAAGTACCAAAAGGCCTCGAGATGATCGGGTCTTAGGCTTGTGACGAAACTGATGGCGTTTTGAGCAGTCTGGAGGGCTATCTGACGGATATCTGAAAGGACTCGATCGTCGGTGCACCGTGGTGGTAGCGCAGTAGATCGAATTAGGCGGCGGAGGAGGGTCATTACAACTCCGTAGTAGGAGAAGTGAAGATAACCATGAAAGCATAGCTTGCGCTGGTAGATGACATTCATCTGCAGCGAAGGCGGGATGCTGTGGTACCAGCTCGTCAGCATCTCAAAGAGCGGCCGGGCCTTTTCAAAGAGGATAAAAGTGTCCTGCTCTCGACATGTCCTGGCAGTGTAGAAATTGGAGTAGACGACTGAGAGAATCTGCGTCAACCGCACCATCTGTATATACTGCGTCTTTCCCGTGGAAGCAATAGATCTTCGGTCATCATCAGAGCCGGAACTCGACGCCGTTGTCTGGCCTTCACTCTCAAAATCTGAAAAGTCGGCAGTCGTGAGGTCACCAACTGTCCAGTCATCGTCGTGAATGTGCACAGGACGCCCGTAAGCTAGAGCAGTCCAGCGATCTTGCATAAATAGCGCCCAACTTAGACGCTTGCGGACGTTGCGCTCCCACTGAGGAATCGTCCAGTTGCTGGCGTCGAGGTGAAGCCCCAGACACTGGCCGATGGCAAGGGCCTGGCATGTAAGACCCCATTGGAAAGTGTGGTCAGGGTTGAGGGGGTCTTCGGGCTGGCACTGGAGGAGCAGCAAGGCAGCCTGGATGGAGCTGAGCTTGGGGCGATGATACGAGGCCGGGATGGCAGTCCGCAGCATCCGTCGGAGAAGGGCGGCATCCGGGGGCGTCCGGATGGAGAGCTCCGGGTCGTAGGTCCACCAGCGGATAGCAGAGAGATAGACAGCCCCGAGGAGGGCTGCAGGGATGCGACGATAAGACTGGCAGTATGCCAGGGTGAAGGGATCCTTGGATAGTATGGGATAGCATGGCTGGACATGCCGCCAGAACAGCTCTACGAGGCTGGGGCCATGAGGACGTACGCAAGCCTCTATTGCGTCAACCTGGGAAAAGGTCGGGTCACCCTCGATGGCCTTTTCGTCGCGGGCTATGTGAAAGGTCAGGGGATACTCCTGGCCGTCATCCCTCTCCAGCACACGACGTATAGCATGCGTCTCGAGGCTAAACTCGTGAGTCCTATGGTCGTAGGGGCGGTGACGCATCAGTATAGGCTCCATGTCGCTCCCCAGACCGTACAGCTCAGCGAAGCGCGTGGATGAGCACCCCATGGTGCGATCTAGAGGCCCCAACTCGACAAGCTCAGGAACCATGACCGAGGCCGGGGCGATGGGGTGGCCGCTGTCGGCCGATGCTCGCGTCTCGGCGGGAGACAGGAACGGTGGGACCGACTGGACGGACACGGCATCGTCCCGAGACTCCTTGCGGACCACCTGGTGGTGGCCCTGGACGGCGGCCGGGTGACTCGGCAGCTGCTGGCTCTGTGGGAGTTGCTGCTCATCAGCCGGACCGGGCTCATCCCCGCTGTGAGGACCGGCGCTGCTCCCCTGGATGCTGCTCCCGCTCGCGCTGGTGATCTGTCGCTCCGGGGGGTCGTGCTGGAAGGTGCAGGGCGTGGCCCTCAGCTGGCAGTGGACGCAGTCGCCGTCACCGTCCTTTGTGACGCAGCGAGTCTTGCGCTTCCGACAAGCGTCGCAAGGCCGCAGGCTCCGGCGCTGTCGCTTCCGGGCGTTGTTCTGATAGTCCTGGGGCGTGATGATTTCCATTTGTGAGGGAAGAAGGAAGGAAGGAAGGGAGTTCAGGGGGAGTCCGGGTCCTTGTTGGCCATGTCCATTCAGTTGAGAATTGTGTGTGGTGGTGTGCGTGCGGTTGGGAAGTTGGTGAATCTTGGTTGGCTCTTGTTCCCTCTCCCCGCTTTCTTTTTGTTGTTGCTTCTTTTGCTTGTTGCGTTTTCCGTGCTGTGTTAGTTGCTGCAGGTCAGAAAGCAAGCCCAGTCATGCCAGCCTGTGTCTCAGCTAAACCCACGAGGTAAGGTCGGTGAATATAGCTTTCTCGGTGAGTGAGGCTGTGCTAGATTGGATGCTGGGACCAGATGAGGCAAAGGTGATGTCGTCAGCCTCAAAGTCAAGTTTAAGATGCTCTCTGAGAATGAACTCTCGAGGGCTTCATCTCTCAGCCAGGGCACGCGCGCAATTTAGGTAGCCATCCGGATGACGGGGGAGGCTGAGACTTGTTCGGGCTGAGACTCTCCCCGACTTTCCACCAGGGGGGGGAGACCGTGCTTGGGGCACCTTGTTTGAAGATGGCGAGGCTCAAACCGACCCTTTTTGATGCCTCAAGATCAGATTCGTCCATGGTTCGTCCGGGGACCGTTTATTAGAGTTGAGACCGGTTCATGTAAAAAGCCCATGTGCTCGCGCCGCCTCGCCGCACCAAGACGCCATGGCACAAAGGCTATGCCGATACGTGGTCCGCCACAAAGTTCTCGACCCTGCCCTAGGCAAAAGAACTTGCTTACAGACCCCCCCCCAAGATCTCTTCCGGCTCCGTGGTTTCGGGAGTTGGAGTGGGATGGTTGTGCGCCCCCGATCCCGTTGCCGCCGAGTCTTGGCAAAGGAAGGGCGGAGGAACGACCCTGAAAGTCTGATTTGATTACTGAAATGACGTATGCTCGGAAGCCATGACCTCATCTTTTCGAAATGCCGTCTTTTGTGGCTTTGCTGCTGACGTTTTCTTTTCGAAAGCGAGATTCTAGATTTGGGGGTTTCGGTGAGTGTTCGTGATTGTGGTTGGTCATGTTAGATCCAGGTCTAGTCAAACGCTTTTCGGTTACAGTACAATTTTGATCGTTTAGAGTCTAATTAGTCACGGTCCCAGCTGGTGTTTAGCCGTGTCCTGAATAGCTTCAGGTCCGAGTATAAAATTAAACGCCGCTTATCTACCGTTCGGTAGGCGAACAGACCCTCTTTATTTACCGTTTGCTCAACGGTCTGAATAACTTCAAACGTGCATAATCAACAAACTGAACAACATGATAGAAATTAACGTTTGGTTAATGAGTCAAGAGGAATAAATATCTGTTGCCTGTAGATACGATAGCAAATTCTTTTCATAACAACAACATAAAATCCCATCTCTTCCTGATTTGTGAAGTGCATCCAGCATCCATCTCTCAACATCACATTGTCACATCACGACAATAATTCACGACAGCCAAGATGTGCACCGAAACACTTGAGCTTCACAGCTGCCACCATGAAGATTGCAGCTGGGAATACACCAAAACAGGCTCTCCCGTGCTCTGCCCGTATGGAAACAACAGCCGTCTCTGCAAGAAAAGAACACCTCGCGAGGTCATTCTTCTTCCTATGGAATGTCCCGGTTGCTATGAAAAGGCCAAGAACGGCACAAGCGAGGCGGCATCTTCAAAGAATTGAAGAGTCGCGCTAATAACAGCACCAATCTTGTGAGGTCCAAACTCAGGAGACTCGAACAAAAATTGGCGACTGAGAATCATGTAGGCCAAACGAGCTTCGAAGGATGGACGCTGATGAGTTTGGACTGACTTATCGGACAGCCATCAATGAGGAACATGGAGCCAGGGACGGATATAAGCCAGTGTTGAACCTGGTTCCACGGCCGATCACTGATGCTGTCTGCAGCGGATCGGGTGCAGGGCTACGAATAACGAATCAACGAATAGACAAAAGCTCATTTGCGGTAATGTATCACATGCTCAAGTTCTCCAGTGCCCATGTCTATACTCTGATTGATAAGATGGACGTGCATAAGTGTGGCTGGCGTGAGTGATGACAGCTGCGGCACCCACGGAGATGCATGCATGAATGTTGGGGATATGTAATGGATGTCACTGACTCTGATATGATGCTGCCTACGGTGCTGTGCATTAGTATACTTTTGTTGTGTCAAAGTCAAATTATGCATTCCAACTCTCAACTCAATCCATCCGGGGTCCACGATGTTGAGGCAAGCGGCCAAAGAGAACCATCCTAAGTACTCAAATGGGTATATAAAAATATTCATAAACATAAGAAACATTGTATCATTTCCTAGGTAATATCAGCCTATCATTAGACTTGGTATTGATCAAGAATATGAGAAGGACTGCGGAGTACTCCGTAGACGAACTTCTATTGTCCCGCCGGCGGCCAAGGTGACTTTGCGCTATCGGCTCATCACAACATCATCCTTGGCCAGGGTAGCTGTAATTTTGGGGAATATGAGAGAAATGAGAAAGATGCAAGAAGCCATACTATAATGAGACAGGTTCAGATACCAAGACACACAGTAGATTACAGACAACACCTCGAATCTCGGCGAGCTCCGTCTGATACAGGGTGGCCAAAAACAATCACACACCCAAATAAACCCTCGCTTGGATCCCCCAACTCAATAACCAACAATATCTCACCGAATTCAATTAACCAACAATTACCACACTATGAAACGCAGCCACCCCTGTCTCGAAAGTTTAGACGCTTGCCGAAACAGGCATCTGGGAATGCTC